ATCATCATCATTATTATCATTTCTTTACTCTTAAGACTTGACAATAAACTAATCATTTTTAATCTTTATCCTAATATTTACTTTCTCAATCTTTGCTTTTCAATTTAATTCAATCTCATTAACTGATTGAGTAGTTTAAATTGTCGTCTCTTTAATTGTTCAATTTTTCTTGCATTTCATTTTAATTCATTCGGTGTCTTTTTAATTCTTGATACATTTAAATGTTGTTTAAATTGTTCATCATTTGGACATTTTATTTACCAATTTAATTGTTAATCATCGCAATTAATTTACACTCTTTTAATGTGTATCACTTTGATTGATTTTTTCCTTCTGCCTTGTTAGCTATCTTAATCTAATTGAATTAACTGATTATCATTGATTAAATTAAATGTTAATCCAATTGCTTTTGATTGTGATGAGCTTTCATGATAATTTGAAAAGTTTTCCTTAAACCAAGACAATCTAATTTCAACCCTAATTATAAGATCAATTAAACTGAGACTTGCGAACAATCAAATTATTTTAAGAGGATTGTAACTATTAATTAACAATTGAATTAAATGTTGGTTATGTTAATCATTCAATTTAAATTTAATCACCAAGACGAGTGAATATAAAGTAATCAATTGATCATCAAATTAATAATAATAATCAGGTGAACGAGGAAAATACTTCATTGGTTAATCATTCAAATTATTGATCATGGGGATGAAGATCCATGAGAATAGGAGAGATGAAATCAATGAAATCCCGAATAATGGATCCGAGAAAAAGATAAGCATTTTGATGAAGATGAAGATGAGAGTTTAAGGTGGGAATAGTGGGTGGAAATGGATGAGGCAGAGTGGAAGTGGGAGGAGGAGATAAACTATCATCTCGATTACATCATCATACTCATGTCATGGATTTTAGGAAGATATTTAATGGATATTTATTGTAGTATATGGAGTATGTCAATGTTTCACTTTTTCTCTTCATGAACAACTCATATTCTCTATGACAAGTGAATTGTTATTATTTTAATCAATGGAGATCATGTATTTCCAAATTAAATTAAGCCCTCGTCGAGCTCCAGCTATTGGTACCTTTTTCTTGCTATTCTAATATTAGGGTGATGATGAAAATGGATGGAAAATGTATTTGGATACAATTGATTTTCAGGGAATAAAAATTCAAATTTTATTCTATTATTTTCCTCTTCTTCTGCTCCTCCCAATCCTCATAATCTCGGTTTTCATCATTCGGTGAATAAATTATTCTCCAAGAATGAGAAATGAACATTTTATTGACCAATAGATATTTCTATTAATACGATGACTGGACATTTTGTGGACAAATTACTATCGAATTAATTGTCGAGAGTTGGTTAAGATGATGATACATAAAAGAGAAGCTCGATTCGGGAAAAAGTTCAATTAATTGAGAGAAAACTATTATTAGTTTAATTCGAGTGTGAAATATGTTTTTTTTCTTTCGTAAACTGAAAACAATTAAGAGGAAAAGGAAATGATGACGGTGAAGAGATGATGAAAGTGGGAGGGATGGTTAACTATTGTTGCGATTGTGTATTTAATATTGTGGCTGATACATTGACTATTATTGGGTCAAAGGTACTTGAAGGTAACATAAAAGTTAAACTTTGAAAAAACATTTGGCTCTCAATGGACATTAATGCTTATTATCATCATAATCATTGTTTACTGACCATTATGATCATTATTATTATCATGGTAATCAATTGATGACAAATCACAGGAAATAGTAACAATTATACAATAAATATCCTCATCCATTGGATAAAAGTGTTACCATTGTGATTCCTGTGATTTGTTGCAATTAATTCATTGATTGAAATTGATGATTATGTTTATCAATCAACTTAATTGTGTCTAGAGTGTGAACTAAGTTAATCTTGGCTGATTTGGTAAATGCAAGTTTGATGAACAAAAGATGCTTAATGATTAATGAATAACAATTAGCAGTGAACCTTAATTATTAAGATTAAGGAAAAATAATAACAGAATATGAGTCAATCTTTAAGCAATCAAATTGAAAATCTAATCACAATCAGATCATCATCATCATTATGTCTTAATGATCATTTAATCTGATGAAATTGCCATTCATTTACTAATTAGTAATTAAGTTAGCTTTATAGTGAGAGATACGCAAATTTTATGATGAAATGTAACAAAAAAAGGTTCACTCTTTTTCATCCTCATCATTTTCATCCCAAAATCATCTGGTTAACTCACATTATGTTGAGATACGGTATTTTTTACATCTTTTTACATCATCCTCATCATTATCATCATTGATTAAGCCGATACACAACAAATTGCAATAAAAGAACAAGAAAAAAGATGATGAGGATGAGAAGATTGAAGATACATTAAAAACTATTATATTATTGATCATCATCATTATATAACAATAAAGAAGATAAGATGAAGAAGAAGATGATGACAAAAAGGCGAGAAAAAACGCATTAAAGGTTATCTTCATTTTCTCTCCTTCATCCGCATCCTTTTCCATCATTCTAAGAGCATCATCATTATCTTCATCTTCTTCGTCCTTTTTTTGTTCATTCTTTTATTCCGTTAACCTCTTTAAACCCAATTTACTTTCAGCTTTTTTCATGTAATTTGTTGTTTCATTCATTTCCTTTTTTCATCATCTTCATCTTTCCATGTAATCATCATGTATGATCACCATTATCATGACCATGATTCTGTTAAATGAAAAGTCGTTTTGAAATGTTGTTTTATCACAAATTTAGCAATCTACAAGCTGATTCATATATCGATTGGTTGAAATTCAACAGCATACTGAAGTTAATTTCATCTGAGAATCAATTTTTTCAATTCCTGTGCCAAATTGGGCTGACATTTGATTTAGTTATATGATTAAATTGAATCAAATATTTACTTAATCAGAAAATAATCAAGAAACATAAAGGAAGTGAATAGTTACATTTTATTTACTTAATCTCCTCATCTTTTTGTATCCTAATCCATTGATATTACTTAAATCATTTGAACATATTAGCTTTTGATTTACGGTTAATTATGGAGCTGAAATTTTTCATTTATCATTTGATTATTTGATTATGATGATACCTTTCAATTGTTAAATTGTATTGTATTTAATGGATTGGTAATCATCCTAATAGGTTGGGATGGTAAAGGTGATGATAATGACGATGAGAATGATTAATTTGATTGGTTATTCAAAGATGAGCACATGAGATATGATCAGATTTAAATTTGAACAGGAAAAAAGTAACAACAATATGACCCAGTTAATTGTGAACATAATGGATTAGATTGATTATAATAGATTCAGATGATAATATAATAATAGGACGAAGAGGAAGTGATAAGAGTTAAGAATATCATCTCGATGATGAAATGATTGTTGTCAAATAATTTTGACAAAGTGTCAATAATAATGTTAATCTTGTTTAATCCGATTCCAATGCAACAATATGAATGGATAAACAAAATGGTCGGATCATCGTTGTGAATACATTATTATGTTTAATTTTTGATTCAATAGATAACATTATCCACACAAATGATTAGGATTGTGATTATGTTTAAGTTAATAGTTGTTAATAATCATAACGATTAAAGGAAATGATATCTCATTATCTTGGAATACAATAAAAAATATTTACCTTTGCTAACCGACCAGAAATAAACAATTAATTGTATTGATCAAGAAGCACAATCAAAGGTAAATTTTTATCCACAGAAATGTATATTAGCCTGTTAATTGTTCCCTCGTTCATTAAGTAAATAAACTTACAGAGTCTGTTTTTTGTGCTCAGGTAACAATTTATTTTTTCTTCTGATTATCTTACCTGTGTGATTTACAGCGAGGTTATTATTATTATCTGTATTTGCTAAAAGGTTAGTCAATAGAGAGAGAGAGAGAGAGAGAGAGAGATATCTATTATGCCCTGAGGGGTGTATGATACCCCACCCGGTACATTATCTTGTTGTTTTTGCAGGTGTCGATTAGGCCGCAGGTCAATTCAGGTCATCATTGAATCGCCTTTTTAAATCTAGTCCATAAAAAGATGAACACAAAATTGAATCGCTTACAATTTTAGACTTTTCAACTTTAGCATTTTTGTTTACAAACTTTTACCTTGGTAATTTTTTCTTATTCTAGCACTGACCAGTGGTCGCAAGGGTTAAACAATGAACACGGGATATCGGCGTGTATCTTTACCTTTCAGTATTTTCTCTGTAATATCCTATTCTATTGCCTCGGGCAATGGGAAGGAGGATGAAGAGGCGGATAAAGATGCTTTCAATACTCCTACTTACTTTTACTCAGTTTTGAGTGAGTTTAATCAACGTCACCGTCGCAATTGTCACTATTCATTAACCCTGCGAATGCAAATTGCAAGCAAATTAAGTTTAACATTTGTGTGTTTTGAGTTAGTTGTTGTATTGATAAAAACAATCGCTAATTACAATTGTAACGCTTTACTTGATGTTTACAATTAACGCTGGTCATCATCATTTCCAATGGTCAATCGATATGAGCTCACTAATGATAGTTGAAAGTTACATCTGAAAAATATCATAAGTGATAAATATTAGTGTTCAAGATTAATCGCCTTATTAGAAGCAGAAAAATCTATTTTTCTGTTAATATTTAATTCAATATAAATTGTCATTAAACTGGATTAAGGATCGCAACTGAATCAGTTTGACATAAACATATTAAGATAAATAATGCACCTTAAATATGTTATGTTGTATTAATTTGTTTTAATTGTGAGTAACCTACACATCAATTGAATATCACCCATGGGGTCTATGGGTGAGATTAGTATTGAATTAACTTAATTTAATATTGATTGTGATCAAGATAATCGTCTAAATAATTACTGTCTTTTTCTTTTTCTTCTTAATCACTGTTATTAATTAGGTTATTTAATGATAGTAAATGAGGTTTAGTTGTATGTATCTCTCTCACTGTTATTTGAAACCTCTTACAATTTATTAATTAAATTGGTTGTGTAACAAGTTTGATGACAAATTATCAGTAATTTATGAATTGAAAATAAATCAAAGACTTGATTTTTTAACATCTTTTACACACTATCAAGATTAGTGTAATTAATAACTTTGTGTATGAAAAAATTATCAATTGATTATCGTATTTATCCTTAAATCATGATACAGTTTATCTTACTGATTGGATATCAAGGTTGTTAACTGTTGATCATGATAATGTTGATTAATTCATTTGGATTCAGTTTTCACGTGTAAATATTCACAGTATTTTTTTAAATATCTCGTTCCTAATGGTGGTTTCAACTCGTTGAGAAAATCACTAACAGCAATTAAATCGGGTTTATGTTGACATGGACTTTCGGTTATGTCACCGCGATCGGTTGATTCACTTCGACCTGAATCTGGATCTAAATATGAATGATGAAAGAAAAGAGAATGTAAGATTTTTCAAGTTTCACAAGCGTTTTGATTTGTACACCGATCTCACTTTCCATTGTCATAAGTGACCTCCGTTCATTGGTGTCGCGTGTTGTATGACAACCTATTTGTGACTCGAATTTTTCATTTTATTAACACAATATCGTACCTAAAGTTGGACTTTTTCCACTTGAATGATCGCCAGAGATTCCAGATTTTGATGCTGTTCGAGTTTTACTTTTTTCGTGACCAAATGCATTGGAAATTTCGGACTGCTGATGGATTCCACTGGTTATATCTACTATTTGGGAAACAATAAAAACGATCAACAATTTACTAATCATCTCTGATTAACTTTATGATTAAAGTTTTACACTTGATATTTGATTGTTTACTTTCAAGTTTTAGATTTAGTAGCTTAGACTATTATGATTATAATCGTTAGAATGAGTCGTCATATACATCGTTATTTAAAGCAACTGTTTAAATATCGTTTGTCACTTAATTGTTTTAACATTTAAAAGAGGATATATTTAATCAGCTTAAAATTGAATTGCATGGATTTAAATTATTGCTTATACTAAATGAATTTACTGTGCAAGGTTGAGATTATTGTTATAAAATCAAAAAAAACAATTAAGATTAGTGAATTGTAAATATCACATGAGAAAGAATTTAGTAAATTTCTATGAAAATCAGTAGAGAATTGGGATAATCAGTGTGGTAATTTAAGACACTAGTCAATAGGAATTAAGAATAAATCAGTTGAATGAATGAAATGTTAAACAAATTACTATTACAAGGATGAGCGATTGAAAATTTGTAAAATCCGTCAAAATGAATTAGTCCCAATTAAATTAATTCCATATGTGATTTGTTGATCACAATTGTCTGCAAAGAATCAACATAGACAATCAAGTAAACGCACCTGAGTTAATCATTTCCACGGAAATATTCAGTCACTGAATTCAAACATTAAATAACCTGAAATATGTTATTGCCAATGAACCTGAAAGGTGAATAAATGTCCAGCATTTACCAGTGTTGGTGCTTGAAATATCTCCGGGTACTTTTCCATGAGTATTATTTGTAAGAATGTTCAGTCCAAGGAAATCTGGAAAATTAAATGTGTTGATATTAAAAATGATAAAAGGATTTCAAGTGATGATGATGGAGATGCGGATGCTTTGCAATCTCAAATAATATGATATTTTCTTTTTTTATCACTTGTATCACATGGGGAAAACTGAACATAAAGTTACATTACCAATAAGAAAGTGAAAGTTAATAGAGTCGATGAGAAATGTCCTTTCCGGGAATGGATGTTGATCTTTGTCTTTAAGTTTTTCAATGTCATTTCTATAGCTGAACATTACCAAACATTAACAAATAATGGCCAATATCTGGAAGATTGTTTTAGAAAATAGTAGAACATCATGTTCATGGTTAAAAATATTTCACAAAGGAGATGAGAGCAATGAAATAGGTTAAGGAAACAGATGAAAGTAAAGAAAAATAACTGGAAATGACCAATTGATGATAAGAAGAGGACCAAAGTCTTTTGAAGTAATCACTGAATTCGAGTCATCATCATTGTTTGAGAAGAAATAAGAAAGGACTATTTCCTCATCTTTCTCTCTCTCTCTCTCTCTCTATCCAGAGAACTAAAGTATTATTACGTTTCATCATTTCTCAGGCTTTCAAGATCCGAAATACTTGTGACTTTCATTCTCAGTTATCTTAAGATCCTGGTGACACCATTGGTCAGAATATTCCATTTCCGTTAGTTGTTCATTTTTCCATTACATTTTTTTTCATTCTTTTCCATTATTTTGCCAATCGGTACAATTTATTGAACATCAGGTCACAAAGCTTCAATAATAAAGACCCAGAGTCAAGTTGGGAGAATGGAGCATCATAGATGAGAAGTACTTCCATTTCTATGTATTCCAGTATTAATGCTGGACGATTATTTTAGATGAACACCCAAATAACCTAATCGGACAAAACAGAAAGTAGAAAGAATTACAAAAAAACAAAAGTCACTCTTTTCAAATCCAACAGTTAATTTAACAATAGAAAACATAAGAAAACCAATTACAGTCGATCAGATTTGGAACATAAAACAAAGGTGAAAGAGAGACAAGATCGCAATAATTAAAGCAATTTAAATTCTCAGAAAATGTAAATTAATCAATGAAAAAGTAAACAAAGAAAATGAATTAATAATCTTCTCTCCCCAAAGCGACACCTTTCAGTTGATTTTACTTTTACTCTTTTTTGTTTTCTCAATAATTTTCATTGTTTCCCATTAAATTACATGTAATTACCTAAATTGATCTTTTGTGATCAAATTCAACTTGTGGTTTTCTTTTGCCTACGAGTTACAACTAAGTGACCTATGGTTGGCGATTAATTAGTGGCTTTGATGAACATCGATAACAATTAACTGGAGCTCCAGTGAGTAATTGGTTTTCCTATAGAGATCATCTTTAAGAATCGATTAGATTTTTGATTTTGTCAATGAAATGACATTTGTTTTTCTTCAATCTTCCCAATTGTTTATTAGCACCATCAGTGGACTTATCATTATTTTCTACAGAAATTTCTCTTTGCTTCGACAGAAAATCATCTGTAACCTGAATTCTTTCAAATGGCTTCAGTGTCTCAAGCGAAGGAATCATTTCAATATTTGCTGAGATTTGGAAAGAAAAAGTCGATTTATCTCTTAAATCATCATCATTCTGATCCGTAACACCGAGTGTTCCAAGTGGTTAACAATCAGCAGAAAGTGAAAGTCAGAGTAAAATCGTTGATGGGATAATAGCTGAGTATCAAAAGTGTAGATGAAAATATTTTTCTTCTCTTCTTGAAGTTTATTCTATTGATCCATCATCGTTTTAGAAAATGTCATTCAGTGGTTTTGTTTATTCTTTGTTCCTGATTTAACTGATTCAAACTCTACAAAAATGATGAAATATAACAACAACATACTTGGCGTATATTTCACTATTTTCCCTTCCATATTCATGGTCTTCATGATGGAAACAAAACTCAGGCCTGAACAAATTGATTCTTTTTAATATCCATATTTCCAACCATCACATTCATCCGTCTTTCCAATTCAGGTGGGATTCCTCATGAACCTCTCATCAAAATGCATCGTTCGTTCAGAATAATTTCCCTACTCTTCAAATTTTAAATAGGCTTCAACTTTATCTTCTCTTTTCATTCTCTAATAAATGCATCTCGTTTTCTACATGTATTTTTTTCTCTTCACTTTTGATGCAGATTATTCTCCCTGGAAGATGAAATTCACATGAGGAGGCAAAGAGGAAGAATATTACCATCATTCCGACTGGTTAGTATTCCATTGATTTTCCAGAAAGAATCAAGGAATCAAGAAGTGATCATGAAGGAATAGAGACCAAATGTTGTTTATCACAATATTTTAATTTTGATTGTGTTTATCTAAATCATTTCGATGATTTTTGACTCGCTTTCAAAAGATCAACAACTTGCAAGTTTCATTATTGTTACGATACAAGTAAAACTATCATGACAATCATTTAGTTTCTTTTCTTATTTCCATTTGATATTCTTTATTTTCTCTATTTACAGTAAATATGTGTATCTCCTTAAAGATGCTTCACTTCTTGGCAACAAAACGTCATTTTGTTGAATATCACTCGAAATGTAACACAATGGACACCAAACAACAGCTTTCAAGTACAATTCTTATTTCTGGTGATAATAAAAAAGTAACAAAATCGGTAAGATTATGCTCGCTCTCTCTTGTCATTACCTTGCCTCCTCTATTGATGATCTTAAATGTTTCTATTGACAATCATTAACATAATCATCATTAATATTTCTCTATAAATCTAATTCTATTTCTATTTCTATGCTACTGATACCTGAGGAATGACATGAAACCAAAATATGAAGGACAAAAGCTTGACGATGATGAAACGCTATTAAAATAATATTACTATAACCACGAGAAGATGAAGAGGAAGAGGAAGAGGAAGAGGAAGGAGGAGTTGAAGAGATGAAGATGCCTCCCATCCATTCAATTGGTCTCTAATTTTTTGATAATCTTTTATAATATTTTCTGTCTGCCTTGAGATCCAATGCTGACCAACTTAATCTACATTTTATCTTCATCACATTGTCATCTTTTCTTACTCAAGATCAGTCGTAATGATCATCATTTCCTTGTTTCTTTCCTATTAATAGTTAATACCTCTTCTTATTAGGATTGCATGTCCACTTATCTCTTAATCTATTGTAATATTATTATGGAAGAAAATTCATTAAGTTGATTAGATTTTTGGTGAAAGTAATTCGATGAAGATTATCAATGTTAACCATTGTTTCTCATCAAGTAATTTAATTGTCAACACTTAATAGATTATATATTTTACTTGTTTATTGAAAACATGACAAATAATGATGATATTTACAAAACAGAAATGGAATACAAACTTTGCTTTTTCTACATAATAAAAAAAATTAAACTCTCATAACCATCAAGCCAATTGAATTATGTTTATCTTTTTTGAACTTGAAATTCAATTTATATTTGATGGATTATTACGAAACATTATCGTCATTAGATGAACTATTCACATAGAAATTTTCATGAGATGGAAGAAAATGCGAATTCAATGAATTCATCGATTTTAAATGGACTCATAGAGTAGCTAAAAATAGATTTTTCTTGTTTCAATTTTCTCGAGTAAAAATACTCAAGAAACTTGAAGATCACAATTGAATCAAAAGTTCCTTATGTTAATGTCTTCACCGAGACAACGTTGAACATTTGACGAGAGTAAATTGGCTCTTCTCATTGCATCGGAAAAAATACCTTTGTAAAGAACGACTTGTTCTCTTAGCACAATCTTTGGATCTTTTCGACCTTCACAAACGGCTTGCAGATCTCTTTCGAGATTTGCACGAAGATGAGGTCGAGATAATTCAAAGCCCATTGCCACGTAACCGTCGACGAGACCAAGGCCCAATTGGTCGGGCAGAAATCGTCGGTCATTGGTTAAGCTAACATAAGTTCGTGATTTGATTGTCTCGATGTGTTCAGCGTGAGTTGCATCTGTTCCTATTCCATGTTTTTCCATGAGAGCAATGAGATCGGATTCGGTTAACAAAGCGGGTGGACTTGTTTTACCTTCTCGCATGAAAATTTCATCAGGAACAAAAACCTCATTCATTCGGATTTCAGGTATTTCTTTACCGAACCATTTAACGTATGGGTACACTTCGAGATAATTTTTTTCTAATATAATAAGACCGCTTGTATGAAAACCTTCACCATTGATGTCCAACTTGATGTTTGTCTCAAAACCGACAGCATCGCTACTTAGACAAGCCAAAAAATGTCTCACTACTAATTCGTAAATTTTTGCTTCGTCCCCTGACAAATTTTCTGCTGCTTTGATGGGATAAATGGGCGGATGAGCATTATCAGTTTTCTTTCCTTGCCTCGGACGAATTCCCTCTTGTAATACCTGACTAGCGAATCTACCCCACACCGGATGAGCTGTTTGTGCCTGGACCGCTGGTTGAAGATTCAAATTGGACGGGAAAATATTGGTTTCAGTTCTTGGATAGGATATGAATCCTTTAACGTAAAGTTTTTCAGCTATTCCCATCGTTGTTTTGGCAGAGATTCGTAATTTAGATGAAGCCAATTTTTCCAAACAAATTGTGTCCATTGGCACTGGTCTCCAATGGGTTTTTCGTCGACTTTCAACTGATGTTACTTTTGCTCTTGGATTGAGTAAGATACGATGGTAAAGAGCAAGACATGCATCACAATCAAATAGTCTATTTCGATCCCAAGTAAATACAACTGTAAGATTATCCCTTTTGAGCTTGACATCTAAATACCAAAAAGCGTTTGACACAAACTCTTTGATTTGTTTATAACGTTCAACGACGAAACCAAGAGTAGGGAACTGGCATGAGCCATAGCTGATTAATTTGTCTTTGACTTGTTGACCGATCTTTTGAATTAACATGGTCTGAAAACGAGTGAATGCAGCACCAATTCGTAAATCCAGCTCCCGACGAACTTGAACAGCATCAGAAGCCAATTTATTAGGAGGCACAAGGTTATTAACAGCTCGAATAATGGCTGAAGGGGTGATCTCAGAAAATCTTGCTCTTTTAATTGGAATATTGGGCTTCACTTTACGACAAACTTGAATGATTTCAAAAGCGATATTCTCTCCTTCTCTATCACAATCGGTCCACAGAATAAGTAGTTGAGCACCTGAAATCTCTCTTTCCAAAGTTCTTTTAATCTTTTCACAATCTTCACTTAATTTAGTGACAATTGGAGCCTCAAAAAGGGCAAGAGGATCACAGGACCACCATTTACGATGCCTTTCGTCGAAATCGTAATCTAAAAGGTGACCAGAAACTGATGTCATTGTCATTTTACACCGACCTTCATGAGGTAAATCGTAATCAAATTCGTAAATTTTGTTATATTTTGAAAATCCTTCCCTACGTTGAGAGTTACCCTTAGACATGCTGTTGGCAATATTTCGAGCAGCATCATTTTTCTCGGCAACATTCAATACTTTCTTCATTGTTTTCTCTGAAAAGTTACGGTTGAAACAAACAGAATCACAGTGAAAAGATTTAATCACATTCTTGAAAGAATTCAAATATCTTGAACAGAATAAAGGAAACATAAATAAACAAATAAAAAAGAAAAGCAAAACAAGAAAAACATCAAATCGAAAACCGGGAAATGTAGTTACTTCATTTCTCCCCAGAGGCCACTTGAGAAATTAGGGAACATCAACTAATAACGAATAGTTGAGAAAGAGAAGTGAAAAACAATTAACTTTATTTATTTTTAATCATTTGAAACAATTGTTATTATCCTGGTTAAAGTGGTTCAGTTTTGATAATTGGCACATTTGGTTGGTTTTTCAGTTCGAAATCGGATATTTTCTGGATCAGTTCATTTCTTTTTTCTTTCAACTGTTTTCTCTTCGCTTTCATTTTACTAAACGACACTTCCAGAGATTCTTTGAGTTCTTGCAATTCCTTCATGTCGGAATCACATTCCAACAATTGTTTTTTCAACAGTTTCTTTGTTTCACGAGTTTCATCTTCCTCCGTCAGAATACGTTTCAATTCCAACGCAAACTGAATTTGTGTAAGACCAGAATATTTAGGCATTTTAATAGAAACAATGAGACTTGAAGCACAAGTGAGAAAATGTGGAAAACAAATGCCCTCTTTTAGAAATGTTTCAAAACAAATGCTTCCAATCAAAGAGTAAAAGTTATTACTCTTTGCTTCCAATTGTTGTGATCAACATGTGATTCACTTCTCATGTGTCAACAATTTGAATGTTTTTCTAGTCATTTTTTTCAGTGAATTCCATTCTGTGAATTTATCTGTCCTGTTTTCATCCCTTCGCAATGGCCACTTTATCTCAACTTCTTATTGAACTAAAAAATACACAAACAATGTTGGATGAATTTGATAAAGAACAAATCGACGAATTGAAAGGACAACTTGTTGAGTGTGATTCTAATTTGAAAGGTTTTGAGATTGTTAGAGAATCTTTGAGAGAATCTTTGGATGAAGACAAAATAGACTATTAGAGCTTAAAAACGAACGAATGGATCTCATAAATGCCATGATCAAAGATGTGAATCGAGAACCACCAAAGACCAAACCCAAATCCGTTGAAGTGAAGTTACCAGAGAAACAAATGTTGGAAAATAGATCGAAAAATAGTCAACCGCCCAGCAATGTGATCCGACCTCCGACAAAGAAGATGAACCCTGAACCAGTTAATGCTAAAGAATCTACTTGTAAATCGTCAAAAAAAAGCCCGAAAAAGGTCCAACAAAAGTCCAATTTATCAAGAAAACAAAAGCAACTTCAAGCTCAAGCAAAGTCTAAGAAAATAAAACAGCCTCGTGATGATAAAATGATCCAATTCGGGAATTACTCATGGGGAGAGCCAAGATGCTATAAATTCAGTCTAGATGAAAAACCAATGAGCGAAAGCGATATGGTGCAATTCAGACGACAATTAAGAAAAGAAAAAAGGGGATTCAGACATGGACCATATCAGTGTCTATGCAAACAATGTCTTGCCAACGGGTTACACGTTACTGGAAATAAGTCTTTCATCATCGACCACCAGGTCGAAGTTTATAAGCCGAAATACTCTTGTGTCAAATGTTTATTTTCTTTCTGCTCTTTCAGTCTAAGTCGAATTAAAAAACACCTTAAAATGCATGAAGATGGTTGAGATTATATATGATCTGAATTACTCGACTAATTTACTCAACTCGGTTGTAATTAAATCGTCGATTATCAATTAAAAGACCTTTCTCTCCATCTCAAGATTTCCACTTAGACATTTTCATAGAAACAAAGAGAAACATTAAACAAATGCCCTCTTTTAGAAATGCTTCAAAACAAATTCTCCAATTGTTGTGATCAACATGTGATTCACTTTTCATGTGCCAATAATTTGAATGTTTTTTTTGTTTCCTTTTTTGTATTAATAATAATTCTGTGAATTGCTTTATCCTGTGTTTCATCTCTTCGCAATGGCGACTTTAGCTCAACTTCTTATTGAACTAAAAAATACACAAACAACGTTGGATGAATTTGGTGCAATAAAAATCAAAGAATTGAAAGAACAAATTTTTGAATGTGATGCTAATCTGAAAGGTTTTGAGCTTGTTAGAGAATCTTTGAAAGAATCTTTGGATGAAGAGAAAAATAGACTAAAAGAGCTTAAAAAAGAGCGAATGGATCTCTTAAATGCCATGATCAAAGATGCGAATCGAGAACCAAAGACCAAACCTGAGCCACCGAAATCCGTTGAAGTGAAGTTACCAGAGAAACAAATGTTGGAAAATAGATCGAAAAAAAGTCAACCGCCGAGTAAAGTGATCAAAGATGTGAATCAAGAACCACCAAAGATCAGACCTGAACCACCAAAGATCAAACCTGAGCCTCCTAAGGCCAAACCTGAACCACCAAAGACCAAATCTGAAGCACCAAAAATCAGACCTGAACCACCAAAGATCAAACCTGAACCACCAAAGACCAAACCTGAACCACCAAAGATCAGACCTGAACCACCAAAGATCAAACCTGAGCCTCCTAAGGCCAAACCTGAACCACCAAAGACCAAACCTGAACCACCAAAGATCAGACCTGAACCACCAAAGATCAAACCTGAGTCTCCTAAGGCCAAACCTGAACCACCGAAATCCGTTGAAGTGAAGTTACCAGAGAAACAAGTGTTGGAAAATGGATCGAAAAAAAGTCAACCGCCGAGTAAAGTGATCAAAGATGTGAATCAAGAACCTCCAAAGACCAAATCTGAACCACCAAAGACCACTGAAGTAAAGTTACCAGAGAAAGAAGTTATTGATCTTGTATTGATCTCAGATTCATCGGACAGCCCAAACCACATAGACTTCAAGAAAACTAAAGAATTAACATGTAAAGTGTTGGAAAATGGATTGAAAAATAATCAACCGCCGAGCAATATGATCCAACCTCCGAAAAAGAAGATGAACCCTGGACCAGTTAATACTAAAGAATCTACTTGTCAATCGCCAGCAAAAAGGCCGTTCATGGTCCAACCTCCGACAAAGATGAACCTTGGACCAGTTAATGCTAAAGAATCTACTTGTAGGTCGCCAGCAAGAAGGCCGTTCATGGTCCAACCTCCGACAAAGATGAACCCTGGACCAGTTAATGCTAAAGAATCTGCTTGTAGGTCGCCAGCAAAAAGGCCGTTCATGGTCCAACCAAAGCCCAATTTATCAAGGAAACAAAAGCAACTTCAAGCTCAAGCAAAGGGAGGAAAACAGCCTCGTGATGATAAAATGATTCAGTGGGGTAATTACCCGTGGGGAGAGCCAAGATACTATAAATTCAGTTGCGAAGGAAAACCATTGAACAGAAAGGATATGGTTAAATGGAGAACTCAAGTATCTAAAGAAAAAAGGAAATTCGAACCTGGACCATTTCAATGTCTATGCGCGCAGTGTGGTCCTAAAAGGTCAGACAGTCGCTTTACTGGATCTAACAATGCCATCAACAAGCACCATGCCGAAGTTTATAAGCCAAAATTTTCTTGTGTCAGATGTGGATATTATGCAGCCACTTTCTATCTAAATGTCATTAAAGGTCATCTCAGAAAGCATGAAATGGATAAAGAGTATATATGATCTGCGGAGATTTGAGTTACTCAACTACTCGGATGCACTTAAATCGTCGATTATCAATTAAAAGACCGTTCTCTCAATCTCAAGGTCTCAACTAATTCTCCCAGGAAGTAAATCAAGATTTCCACTTAATCTCTTCTTGTATTCTCAATCGTTCTCTTTCAACAATTGTCTTCATTAATTTGTAATTAACTGCGAATGCACTTGCTCATAGCATAACTTATTCAAGGCTTTCGACAGTTTTGCCCTGAAGACAATTCGATTCGAGCCTTTCCTTTTTTAATTCGAGCTTATTGATCATCACAAACCCGTTTTCTCCAGAGAAAAACTTGTTCTCTTCATTCTAATCCAATTTCTACGTCTCCAGTCTCTGTCATTTCCGAATAATTCTAAAATTCTCTTTCATTCGATTATCGTGGCGATAATCTCATCTTCAGATTCGTTTAACTCTCTGTAAGTACTAATAACAAATTAGTTCAGTTCGATAATATTGATTGTCAGAGAAACTGAAACTTTTTTCCCCACTGATTGTTAATCGTTTAAATAATTCGCATGAAAAATGTTCGCTACTCGTGAATTTCTATGAGTATTTGTGTTTCCTTTTCCTTTGTGTTTTCCCATTGATTTTAAACCAGAAAATGGATTAAACTTTAACTCTCTAGTTCAGTTAATCCTCATGAAGATTTAATTTCCTTCTCACTCTTCATTCAATTGAATTAAAAAGCTCCTATTGCTGTTCGTTGGTTTATTCACATTATCATTTTGTGAGCTTCAATTTCAATTAACTAAACAATCAGAACCAGTTGATTGTGATGATTATGTGTTAAGAGAAACCTGAGAATCATAAACAGTGAGTGAGAGATAGAGAAAGTTGTAAAGTGAGTTTATTTTATTGTCTCTTCTGCTCTTCAGCTCCCAGTTTATTTTGTTTTTCTGTTAACAATTTGTTTCTGATTAAATCTAATTCCCTTTCATTATGTCAATCGCCATCTCACTGGATTAACGTGAATCAATTCAGTTGTTAGGACAAGGAAATCACTCGAAATGTGTCAACTCAATGCGATTTAAGAAAAGGTAAGTTAACTGATTGACTTTTCTGTCATTCATTTACTCGGTCCCTTTATTATTGTTTCTCTCTGTTTGTTTACCTTTATGTTTTTCTTTAATCCTTCCCTCAGATTGATTAATGTGATTAAATGATGATCAACGGATTTATCTCATTGCCCGAATACTATTTTTTTAACCCAACGTAAAGCTGATTGATTCACCTAATGTCAAATTCACCACCAACAGTAATGTTAATTGCTACTCTTCTGGTTCTTATATTTCCAGTCGCCTTATCATTTTGGATCATTTCTTTACTCGCCTCTGAGAGGAATAACGGTAATTATCACCACCCAACAATTAAGATGAATTTCAATCATTATTATCATGTGTGTCGTTGTCTCTTCGATGACACTTACAATTAAAAGATAATTATGATTAAATCTCTTTGATAATGTAAACAAGTACAAGGTAATCTCCAGTTGTTGTTTACTCACAATTTTCATTCACTTTTCTTGAGATTATTTTGTTTTCCGATTGATTGTTTTCATTTCTGTATTGTTCCAATCAATTAATTGTATCTTTCATTCATCCTCAGGTCTACCTTCACCTCTACGATGGTTGTTCTCATTTCTAGTGCCTTTATTAGTCGTCATTCAAGCCTACCTGAGGAAACATTTAGACTGGACTGGAGTCATAATTGGTGAGCATCTTCCTCTTCCTGGTTGTCAATCGTTCCACATCAATTCTGCTTCCGTTTTTCTAACGTTTTCATCTATTATCTTTTCTAGCATTTATCATTGGCTTCATTCTTACATTGGCTAATTACTGTTTTATTTTCAGTATGTTAACATTTTTCTTCACTTCATACAAAGTGACCAAATATAAGAATCATTTGAAACGCGAATTAGAAACCGATTCAGCCGAGTTAAGAAGACGAAATTGGCTTCAGGTTATTTGTAACGGAGGAGTGGCCACTCAATTCGCCATATTGTTCATGTTGGAACGAGGGATCGCCGATGAAAATCCAATAAACTTCAAATATGATTACTATTCATCTTGGTTTGCCATGGGAGTATTAGGAAGCATCGCTTGTAATAATGGCGACACTTGGGGATCAGAAATGAGTTTGGCCTTAACTCGTGGGAACCCCAGACTGATTACCAGTTTACGAAAAGTTCCAAGAGGGACGAACGGAGGAGTTACAGTGATAGGATTAATATTCTCAGCACTTGGAGGCTTAGCCATCGGATTAGCCTATTATTTAACTCTATTGTTATGTGTTAATCGCGATGTTCTTGCCATCAGTCCACCACAATGGCCGATCTTAATGGTTGGAGGCTGTGCAGGTCTAATAGGTTCCATTGTTGATTCTATGCTTGGAGCTCTCCTTCAGTATTCGGGTTTTGACCGACGAACTGGTAAAATTGTTGAAGTTCCCGGTGAGAACGTTGAATGGGTCAGTGGTATCCGGTTTTTGGACAATCATTCAGTCAATTTGTTTTCATCTCTTATAATGGCTCTTCTTACACCAAGGATCTCTTTATCATTCTGGTCATGAAATTTGAAACCAACTGTTTCATCAACAAACTGCAAATGCATCAAAAGAGCAAAGCTTTTTATCAACAATCAAAAGATTAATCTAATATACAGACAATACGAAACCCTGAGGCCACAGCCTCCATCATCTTCATCGTCTTCATCATTAACTTAACATTAAAACACCGCAAACCAAATGAAAGGCTAAGAAGCTTAACTAACATCAATCTGAATCAAATCTTGTGAATAGTGATTCGTATTCAATGGTTTCAGTGCTCAATTTGACTGAATTTGACTGATTACAAACTGAACAACTATTGAAAAGATCTCGTTAACTATTGTTATTTCTTGTTCTGTTTATTTCTATTGAATATGTTTACACATAATCGATTCTATTTTTGTTTCAATTGAACAGTCACAGAGCTCAACCAAAACACAAATGGAAACAATTAAGACGCTGATCAATTGAAAAATAAGATTAAAGCAATTCAATGACAGTGTAAATCATTTAGATTATGATCTTCATCAACGTTTCTCACTTAATTATCATCATCGTCTCTTGGAAAAGCCAAATTGTTGAACAAATTGTACCTCAGTCAAAATCAATTGTTTGTAATTAATTTTCTTTCTCATTCCCAAGTCTATTGTCTAATTGATACATTCATAAATTTTATTAATGTTTTTGTATTATCCTAATCAGCTGATTGTCAATTAGCTGTTTAAATGCTACTTAAACCGATGCCTCTTGTTACATCAAAGTTAATTATGTTTTTAAATAAATAAATTATAATATAATCTTAATTGTTTTCGACTATCAGAGTGGCGATTTTTTAATATTTCAATCTGCGTTCTGACAATTAGACATGTTAACATTTGATTGTATTAAATTAGTAAAAAGAGTGAACTTTATTAATAATAATCGATTTTAAACTAAACGAGAGTTAAATTGGTTTGATTGTTTATCTCCAATCGATTTAATTAGTTGATTGATTTGCTTCATCGATCGTCTTCCTTTTGAAGACTCAAGATTTCAATGGAATCGTCTCTTCGGTCAATTGATACAATATCTTGATGAGGTGTCACTTTAGTAATTGTGTCAACTGTTAATTAATCAAAACGAGAATGTAAGTTAATTGTTCATCATCAAGTAATTAAATACTCACTTCTTTTCTCGTCCAATTCTACATAGTATTTGAATACTAAAAGTAAACCATAAACCTGCCAAAGAGAAAGTTAATTGTTCTGATTGGAATGGCAATTTAATTTCTATTCATAGACTTACCAAAACTCCTTGGACTAAAATAGTAACTGCCAATTCAAAAACGGCCATAACACAAGGGGCTCCATAGTCTCGATTCTTTGGTTAATTAGCAATCAATTAATTCGTTACTTGAGAATTTCAGTCAATTAAATACTTACAGGTAATGAAATTTGGACAAAAAGCAAAGCGAAAGCCAAAGTGATATCGACTATGGCAACGATCATCCAAGGTAAGAGAAGCCATCGAATATTCTGAATGTAAAAGATGATCGACAATTAAAACAAATACTCAACAATTTGGTGAGGTTTTGACGATCGAAGTCAATATTTACTCAGTTTACTAGTTGATTGGTCGCAATTTCAGAGTTTAAAGTGTCTAATTAACTTGATACTCACTTTGATCAAAGCTAAAACCAAAAAACCAGAAATAACCAAGAAAACGATACTTTCCATTGCCAACATGAAAACTGGTTCGAAGTTAGAAAGATCGATTTTATTTGGTTCGAAACCATTAATATGAAGTTAGAAGATTATTCAAGAAATAATTTACTCACATAGGAAGAATACAAATGGATGAGTCTCATCAAGAAGACGATAAATGCTCCAGGAAAGGTCGAAAATACTCGTCAACTGTAATCGAATAATCGTGGTTACGTTTCATTAGTCACAACTATCGCGAATTTCGTAATTTAGTTACTTACAATTGTGTAAATCGCTACAAATAAACACCCGATCCATGGACGTGCACATTTTAGGTAACGATGATTAAGAACAGATTGAAAAGTATTCATTCTTGTAGATTAATCAAGTGACTGTGGTAGAAATTGATTGATTCTATTTTCTTATTGTTGATCATCAATTAACTTGGAATTAGGCAAAAAATCACTTTGGTTGAACTGGAGCTACACCAATACAATTACATGTGAATGTATTGGTAACATTTCATGAAACGTTGATGAACTTTGGGTGAAAACATGAAATATGAAAAAATTGAAGGAGAACTGGTGAAAATAAAGTAATAACTGATCAAGCAAATAATCAAAATGATCTAACGTAATTTCTTGCAGGAATCAACCTAATGACCTCAATGTAAACTCTTTCGACACATAACAACTGACCATTGGCTCTTAAAGTAATTCAAGCGAATCATTTAAAAGGAGGAAAAGAAATAAATTCATTGACTCTGCTACTTGACCACTGCCTTTCCTGTTGAACCATCGAACCCGTGATTCCGTTCAACTCAACTGACCAATAATCTGCCTGTACATTTATTGATTATCCTCATTGATGGTTACCTTAACTACCAAAAATATACATTAAATTAACTCGGGAGAGATGAGGGAGTTAATATCTCCAGGGAAATTTTAATCAATGCTAATTGATACTATTAGAGTTCAATTTCATTTACTCATATTGACCATCGTTGGCCAAGTATAAAATTGTCTAATAATTAAAACTCAACCAATTTAATGAGCTTCTGAAAATTTCTTTGATCAATATCTACACAGTTCCAAGGGTAAATGAAATTAATTAATTTACTAATTAGTATATTGATAATTCCTTATATCAATAGTCATAAATTATAATTAGTAAATAGCAGTTGATAATAATTACATTTCTCACCATGAAAATCATCAATCAATATAATTGTTCAATTGGAAATGATTACATTTGCTTAATGAAAAAAAGTCAACACAATCAACCAAAGAAAAGTCAATGTTTAAACACAATCATGTTCCCAATTTAATCAAAATTATTGATCCACCAACCAACTAACTGTCGATGATTAACTTATTGTTATGATTGGAAACTTGTCTAGGCCAATACCCATTTGCTTAAACATTTACCAGCATTTCCTGGTTACACTTGATTAGAACCTTTGTTTTCAAATGCAAATATAGTTTTAATTGTAATTACCTCTAAACTAATTAGTTATTAAACTAAATTAGATCAATCATCAGTTTTTACTCTTGATTTGTGACTCAAGCGATTTTGTCATCTCTCATTATGTTCATGCAAAAAAGACTATGCGATTGTCTTAATTTTGTTTCGTTAATGAATTGATATCAATCAATTCGCATTCTATGCGAATCAGGTCAAAAGAATAAAAAATTAACTGAATAATCGAATAGATTTAGTTTAATCTACCGAATCGAATGCTCATCATCATGATTAACGTTCATTACTGAACTTGACTTTGAAAAGTAATAATAATCATCTTCTTAGTGATGATTATGATAATTCAAATCACGCAATCGAAAATTATTGTCATTAAGATGATTGAATATTTCGCTGAACAATCAGCATTTACTTTGTAACAATTAGCATTTATTTGTACACATTACCAAAGGGACTTTATCAATAAGAATAAAGAAATTGGTTGAAAATGTTCAGCAAATTAGCTAAATTTAAACTGATCAATATATTAGTTGATTATTCAGTTCGAATCCAATAATAGTCAATTCAATCATAGCGGTGAAATTGAAACAGAATTATCAATTAATCAACAGAGTTGATTATAAATTTCACCAAGTTTGGTTGATATTGATTATTATTAGAATTATAATAATTATCATCATTAAAATATTAATGTTTATCGTGATTATTTGGGCATAAAGAAATCAAATGAAGAAAATCATTTGGTTAAATTGTTCCCATTTATTACCTACAAACTGTGTTGATTTCACTTATAATTAACACAGTTTCTAGCCTGATTAATATACAATTAAAATGAATATTCGTCATTTTGGTTTAGATGTGATTGATTTGATTTCGATGATTATGATTAACCAGACGAATTAAATTGTCACCACAATGGATTAGGTGTTAGTCTTATTAGTAATTACAGATGAGGATGAGGAAGAGGAGGTGAGTGGGAGTGGGAGTGGGCTTAGTGATAGAGATGATTAAAAGGTATGATGAGATGAATCGGATGAAAACATAATCATCACGCAAGAAGAAAAACTATTTACCTGGAAGAGAAAAGTTGATCACGAAAAGAAACCAAAGGAAGATGAATTCATGGAAATGTAATGAACCGAGGAAATTGTATCAATAAGAATCAAAGAAACTGAAACAAAAGACTTAACAATGTTTCTAATTATCCGATTTGATTAACACTTATAGTCCGAATCAAGTAGCTTGATTATCATTTAAATTACCACAATCACCTCATTTCTGATCACATTGATTAACTTAATCATTAGCACTTTGAGTCCTCCTCTCACCTCCGCCTCTTTGACTCTCAGATGAACCTGTTGATATGAATGAATATTAATGTTTGCGATTATTAGTTGATCAAAATATCATCAATTCTGTTGTCAACCAATCAAACTTTTCATCACTTCTCATCTTGACTCCTACAAAATTAACTTATTTTCATACATTAACCATGATTAGATTTCAATTTATATGTTGATTGTTAGGAAACAAAATTGGTGAAACATGAATTGTATTCAGAATCAATTGTGCTTTATTTCATCTTTAATATTATCACTTTAAATTCATCATGTTGATTTGATCCACTTTTGACCCTCCAACTCCTTTAATCTAAATTAAATTTTAAATCAGTCACATCAAAATCTAAATCAACCTCATCATCTGATGATATCAATGTAATAAAAGTTTCCAATTTAATGATAACTTTGTGTGTTTCATGTGAAAATAAACTCACCTTGATTGGGTTTTAATTCACTGATGATAATTATTAATTAAACTTTTTTCAATTCATTGTTACAATTCAAAGTTAATCATGGACATTCAACATAAAGTACCAATAGTAAATCAACCAATGTTTTATTACTCTAGATTAGGACGTACCTTTAATTACAATCGTTCATCTGATAACCAACTAATCATTTCACCAGCAATCAACCAACAAATCAACACTGATGTTGATAATAGTTGCAAATCAAAAGGATCATCTTTAATAGCAACAATTACCAAAATGTGCAATTTCAAATTAATTAAACTTCATCAGAGTCGATGCATTGAATTGGTAAGTATTAACAATTAACTTGGACAACATGATTGGATTGTCATTAATACTAATTATTGAAAAGCATAAACTGCAACAATTAAACTGATCAAATAATCACATAAGAAAATCTCTTCATCAATCTCTTAATCAAATCATGGATTTGACCCCAAATAATTTGTTTAATTGTAAAAATTAGTTAATCATCCATTACGTTGTCTAAAAACTAACCCAACAATTTGTTTATTGATATTAAATAATAATCATGATTAATAGTAAATTGATATTGTTTACCAATCTAAATAATAATAATAATCAATCAAATTATTGAATGCGAAAAAAACAAACATTGTTTAACCTTTAATCTTAACAATCAACAACAATCAGTAAAACCCTGAATGGATTGGACATCACAATTAAAGTAAAGTTAGTTGATTTCATTACAACAATTAACTTTTGATTGACTTTACCAATAATAACAATGAACAGCAAAGATTCAGGGTCAATATGTAAGATGAGTAGATGATGATGACGAAAGAAGATGAATCAAAATAACGGTAAATTCAGTTTTCCGCCTCTTCAGCGTTCGCTCCTCCTCTCCCCACCCTCAACCACCTCAAGTGCCCTTGTTATGATTTTTGCTCAACTCAGGCCTCGATATTGTTACTTAACTTTTCATCTTCAATTCGCTCTGAATCATTGATCATCTTCTTAATCCAGTTGTTAACTTTTTTAACCGTGAAAACTTTTTACTCTTAATTGTTTATCTTTTTTTCATTCATCATGTTGTTTCAAATGAAAAGTTGTTCATATTCATCTCATTGCAACAAAACCATAACTTAATTTGTTTAATAGAAAATAATTATTATCACCCAACTTACTGTTTATTCATCGTTTCTTAATTGTTATTTATTAGTTTGCAATCATTAATCCAATCGTGGATTAATGATCAGATTCATTTGATTATATCCAATCTTTGTATTATGGTGAAACCGTTAATTGAGTCTCTTTGGTCATTTTGTGAAAATAATGTTAATTGTTACCGATTAAAAATGACATCTCCAACTACTCATTTCACCAATTTACCTGATTCTCAACAAAACAATCAACAACAATCACCAAATCACCACCAACATAATCAAACTAACTTTGTTGATCGATTCAACAGTTATTGTTGTCCTTCCTATCCAATCAATCATTTCCACCAAAATCATTCATCAGCTAATTGTTGTAATGATAGTCTTCAAATCGCTACAATTAAATCAAGAATATGGAGATCACTTTCAATGGTATGTTGTCTGATTAATTAATTACAGTGGTAACTGGTTAAATTGGACATCGACTGATTGATCAGCAATTACTTAATTCTACTGTTTTTCTCATTAAATCTCTAAAATTAATGAATAGATGTTATTAATTATTTGGATTGTGAACAATTTGCATGTCAAACAATCAAAATTCGAGCTCAAACTTTAATTTTTCTCTTTTACTCTTAATTAACTACAGGGTCTTTCGTTTTTTGCTCTCATCTTATTAATGAGTAAATTTTATGATGTAAATAGAGAAGTAAATTATCTTAAATATATATCAAATAATTGGTTATCATCTTCATCTTCATCTTCATCATCATCAGCTGGTGCTCTTCACAGAATCAACAACAATCAAACATCAACTTCAACAATTGTACCAAATGAATTACAATTAAATTCAGCTAATCATCAGATTGAGATTCTGAAGCAAGATTTGGCCATACTCATAGGTAAGTTTTACTCACTTTTCTGTCCTAATTAAATTTAAATTGTAGTTTTAATCAACCTAATTGTCACTCAACAATTGTCACATAAACATAAACAATGAAGCCCAAATCAGTTAATTAATAGCAAACAATCAAAATTTTCTGATTCTTTACTTTTTTGTCTAATCTTTTTTTTTGTTTTTAGTTAAGTTTCAAGGTTAATTGTTACAATTAAAATTCAGACTATGATGATCTCGATATAGTGACAGTGATAACAATGTAACAATTGAGTTTAGATGATCAAGTGACAATCAAATGAAAGTCAGAAAATACAATATACTAAATTAGGTCGATATAAATGTTTTATTTTCTGATTTCCATTGAGAGTTAATCACAATTAAATTGTCTAACTTACTAACTTTCGCTAATTTATTTCTTATTTTTGATTGATCATCTTCATCACCATTTAATAATCATCTTTATCATATCTCGATTTTTTTTCTAAATTTTCACCATCAAAATCAGTAACAAACCAACGAACCAAATCAACTGATTGTAATCAACAAACTTTCAGTAGTTTGTTGTTCAATCAACCTTTACAATCAGTTAAATTACATTTTTACGTTTTGATTATAATCTCATTTTTATTTTCTCATGTAAACAACAATTAATACCAAATTACTTTCAGTTCGTTGATAAACTGACTAATTAGTTGGTGTTGATAATGATCATCATTAACTACGAGCTAATTAAGTTTCTGAGATTCCGATAGAAAACAAATCATTTAAATCAAACCATTAAAATCAATCAAAATCATGCAATCAACTGATTGGGATGATGTCAATCTTATTAGACTAATTTGACATATACTAATCAACGCTTAACTACCATGCAATTAATTACAGGTGAACTATGGTCATCAAGAACTACTTTGCTATTAAGTGTTATTTTTGTAATTGTTTACATATTAAGTTGGATTTGGATGTCGTATACAGTTCAGGAAGATCACACATCAGTAAGTAATCAACTAATTGCTCTTTGTTTACAACCAAAATTAATCAAGTAACAATTTCATCCTACTTTAATCCGAACTCACCCCAACAGATTCATAGTATAACTTTAAGTTGATTTAATTGTTATCATTGTATTTCGAGCGTATTTCTTACAATCAGTTGATTTGCTTTTTTGTACTCCATCAATCAGTATCATTGGAGATCTTAATATTAACTCATAATAGTTTTGAATGTTACCAGTACAACAATAGATAAACAGTAACAATAACTTAAGAATAGATTGTAACAATTAAAGTTTTTTCTTCCTCATCACTCACACAGAGAAAGCGATTCTAATTGTAAACATGTTATAAGTGAAAAGTGTTGAAGTTTCAACGTGTTAACTCAACGCATGTAACAATCAGCGAGTTAATTAACTAAATAGTAACGATAAAGATTAGTCCAAGTTCAAACTGTTTTCCATAACTTTTCAGATTCTGATGGTTTCTCACAATTTAGTAAACTCTAAATTGTTGCCATTCATCATCTTCAATTCATATTATTCATTATCATTTAATATAAACTTGATTTATAATAATTTCCTCATTTTGTCAATAGCAATTGTCAATCATTGAAAGTTTACTGAATCAAATTTACATTGCAAATTTGAATCAATTTTTGATTGGATTGAAAAATGAAATTAAATTTAAATATAGTTTCCAAATAATCAAGATAAGTAGTAACAATTATAATTTAGGTTGCAATTATTTCAATACAATCATTCATGATTGAATTTTGATTTTTCCATCATTTTCATTGATGACAATTTGCTGATTGTTTGATTACAGAAAGATATATCGGTTAAGACGATCTTATTATTGACTGTATTTGCGGTTGTTGATATCGCTGCTTCGGCTGGATTTGTGTTGGTCCGCATCGTCATGGTAAGTTTAATTCTGCAAATGTATTGATTGTATTTTAATCGAAACTTTCAAAATCATTAGTATGCACTGAGAAATCGCAACTTTCCAATGGAAATGAGACTTCCGTTCGTTCCTGGTGAACATAATCAGTTAACTGCTTTTGTGGCTCTTCGATTAACAACACTCAAGGTAAGATTGCGATTGATGGTTTGTGTAATTTGTATTGGTCAGTTTCTTTCAGGATCAGTTGATCGCAGTTCAGATTTAGAGTTCAGAGTTTGATTTGTTTTGAGACAATTGATGAATAGTTTCGAGTGATGAAACTTTACTCGACTTTACGTAATCAAAATGTCCTTAATATTCAGCAGCCTACAAGAAAATATCATTATGATGATTACCATGTTGATAAATGATGTTGATTTTGGATTAAGACCTTGACATGGCATTAAATTAATCCACGGATAATGTTAATCAAGATCCATAATCTTATATAATTGTATCGTTAACAAATTATATTGATTATGAGATCCAAAAATGACATCGAGTGAATCATTAATTGCAATGTCTAATAACAATGATTAAAACTATGAATTAACATTTTCTCCGACAAATAAACACGCAATTAAATGTAAAACAAAACATTTAGACGATTGATTCAACTACTAATTATTGGATTTACTTGTAATCTGTCATCTGGTAATTTGGTAATTTGGTAATATCGATTCTGTTTTTCATGATTGTTGGGTGGAAATTTTTGTCGATCTATATTGATGGCACCATCATTTATAATCCATACAATTAACAAATCTGATGAATTAAATGGGCTTGATTGATATGAAATAATATTTCGCCATGAAGGTTAATTGTCATGTTAAAATTGGATTAAACTTTTCCATTTATATTCCTGATTCTTGCTATGTAGCTACTGAGTCTTAATCAATGATTGCTTGATTGCTTTACTTGTTTAGGTTTTTTCTTTTGTCCTCTTTTGTTTATTTGGCGATTATACAGAAAAAACCGGAATAATTCAATTGTTTCGATGCATAAACTGACGTTGATTGCACCATTTCCTCCTTATTGACTGTTCTTTTGTCTTTATTTTGTATCTCCTCCTCTTTTCCCAATTTTTCCGATGTAAAGTCAAGTTCAGGTACAACTGATATATTCGTGGTGATTATTATTGGCATATTAACACTGCTAAGATTGTACAGCGTCATGTGTGCTGTTTCCTTTTACAACAAAGCGAGGAAAAGTGATCCAAGTTATTACAATAAAAGTAAGTCCATGATTGTGATTCCAAAAAAAGTATCAACATTAAACGTCACCATCGATTATCATTGTCGATTTATCATTTGATAGAAACAAACTGGAGTCTGGAAAATAATAGGAAAATAATTGTATTAGTGACCAGGGAATATCATGCAAATGTTGGAGATAAAAGAACAATTAGTTTTGCATGGTAACAATGAATTAATACCTTGAATCTTTTTCCCAAATGAGTGAGAAGCAAAAAGGCTTCAGTAATTTACAGTGAGAAGAAAAAACTGAAATTTCTACATGTTACATCATCTTGTTTCTCTTCCATTGAAATCCACAGAGCCAATGACCGTACTAGAGAGCATAAACTCGGGACGGCAACAGCCTCATCCACCTCATCCACCTCCGCCAATCCCTGACACAAATGGTTTCCTGCCAAGAGTATCAAACGTTTTGTAAGTAGATGGTGAGATTAGGATACGTTTAATTGCTCATTATCAGTAGATGGAATTAAATTGAAAACCGGGTTGACGAGTGAGAATTAATTACTTTTCCAGAGAAAGTTGATCTGAAATGTGATAAAACTGAATTAGTATCCAAAGGCTTGGTTATCACAATCATCAGCTTAAAAGTTGATAAAATTCTGGTGGAAGTCAAATGAAAATTACCAAGCAATTTAATAGGAAAAAGCGACAAAACGATAGTTTGATTACTTTGATTGTTATCAGCAAACCAAGTGTTGTTGTAGTAGCATTAGTTTAATCACATAATCGCTTATCCTTCCCCTCATTCTGGTTTATATTTTCATCAGAATATATCGGGTAAATTGTTCATTGTTTCCATGAAAACGAGTATGAGAACAGGTCAAAAAGGGTTACAGTTGAATAGTACGTAGAAATCATTGGTAAACGGAAATGCAATTCAACTGAATTTTCATGTTAACTTGTGATTCAAACAAAAGGTAATAAGAGTTGGTCGTTATTTGTTCTGATGATTGGTAATAAACATTCAACTTTTATGCCTTTTCTCAAATGGTTGTAAATTGTAGTTAATTTCTTTAATCCACTCGTCACCAAATAATTGCCAAAGAAGCATGAGTTCTGTGATAGTTCAAGAGGAATAGTGAATTTGGATTAGTTTTGAGCTTTAAACTTGATCATTTTTGTAACTTACTTTGTTTGTTTATTTCCACAGATCCAAATCTCAATCTAATTCAAGTTTGAAGGAGCGAATTGAAGTGAATCGTCGATTCTCAGTAACAGGATCAACCATGAGTGAAGAAGAAATCAATCGAGAATTAAAGATCCAAGCAGCCGACATGTCACCTTTGATGCAAAGGTCTGCGGTTGAAAGTGCACTCCAAGCACTGCGATTGTACAACACGGAGAAACATATCGCTGAAAGTATTAAGCAAGATTTTGATCGCATCTTTGAACCAACTTGGCACTGTATTGTCGGTCGAAATTGGGGAAGTTGTGTGACCCACACCAAAAAGTGTTACGTCCGAATGATTTGCAGAGACTTGACGATCCTTTTGTATAAATCAACCTGATTTATTTTCCACATTCAATATTATTGGTCATCAGCTTTTTCTTTCTCACATGAAATGTTTTCACTCCGATTCTTTAACCACTTTTTTCTTAAAACTTGTCATAATATTTACTACCTTTCATTATTCAATGTAACTGACCTGTCACATTGGTAAATAATTGCGTAGTAACATGTTAGGGATGGAAAGTATCATCACTGAACAAGAGAAACTTGTAAATCCCCTTTGAGTCCATTGGCTCCATAATCGAATCTCATTTCCTTTTTTGAACCTTTTGTTGGAACTCTCTTCGAATTTATTGCTGCCGTTGAATATTGTTCGATGGTCTTAAATACTAAGAGCTATTGATCTTCTTGATTCACGTAGTTGACTGTGAAAGAGAAAAGGAGAAAGTTTCAAATGAATGGATTACTTGAACTGATCAGTCCCTCATCTTTCAATATCTTGAGAAATGATTCTCGTGATTAATTGATAATTAAAGTTGCAGAACGACTTGAGAGAAAATACTTGCCTTTTTTTTCTTGTGTCGTTTTTGTTAAAATTTTTTCTTTTTCTGGTTATTTCTTCCTCTTCACAATATTTTGCTTTTATCACAATTTCAAATTGACCAGACTGGTTATCCTTAGCTTCAAATGCGATGGTCAGTTTATCGATCATGTTGTAAAAGCCATTCCATCAGAGATCTGATTGTTATCGTTGTTGTTCAACAGTTGGAACATCAAAAAAAAAGATACAAAAAGATTGACAACATGAAGAACAATCGCTTCTGGTGAATTTGCTGTTCTTTTTTCTCTCTTCAAATCACCAGGTAAGATTTTCTTTTTCTTTAAAACGGTCGCCATTTTGTTGTATCTTCGGTAAAAATCAGCATATAAATAGACGACTAACAAGCAACCGGATATCTGATTGATAAAAAGATTAGTGGAAGATAAAGAAAAAATTTAGAATAAAGAAAAAAAATGTGAAAAAGGAAAGAAACACGTACAGAAATGTAGCTAGAATTTGGCTTGAAGCATTAAATTTATGGCTCCAAGAATTAAAATACCAGGTAAATAGAAAGCACAAAAATAACCGTTTTGTTTACTTGTGAGTTAACCTGGAAAAAGTGAAGAATAATAAAGTAGGCGGTGGTAAAGACTCGATGGTGATGATGATCAATCCAACATGAATGAGAATGGCGCTTATTTATCAGGGTGAAGGTGAAGGAGAAACAAATTATCCTCTCAAGTACCCGAACGAGATTCATACACCGGTTTGATTGAGAAACGTTTCCCTCCTCCAACAGCATCTCCACCCAATCATTTCCTGGGTTGATGGTGGAGCAAAAAAAAGCTTTTCATGAGTAGAAAAACAGTTTAGAATCTGCGAGAAAAGAGAAGCGATCATTAAACAATTCAAGTGGATTAAAGATACAGAATAAAACAAGAAAAAACGATCAGTAGAAAAAGAAAAACAATAGAGAAAAAAACGAATGTAAAAAATTGGCAACTTACTGTCAATAGTTAATCGCGTAACCATCATGAAGAAAGTGTCACTGCGATTGTTGTGTTTGGAACAACAAAGAATCGGAAATTTTTTGTTTCTCTTGAAAAAAGAATCACAATTAACAATGAGGAAGAAAATTAAAAGGAGAAAAAAGCCCGATGAACATCAGAGGATCAGAAAGAAATTGGAAAATAAACTCAGCTGATTAGAGAATGAGAGAGACGAGAAAGAGAAAAGAGAAAGAGAAACAGTTTGATTAGAAAGAGAAGAAAGAAAAGAGTAGGTCAAGGTGATTGTTTGGTTTTCTTTTTATTCTGACATCATTTTTATCTTTCGTTTTTCGCATTCATCTTCATCTTTTTCTTATTCTCATCTCACTCTTCCTTTTACATTCAATTTTCTTCTTCCTTCTTTTCTCCAATCATTCTAATTCTCTCATTTCTTCTCATCATCATTTCTTCCTAAAATTGTTGCTTCCTTTTTTCCTCTTTCTTTTCTTCCACAAGGTCACTTATTGTTCCTTTCGGAGCCATTTTTAAGTTTTATGTAATTTCTCGTGAACGTGAAAACCTGATGATAGAAGTTGTTAATGTACGTGTCATGATGATTCTCTCTCTCTCTCTCCTTGGCTACTTCATCCATCATGAAAGATGGAACAAGATAAATGTCTCTTTAACATGTAGATCGAATAGAGAAGCAAAAAGTAGATCATTGATATTCCGCATCTTTTCATGGAAACGAGAAGAATATCTGATTATTTAGAATGACCCACGAAGAGAAGAGAATATTGTTTTCGTATTCTGACAGAAATTTTCTTATTTCGAACGAGTCAATCATCTTAATCACCAGGATCAGAATCAAGTGAATCTCAGAAACTTGGAGATGAATCAAAACATAACCATTCAGTTTACGTGTTGCAATTATATCACTTCGAGTGATCAATTGGATGATGAAAGAAAAGGGATGAAGATTAAGAGACTCGAAAGGCGATGGCCAAAAGTGATAATCCATTTGTCGAGATTAATCAGTTTTTTCATTTTCTACTTGAATCAAAGGCGAAACTTTTCATCAATCTCACTCATTGCTTATTGTTAATCGTGTGGATACTGACAAAGCTAATTAAGGAAATAATTGGATCAATGTCATCGAGGATTGAATTGTAATCAAGATCAACAAATAATCTGGTGCATCCAATAAATAACATTGGATCACAATTAATGACAAGACCTTTGGTTATCAATTGGGGGAACAAGTTAATCAAAATTAAAATTAAGGAAAAGCTCAATTACTGGCGATGTTAATCTTACCTTAATTGTTGCCATCGATCTACAATTAGACATGACAATCTATTTTGATGGATCTCTCTCTCTCTCTCTCTCTCCACCACCTTTACTTATCATTATGGACTTTTACTGAATCACTCAAGACACACACTCACACAACTACCAACAATTAATTGATTGCTCTCGTTAATTGACAGTTACAATACAAGGCGAATGTGTTTGTTTCCACTTCCCTATTAACAAAATTTACTTTTACTTTCATGATGATTATTATTATTATCATCATCATGATCATCGCCATTATAATAAATGCATAATAATTTGATTTAAATTGACTTCACATTGAGAAACCTTGTAACAATTAAACCTTGAACCCAATTTCCTTTTCAGTAATCAACAGTTATTTGAACAACAGAAAACAATTTACAATCTTATCTTTCTGATTGTCAATGATGATGATGATGCTCGTGATAAACAATCAACAACAATTAATCAATTGCTCCCAGTATTTACCAAAAACTGGTCAGCTAAATCTTCAATCATCAAGTAACAAATTGCAGATCAATTGTCAACATTCACTAATTGTTACATCATTTAAAGTTAACCTTTAATTGTAAATCAAAATGGGAATGAAAAAGTTTACACAATTAACATTTTCACACTCAACAATCAGCAACTGAGACGCAAATGACAATACAAACCGTTAATAATTAGACGACTAAAGAAAAAAAAAACAAAAGTTGCGAGTTAATTACAATAATTAAAAGTAATCAATGTTAATACTCAGTTTTATCAGAACAACAATTACAATTGGCAAAACTGTTAATTAGCTGGTGAAAAAATGGCTCAACAATTAAAGCGAACAGGATTAAAATTAAGTGTGGAAACAAAAGTAACTATAAACTGGACATTGTTTTTAATTGTTCATTGAAACAATTAAAAATGTCACACAATTAAGATGGAGTTGGACAGATTTAGAATGTCGATCGGTTCGGACAACAACAATTAATCAAACTAATTACTGGTACGAAATGATTTGAAATAACTGACAACCGACAATCAAATAACAATTAACTATTGAAAGCCCATGAAAATTAAATAATATCCACAATATAAATGGTTCATCAACACGGAAGCAGATTAATCAAGCAAAAGTTGCCAAATCCTAATTATTGGGTAATTACAGTAAAGTTAATCATTATCAAGATAAATCAAGAGTTAATAATACATGTGAAGTTTATTTGTTCATCAAGGATAAATGATGATGATAATTTAAAACACACAACAATTTAATCAGCTCACAATTGTGATAGTAAAATAAGTGCATCTTGATTGTGATTTTTTCTTCTAATATTTTTGAATCATTTAAGTCATGGTCAAGGGGAAAGAGAGATGATTAAGATGATAATAATGATGATGAGGATGATAATAAGCAACTGAAAAGGACCAACCCCGAATACAGTAGTTAGTTAATTGTAATTGATGTTGGCCACAAGGTTATTGGATAATAGCTTTGTAATAGCAGCAAGAAAACAACAACAACAACAACAACTATCAATTAGAATGAAAGTTTTCATCTAATGCGAAAAACTTTTCAAACATCAACCCTTTTTAAATGTTTCTCGAAGCTCTTCCCACATCATTTTATCGGTTAAACCCACTAACTAATACTATTAATTGGTTAATTAAGTTTCTACGATCAAATTATCACAGTCAAAGGTCAATTCATCCACTTGGGTGTCCATCAAATGAATCGGGAAGATGAGGAGGATAAAAGCGCTTCAGGCTTTCATGGTGATGGAAAGAGTTACATGAGATGTTCATTAATCAAAAGCACTTTTTTAGTTTTGGTAGAAAAAAAAAAAACAAAAGCTTGAGCACAAAAATCGCTGGAAATGAGTGAAGATGATGAATAGATGAGTAGATTGATCGCAAATCATTTTAATGAAAATAATCAAATTAATTTAGAAAATCTCATTATTCGCAGTTCTCATGATGCAATTACAACTTTTTTCTTGTTAATCTTTTTCTTTTCATCTTTCATTTTGTATATTCTTTCAATCAGTTTGGAAATTTGATTCTTAGTTATCATGAAACTTGACTTTCGAATTCGATAACTTGATTTTCTGTTCGTAAGAGATGAGATCAGTTCTAAAGACGGAAAATCAAGTGATGAGGAAAGAAAAAACTTCCATTTTTATCGTATGAAAACTGAATCATTATCGTGATTATCATCATGATTAACAACAATCATGTAGATGTTTTTGCTTGTGGGATGTTGATTATTTCAATTGCCTTTTGACTGTCACTAATATCAAATAATTTCCCATTCACTTTCATTGGATAAATGTGTTCACAAGGTAAACTAGATTCTGATTATTATTTCATGTTAACTCTAATTCAGAAAAAAATTTATCACAATTAAAATTGAATCAAATTTTCTACAAAAAATCAAGTGAAACAGTTTATTGGTTGTAATAATTTAAACTTGTACACAATTATCATGATACCCATGCAATCAAAAGTGTTTTAAATGCAATCAATTTAATTGTTTCCAATATTGAATCATTAGCGATTTTATTTTTTCAATGTTAATCGAAATTGAAATATATGAACACTTATCATTCTGATAACAATTAACCCGATCATTTGATTCTATTGCAATGTTAATGTATTTGTAGCAACAAATTTCTATCACTAATTGTAAGAACTGCGAGTAACAATCAATTTAAATCATTTATTTCCTTTAGAATGTAATTGCAATTGAATAGTAACATTGAAAAAGAGACAACGTTTCATATGAGAAAGAGTATTAAGATCGACATGAAGTGTTTAAATTCAGTGAGAATGATGAAGAAAAAAAGAGACTCGGAAGTGGAAAAGAGAGAGAAAAGATGAAATTACTGTTAATTGTCTTCCCACATCATCATGATAATCACCATCTTCTAGAAGATATTAAGAAGAAGATGCCAGAAAGAAAGAGGAGAAAAGGTATAAATGACTTCAACTGCAACTGGAATTGGTGATGTTTCATTTACTCAGAGTCAGAATCACCATGAACTCTGTTGGAAACCAGAAATTCATGGACCATGTTTTTCATTCTGAAAAAGGCAACAAGTGACAAACATTTGCAAACAATTCAGGTAAACCAAGCAGACAAGTAACAACAACACCAGCAGCTAATTGCATTGAAAGTGGCACTAAACCAGCTAATAGATGATAATAATAATAATAATGATGATGATGATGATGATATAAAAATAATAATTCAGGTATTAGGTAGCTTAATGTATCATTTTCAGTGCATTATTGATGATTGTTGTTGTTTTTATGTTTCTGTACTTTTAACTTGTTGATCATTTTTTCATTCACCTTTTTTCACCATTAAATTAGACAATAATTAGCATTCTTATTAATTTCCTTTTGATTTTCTTTTTAATAGTTTGGGTGATAAATCATTTTAATTTTAATTTCAGATTGTTAATCATCTTGTGATGCAATTAATCATTGATGTTTTTATTGTTACACTGAGGTTAATGGCTGTCTTTCAATTGTAACATAAAGTTTAAATGCCTTTTGATAGTTTAATTTTGTTTCGTTCACCTGAGGTTTATTTAATTGTTATTAGTTGTTACATCTGATTATTTGTTGATTATATTTGTTTCATTTCAATCAACGTGTTGCTTGTTAGTTGATTTTGATTAGATTGACTAGACTTTAATTATTGACAGATGATAATAGTTGGTTATTATGTTAATTTGATTTTGTTGTCATTCAAATGTCAATGTAATTGTAATTGTCATGTTAATAACCTTTCAATTGTTGCAATTAACAAGACAATTATACCATAGATAATCAATCGGGAATAAAAAATTTGTTTTTTCCGAAACATTGATTAATTTTAAATCGTTTTTTCTTATTGATTGTGAATTAATTGTAAAAACGATTATCAAAAATAGTAACAACTATAAACAGATTTAACAGAAAACGGAAAGAGTGACAATTTGAGAGACGCACTTGAAATTAAGGTCACAATTAATTCATGTTAATGGATTTTCATCGTTTCAGTGTAAAATGATAATTTTGCACATTACGAACATTTAATTTCAATTGAGCAATTAAATTCTTCTTGGCAATTGATTAAGATGATGCTAAGTTAAGGTGGTGAGGAAGTAGGTGTACATTACATGAAAGGTGTGGTGGGTTTATCATCGTTCAGATGATTGGTATTAGTGGATTGAAACTTGTGTGTGGGTGAAAAAGGTTGAGTTTACAATTTAATTATGTAAATTAACATTGACTTGTATCATGATCTTGATCATGAATCGTCATCATTTACATCAGAATTAGAGTGATGATGATGGAGAAAATAAATTCGATGAAAATATCAGCTTATGTAACACCTTAATCAGAACAGAGATAAAAGTTTATTCTAATACTTGTTACGACAAAAATTATGATTCTGATCATCATGATGATTAAAGAACGCACAAGAACAGAATTAATATTTCCGGTTCATGATTCTCGAGACGATCAAGGAAATGATAAAATGATTTGAATGAGAAATGAAAAAGAAAGGGCAAAGGTAAGAAATTGAATTGACCATAGGCGATAATTAGAGCTAATTAGATGAATTACTAGAAGCGAAATGATATTTTCTACTAAATCATCTGGCGATTCTTTTGTTATCGATCCCGTTGAATATTCATGATAAAGATGAAAATGTTCAGCGTTTCGATTCGTTGACTCCAATGGTTTGGGTGTTTCGTTTGGAAAGTTATTCAAAAGTAACTGAATGAGAATCGTTGTGATCGTTTCAAGGCTTTTGATTTGACAGAACAAAAGAAAAAGATTAAGTCTTATCTTCTTTCTATCATCTTAATGATGATTGTTACTATTCAATGTGTTGCATCATTTGATCCAGGATTTGATTCGGTTTCACTTTTGAGGTGCTTCTTATTGGTGTTAATTGGCACGATCTTCATTCAATCAATTAACGAGTCGATTCATCTTAATGTTCAAGTAAAAGTAAAAAATTTCAATGAAAATTGGAGCCAAATCATTTCTTTAGGAATCTGTGTTCCTTTAGTTTCAATGTTGTTTGTTTCTCAATCAATTGTTGATTTGTCATCATTTCTCTCCAACAATCAACATCAACAATCGTAATAATTGTAAAATTAACTTCCGTATGTTGTTCATTTGCTGTTGTTGTCATAATGATTCTTTCTTTTTTCTTATCTTCAATTGATCTTCTATTTTTTCTTCTCATCTTTTAAATTCTTTCAACTTTTCTCTCTCCATGTTCTTGGCTTTGAAATCGTTTATCATCTTTCCAATTTACAACAATATCGTCTTTTTGTCACTCGTCAAATTGATCAAATTTAATGACGATTTTATCTTGGAAACATCAATGAAATTCATTTGATTCACCAAATCATCTATGTAAAGGTAAAACAAGAGAGAAAAGGAAAGAAAGAAAAGAAAGAGAATCTGAACCTAATTTTAAACGTGAGATTTTACCTTCGGCTGGTGAGCTCATTTCCAGTCACTATGATACAACCCGCTCTCTCTCTCTCTCTCTCTCTCTCTCTCTCTCTCTCTCTCTCTCTCTCTCTCTCTCTCTCTCTCTCTATTTGATTAGTTGTTAAATAACAATCAATTGACAATCAGCTTTTTCGTTTGTTTTTCTGACTAATTAAAGGAAAAAAGTGAATGTCTTCTATTGTAAACATTGTACATCAAGTTCAGGTAGAAAAACATTTACCACATCATCAGTTTTTTTTCTATTCGCTACTTCACTTTTTCTGAAGATAAAGAAAGAGAGAGAAATGAGATGAGATGAGATGAGATTGACAAAAGCGATTCAGTTCCATTGATTAATCAGAGATTTTAAATCATCTTTGCTTTTTGTCTTCTTCTCTTTTGAAATTCTTTTGTCAATGAATTTCTCCCTTTACCTTGTTTTCTCTCAACAGTAAAAACATTTATCACAATTAAAGTGTAAAAAGAAGAGAAAGAAACAGATGATTTATGAAGATGTTGATTGTTTCATTGATCATTATTCCGAATCAAGAGAATGCGAGAAAGAGACAGAAAAAGATCAACAAGTTTGTTGTCATCAAGAGAAATGCGAGAAAATCATTTTGTTTGTTGTTCATCAACCAGACACAATCATGATAATCGTTTCTCTTTTCATGTTGAGAGTTGAAACTTTCAATTCGTTACTCGAGAAGCTTAAATGACTATAATCACTTTCAATTCTTTGCCTTCATTTGTTTCTCTGATCATCATTTCGGAGAATCTAATTCATCGCCAATTGAGCTCTTGGTGGAAACACGTTTTTAATAATAATGTAATAATAATGAATAATAATAATAATGTATATTTATAGGATGTATAATGTGGTATAATAATATAGATTTGCTTTTGTTATATCTTATAATTTTATATCTCAGTAATCGTTTCTTTTTGTTTACCAAGTTTCTTTATTACAATTTGAAATAGTTTAACGGGTGGCATCAAAATGATCGTTATTGTTTCTTTGCTATTAATTATAATTAATTAATTGTTTTTTTCTTTATCTTTCACAAAAGAAAACACAACTCGAATTCATCATCACAATGTTCCAATAAATTTGTCATCTCTTTTTTTACGTTTTTTTAGTAATTTTTGTCAAAGTTGAAACAAGAAAATTAATTCTATTAAATTTATCATTTTATCCTCACGGCGACTTGGTGAATATTTTGTTATGTCTTTTTGTTAAGCTAATGTCTTTATAACAACAATTGTTTAATTCATTTTATGTATATGTTTGGTGGTGGTTGTGGTGTTTGTGTGGTGTGTGTGTGTGGCTTTTATGTATTTATGCGCGTGTATGTGTATTTAATTAAGCAATATATATAATATTTATATATATATAATGTATAATATATATAAAGTTTCTATGGAGGCGATGATAGAAGTTCTTGTAAAAGGCTTCTCTTTTGATCACTTCCACTGTTATTATCACTAGAACCAAATGTCATGGATCCTTGGGCTGTTGAAGAGCTTGAGGTTAAAGGTGATGAAACCTGAGACCCGCTGTCAAACATATTACTGAACAAAGGTGATCCCGGTCCACAGTTACTCGTTACACTAGTTCCACTGCTCACTACTCCAAGTTCAGAGCAATCGAATGAAAAACTGAACTGTTCCAGTTCAGCCGCAGTAAATGGGTTATTACTTGAGGAAACACCGAGCATGTTACTGCTTGTTGATTGAGATGAAGATGGTGTCATAGAACTAGATTGGTGCAAGTGTTGATTAGGTTGCTGTTGATGGGATTGAGGTTGTTGAGCTTGTTGTTGTTGGGGTAGTTGTTGCTGCTGTTGAATCTGAGCTTGTTGACTGCGAGCTCCAACCATTGCTCGCAACTCTTGTCTTACAAAATCAGATGAAACTGTGGAGGCATTTGAAGTTGATGTTTGCACTCCAGAAACAGATCTATTGTCAAAAATGAATTGATTTGGCGTTAAACCGGAAGGGTTATTCGAGTCCATAATAGGGGTACTAGGTTGAGGATAATTATAAGGACTGCCCATACTGGTTCCTGGACCACCGTTACCGTCATCACTAACTACTCCTCCCCTGTTAGCAAATCTTGGTGAATTGACTCGAGCTGTCATCATTTGAGGCCTTGCTGGTACTTGTTGTTGCTGTTGATTACGAGAAGGCTGATTTAACATTCTTGGTTGACCAATAGCCGAACTTGTAGCCGGAGAAGTTAATGAGCCAACACAAGAACCAGGAGTTTGTCGATCAGATTGATACAATCCAGGACTTGATGGATATTGAGGAATAGGTGAATTACGTGAGGCAGCGTGTAAAGGACCCGGACTTGGACTGGCCATAGATCCTCGACTATTACACAAACGCTGGGTAGCTGGAGATGGCTGTGGATTACACCTTATATTAGGTTGAGCAGTGGCTGTCGTAAATGTACCCTGAGAAAGCTGAGCATTAAGCATTGGATTTTGTTGCTGAATTCGATTAGAAGGTAAACCTGTTGGACCTAAAGTTCGTATGGTATTCGGTCCAACACTACCAGCAACAGGTACATTGCTGGTAGAGACCGGAGGTGGCCACCCATGAGGAGCACTGACTGGGGATGATGTTGATGAGGGTTGGGGAGATGCTAGTTGAAGATGCGTTGCCGGAGAATTGGGTCCACGACCACCGGCAGGAGAAGGTACATTGCTGTATGGATGAGGTGACATACGATGGGAAGGCTGGGGAACTGAGTGACCATAAGTTGATGAAGGCCCTCCTGTGGATGGACTAGTAAAGGTTGACTGAAGTGAGGTTGAAACTGAAGATGATGGTGGCCCATTTCCACCTCCAGCTGGAGATTGAGGTAAAGAACTTTGAGCTTGAACACCTCCTGGAGAAGCACCAACATTTAGAATAGGATAACGAGGACTTAATTGGCCTGCTTCGGGTGTCATTGGGCCCATTCTTGCTTTATTGTGTAGAGCAACATTGGGAGGCATCTCAATATTATCGGTTTGAGGTGTATTCAAAGTATATTCTTGTTGAGTCTGTTGAGCCAATAAACGTTGTACTTCATATTCTTGTTGGTTTTGAAAGAGCCGTTGTTTTTTAGAGTCGATAGGCCCTTTTCCCCGAGGCTGAAGTTGTAAAGGTGGTCCAACAACTCCGGGAGTTACATTAAACTGATGATGTTCAGAGGCTCGGTGTTGAATTATTTGTGTTGGAAATTGGAGGTTGCCGTTGGGATGAGGCGGACCCGGAAACCTTCTCATTCCGGGTCCTCCACTAACTCCTGACTGTTGTAAAATTAATTGTTGAGATGCTTGAGGTGGTCCGGCAACTCCATGAACGGAACCTTGCGTTGCTGTAGGAACACTGGTTACTCCATAAGCTGGTGGCGGACATAAAGGAGACTGAAAAGCGGGGCTATTTGAAAAATTAGGTTGCTGCTGTAATGAAGGTGAAGGAAGAGGACCCGTTCGATGAGCGAATACCTGTGGTCTACTTGAAGCCGGCATTGTACCGGGATGGCCTTGTGGTTGGGACGGTGAAGATTCACAACTCATCAGTTGCCTTTGGATCTCTGAAATGGCTTTCATTTCATTTAAATCTGGCGGCGAAGAGGCAAGACCTGGACCACTAATGCCACCAGAGACTATGGGTAGATTAATGGCCGTGGGAACAGCAACGTTAGAGGAAGGAGAAGGGTCAAGGGCCTCTTCAAACATCATATTCAACATATCATCTGTTGTGGAATGAGCTGTAGCAGTAATGGTACCTTGAGTTGACTCTATGTTCATTTCTTGCTGCAAACTCCATACTTGATCCAATATTTCGGACAGCAATGGGTCCTGTGGATCTTGTGGTGCAGCTAAAAGACTGGATGAAGCCAGATTGGATGAACTACTGGCTGATGAGCTAGTTGTTGAAGATATTGAGTCTATAAATGCCACGTGAGACTGTATGTTTGATGACTGAGGTGAAACTTGTGGTAATGATTGTTGTGATTGGGTAGATCCAGACAAAGTAGCTTTAATTTGTCCACTCACTGAAGGTTGTCCACCTAAATTTGGTATTTGTTGATGGTGAAGGCCTGGTTGAACATTGGTAATCTGTTGAATTTGTTGTGCTGTTGCTCGGTTATCCCTGTAAAACAACATAACAAAACACAGTAAAAAAGATTTAGTTATAAGGTGGAAAATATGATTAAAAGGTTGAATCAAGAAACAAAATCAAAATGAATAAAAGAGCCTCAAATGAATAGAGTGAAGATTTACCTATCCCACCATAATACAGAATCACTAAGAGTGCGAGGGAGGAAGCCAAGATAGAGAGAAAAACAGGGAAGAAATGTAAAGATAAAACCAAAAAAAGAAAGAAAAGGAGAAAGAGAAAGAGGGAGAGGGAGAGGGAGGGAGAAACTAAAAAGAGAGTTACAAGAAGAGGGAGCAAGTAAAAAGTCAAAGGAAAGAAAGAAACTATCGCTTCAAACTAAAAGAAACAAGTGACAAGAGAGCGATTGACTACGTTGGTGAGAATAGAGAGAAGAGAGAGAAAGAAAGAAACAGAAAGAAACAGAAAGACAGAGATAAAGAAAGAAAAGAGAGAGAAAGAGAGAGAAAGAGAAAGAGAAAGAGAAAGATAGAATGAGTGAGTATTTAAGTGAGTCGAAAAGATAACAAATAGATTGACGAAGAGAGAAAGGAGAAAAGAGAGATAAAAAATAGCGAAAGAGAGAAGTGACTAGAGAAATGCTGAAAACAGAAAGAGAGGGAGCATTCGACGGGAGAAAAGGTAAATGGAAGTGTAAGAAGGCGGACGATACAAAATATTATGGGAAGGAAAACCAGTCTGAAGGGGGAGCAGTTTAAAAGAGAAAAAGAAAAAGAGAGAAAATGAAGAAAAAGATGATAAAGAGAAGGAGAGATATGGGGAGATTAATGAAGGGGAGCGATTAAAGAGTAATTGATGAGAGAGAAAGAGAGAGCTGGTATTTGTAAGCAACATCGAGTGAGCAAAATTGTTTAACTAGGAAGAGAAAAGATGAACCAATGAATAACTATTGAAAAAACTCAACTGAAACTATTTGTGTTTACTATTTGATAACTTGATTTGGCTTAGGGTTAAATGTTAACTTTCCAGTGAAAGAAAACAGCGTATCCATGATGTTAATCATCACAAGAGAAAAAAGTTACTTTTTCAAGAGAAACTTTTCAGAAAAAACCTAAGCGGGATAAAATGGCAGTTCGATGTATTTTTTTCTTTTTTATTTCTTTTCTTCACACACAAACACACACACTTCTCTGCTCTCCACCGCTCCTTTAACTTTCTTAAATCTTTTCCATTTTCTTAGTTTGCTTTTTCCCTTCTCTCTATTCAATGTCTTATGTCTAAAAGTAAATCGAGACAGTAAAGGTAAAATTGAGAGAAAGAGAGAAAGAAAGAGAGAGAGAGAGAGCACGGGAAACTATATAGAATAATAGATGATGAAAAAAGAGATTGAAAGAGACATCGAAAAAAAGAGAAAATGGAGAAATGAAAGGTAAAGGTAAAAGACTCACGGGAAAACTGGAAACCTTGATGGTGTTTGTACAATCTGAACTTGAGTTTGACTATGGAGGGTTCTAAAGTTTTGATGTCCGCTATTTGATACAACAAATGCCTGAGCCTGTTGGCTAGTTTGAGGTAAATGAAGTTGTTGTTGTTGTGGCGGCTGAGGCTGTTGTGGTTGATGTTGATGTTGTTGTTGAAGTGGAAGTAATGGAGGAGCCGGTTGACGAGGTTTAATCGTTACATGAGATAAACTTGAAGTCGGCGCATTAGAAATGGAAACTATTCCTTGCTGTCCTCCTGAAGAAACATGAGATGAAACAACAATAGGTGAAGAAATAGACGTAGCTAAACTTGTTATTCCAATCATTTGGTTTGCTGGAGTGTGAATTAACTTTTTCTCCAAATTTTTGGGAAGTCTTTCTTGGGGCACTTGAGACACAATAGAGGTTGGAATAGACATTGGGGTTGCTGGCAAGGTTTTCGGCGTTTGCGCTAACATTGAGGTCAACATTGGATTTTGTATAGCCAATTGAGCTGGTTGTCCACTAGATTGTCCAGGACTGACAACTACTCCACTGGTGCTGCCACAGGTCCCTCCTGTTGCTGCTATTGCTGTAGTTGTACTTCCAATAGAACTGGACACACCGAGACCGACCCCTGACACACTACTTGAGGCACTGCTAATAACGCTTCCAATACCTTGACTTGAACTCGCTACGGTTCCTCCAGATAATCCTGTTAGCGGTGATTTACCGGTTTGACTATATTGAGGCCCTGGCGATAGTCCTCCCATTGCAGGTCTTTTATTGGTTGAAACAGCACCGAAATTACCAGGAGTTGGGGACTGAGAACCAGAGATTGTCTCATTTTCAAATTGATGTTCATCAATTGATTTTCTTTTAGCGGATTCAGATCCTCCGCTGAGACGAGATGAGGGATGAGCTGAACCAGGAGAAGGAGACATTAATTCAGAAAGACTTGTGGGTACACCAGAGCTCTGATTGGAAGAGGAAGATTGACCTTCCTCTTTCCATAAATGTGCCATTAGCTCTTGATTACGTCTATATGATTTACTATCATCATCGTTCAATAATTTACGGAGCATATTGTTGTTATTTGAATTATCGAGTAGTCCAAGGGCATTTGTTTTGAAAAATACATTTGAAGTGTTTCCACCAAAAGGTGTAGTTGGTTGATTAGATGAATTAGTTGCAGCTGATGATGTCCCAGCCATCATATTGGAACTTGAATTACCACCATGATGTACAGATGATGACCTGTTAATCCCAGATGATCCACTAATTTCTTCATCTTCATCTGCATTAAGAAGTTCTCGTAACAGATCATTACTTCCTGAATTCGATTGATTTATATCTGAGTTCCCAGGCGAATCGGCTTCTAAGCCTTGTGTCAAGAGATTCCTTAATTTCTGAGTACTAGCAGGACCAGAAGGACTTTGAATAGCTTGTGGTGTTGCAGCAGTTTGCTCAGGACTAGGCATTTGTAATTGTTGGATTGGAACTGATCCAGGGGCTGGTGAGGGTTGACGAGATGATGAAGGAGGTTGTTGGGGCTGTTGCCCAGAACCAGAGCCAGAACCTACACCAATACCTAAAGATCCTTGCCCTGAGCCTTGTGATGGCTGTGATAAAGAGTTGATAGATGATTGTTGGGACTGTGATGACTGCCCTGATTGCGATTGTTGAGTTTGTTGTTGATTTTGATTTTGGTTTTGGTTTTGGTTTTGGTTTTGGGATCCCGAAGAGTTACTTTGATCACTTGTTCCCTGCGCGAGAAATTCATTTGAAAATGAGTTTCCCATTTTCAGGCTTGAAGTAGAAGAGCTTGGAGTTACAACTGGAATTGGACTATTGCGCTTTACAGAACTAAGATGATTAGAAGCAGATGAAGAAACTGATGGAGCAAAACTCGGATGTGATATTAGAGACGAAACGTTTAAAGATGCTTGGGAATTTTGCGACGTGGACGTTAAATCGTTGGATCTTACGCCGGTCATTGTGATATTAGAACTGGGCCCTCCTTCACCAGTGTCAGGATTAGAGTCAAAATCTGACATTGAAGGAAACATTTTCGAAAGACCGAGACAATCATTAATAGGGAAATCTGATGATCCAATATTACTAGAAGGACTAATAGGTGTCAAAGGCTGGAAAGGTACGGAAATAGAAGTCATAGACTTGGTGACATCTCTATTGAAAGAGGATGCCGGTGATTCAACAACAATAGAATTATCTTGTAGCAAATTAGAAATACCCGTTACTGTACAAACTTGTTGTAACTGTTTTTGTGGCTGAAACGATTGTTGTTGGCACGAGTTAATAGATGCTGTAAATGAAAAGAGTAAATAAAAAGAGGTAAATCAATTAGAAGACAATTTAGAGGTTGTGACAAATCAAGGAAATTTAGAAAAAAGAAAAATCGAATAGCACAAGATCGATAATCTCGCAATTAATTAAACAGAAAAATGAGTAAAAAAATAAATTGAAATTATTAATGAAAAGAATGTGATTAAGATAAAACTAATAACCAATTAAAAGATATACTTGAGTTTGCATTGTCAATTTGTAAGAAAATGATTTGCTAGAAAACATTAAAATGATTTTCTATTTGATCGGTTTGTTAGTTGATTTAAATGCGAAGCCCTTTAAATTGTCAATAAATTGTTGCTGCAGTGATCACAAGTTCGCGCATTTTTTGAACGTAAACACGAGAAGATGAATTGATTGACACAAGCAAAACTCAAGTGAAAAGTAGGACAAGAGAGATGCAGATGAATTCGGAAAAGTTTCGTTCAAGTGACAGTTTTTATGAGAGACCAAAGTGAGCACATAAAATAGATTTTCTTGACAAGATATTTTTTATCTTTTCTTTTTTTCCTCTCAAAATATCAATCTTTCTTTTTCTATTTACTCTGTGTAATAATTTCACGTGGATTATGTATAATTAAAACATTAAGCTGAGGATGAAATTAAATCTATGAATGTCATGGTGGTTAAGTTGATGATGATAACAATTGCCTCACTATTTAGCATTAATTTCTTCATCTGTGATCTGTAAGTAAAAATCTTTCACTAATATATTATTGTTTCCCTCATAAAAACAGCAATTGAAACGAACCAGCATCTGCGGAAAATGGTAAATAACAGAGAAGAAAAAAGAATCAAGGTAATAATCCAAAATGAGATGACGTACCAGTTTCATCTTCCCTCGTTATAATTGAATGGAGTGAAGTGATGAAAACATCTTCTCCCGAGCCCCATCGATTTGACCTTGTCTGTACAATTAAATATTTATCCTTAGTGACTTGAAACTTATATTGAGATGTCAGATCGACTTTTCCCTCGCGAACGTTTTTTAGATGACATTCAAGAGATTTGCGATCATCTGGATGACACAAATCTAGAATACATTTGTTTATCAAATCTCTATTCAAGTATTGCGAGTATGTTGAACTGACATCACTAGTGTCGATTGATAATATGTTGCCATTTATGTCCAATTTGGTAGAAAATAGTTCAACAGGTTCAGATAGTGATGATTCGGGTATTCGACGAGCCATACAAAAGACAACGAAATCATTCCCACTGGGGGACAAACTTAACCGATCAGAACTCGGAGATTGTAACAATGATATAGAAAGTTGTAAATTCGCATATCTTGGTTCACTTAAACGACCAGCATCCGCGTCAGAAAATTTAACTAAAGGGCCACCAGAAACTGATTTATTACTGGTACTAGCACCGGAATTTTCACATTTACTTTTTCTAGTTGAGCTGTTGTTTGTTAAAGATGATAAAACAAATGGACTGTCAGAGTCACTATTGTCATCATATTCTTCATTAATTACATCATTATTATCATTATCATAACTAGATGATCTGGGGTTGATTAAGAGACGGGCATTCATGATTAAAGTTTTGTTTTTTCCTGATCCAGACGTTGAAAATTCACCAAAAGATTTTGCACCAGCGATGAGCATACCAGGGGAAATTTCATTTGAGCATGATGTTGAGGAGAAATTACCTGAGGATGATGATATATCAGAGCCTCCATTGCCACTAGCATTGGTACTACAGCCACTTGTACTTGCTCTTTTCAATGCAATCAACTTGGAATTGAAATTAGAGCGATCACCAACATGGATTATATTTTCGATTGGTTTACCACGAAGCTCTTGTTCATTGTAACGCAGGAAGGCAGTAACATTACGAGTAATATACTCAATTTTGCCACCTTGATCAACGACAAATAAGAAACCGTTAAGCGCATCCAAGATCCAAGGACTAATTACTGAATCATGGCTCAACATAGATGCCGATGAGGAGACGCTGGCATCTTGGTGGCTATCGGGAGCTTGATACCTCTTATTTGCCAAGTGGATGCTGTTTATCTCATCGAATGTCCGGTTCAGAATATTAGCCTTGGTACAACCATCATCTGTGCCCATCTCAGCAGAAAGTATTCCTACTAGTTCTACGAAATATTCAGATTCCTCCGCACGTCTAAATTTCTCGCGATCGTTATTAATGTTTCGGCGTTCGGACATTAGAAAAGATCTATCAACGACATCTCACCCACCAGTTAGTTAATTAGAAAAGCACCATTAAACAGCAAGAAGAGATTCACAACACTCACAACAAAAACAGATTGTAAGGAAAGAGTGAGAGAGAAACACAGAAAGAGATGAAGAAAGAGACAGAGAAAGAGGAACTGAGAAAAAGAGAGAGAGAGGAATAGAAAAAAGTGAGAGAATAGAAGTAAAATCAAGTGATGTTGATTAATCAATTAAATTAGAATTTAGATGATAAACAAACTGGAACCAAAAAGGTAACACAGGTAAGTTACACAGTTTACAATTAAAATAATAATTATAATTATAGAAATTAATATTATTTTTAATCATTATTAACACTTTTATTATTATATTTTGATGAAATTGTATAATAATATCAATATTTTGTTTTCTTTCAAATGAAACTCTCTCTCTCTCTCTTTCTCTCTCATTCACTTGCTTTTCTCATACTCACTCATTTACTTTTTCATTTCTCTTTACTCACTTGTCTCACTTAAAATGGCGACCAAGGACAATGGGGATGCGAAAGGGGGTCGAACTGTTTCCATGGCAACCAAACATAAACAAGCGCAAATTTCCAATCGTTTATTTACCTTTTCGCTTTTACGATTGAAACATTTTCATCTTCATCTCACTTAAACTTTGTTAATCTTTAGATGGTCACTTACATAAGTTTCCCTCTTTTAATGTGCATCATCATTATCACTCACTGACCAGCATCTTAATGGTTCATGACAATTGAACTTGAGAGTTAAAACTTGGTGAGAACGGAAAACTTTGTCAACATCATCATAATTTTCATCGTTTTCATGAGATTGAATTTGTTTTCCTTTTCTCCTTTGTTGTCAATCAATTGGTTTAGTGTGTTGTTGGTTTGGTAATGAGAGAGCAGAAAATTTTGCTTAATCCAAGTTAGGTGGACCTACGCATTCAAGATAAATGGTTAATCATTAATCGAGAAGTAAACGCATGTTCCATCCCATGGAAGCTCAGAAAAGTGAGTGTTCACACAGAGGTAAATTAAAGTGAGTAAAGAGAGAGACTAAATGATGATAAATAAAGAGAGGGAGATGAGGAGAGAAAAGGTTGACTAATGTCCGAGTAGAAAACGATTTGATTATTTGTCTGTTGCGAACCTTTCATACCTCAACTTAATTCGGACATTTTTCACTCTCGTAAATATATTCACCTTTTTATCATACCTCTCGTCATTTTATCTTCATAAATCTCATCATCATCTTAGAATTTTTTTCTTCTTGTTTTCATTTTTTATATTCCAAGAAATTGATCTACGTGAAAATATATTTTCTATTTGTGTGTTTATTAAAAGCTCATCTTGTTCCAACCGAAGACCTGCTCAGAAGACCAATCAAGTTCTCTACCTTATTTAATTAATTAATTTCTCTTCTTCTTCATCACCATCATCCTTTATCTTCCAAGTGTAATCTCCCTCTTCTCATGTGTAAACATTTTCTTTCACTTCTCCTTCTTCATCTTTCATAATATAAACAAAAATATCTGATATTTGGTGATTTCTCTTTGTGTGTTTATATTAATTGTGTATGTTGTTTGTGTATCAAGTTAATCATTTCTCCAATGGCAGTGATGTTTCCAGATTCTCAGATGAATTAATACAATTTAAATTGAGCGAATCAACCAGAGAGACGAGAAGAAGAGGAAAGAAGAGAAAAGACTCTGGTTCGGGAGAACGAACAAATTTGGGTATTTAATCTTCATCATCCAGAGGAAAACAACAAAGGATAAAGAGACACTGGAAGAGAAAGAAAAAGTTATTCTTTCATTGGCCTTTTAGGTAATTAATGGTTCATCATTTTATTGATCCTCTTCTCTCTCAGTGTAACCCATCCTTTTAATCAAATTACTCTCAACCATTAACAACGACATCAAATGCAATCATCTAAATGTGATCATTGAGAAAAACATTGGTCTGGATTTGTGATGTGATAATCAACAAATGTTAATCTTCTAGTCTTTAATTCAATTATTTGCTTTTTCTTTCCTTCGGCAGATTAATAATGAATTGTTCCATTTTTTCTTGGTTAACTAATGATCGACCATTTAACTGATCATCATTCTTAAGGTGAATTGTAACTTTGACATTGATTCAGTTTGACTCTTTCTCTTTGTGTCCTTTCACAATTTAATTTAATCATTTGTTTACTGATCATAATATGTGTTGGTCCCTTTTCTTGTTCACCTTTAGGTTGAATTTACCTTTCAACGGTTCACAGTAACAGTAGTTGAGCATCAACTCGACTGTTACACATACACACAAACATACTCACATCTTTCAATTCTCATCATCATCGTCATCATCAACACCATCAAGAGAGAGAGAGAGAGAGAGGAGAGAGAACAACAATAACAACTTGATCTGCGGCGGTAGAAGCAACAACATTGCTTGTATCTCTACATGAACTCGGTTTTCTGGTGAATTCTATTGATATATATTCCTTTATATTAACCAAATTGATTGGATTTTATCTCGTAAATTAATCCAATTACACTCGATAATGTGTATTCTTCATTTCTATCACTTGGTTTTCTACTGAAACAAAACCGATTCAACATCTTGTTTTTTTCTACAAACTCTTGTGTTGTGTTTCTTGTTTCTTCTTCTGTCCATTCGCAATTTTTTCTTTCTCTCTCTTTCTCTTTCTTATCCCTGTTTCCATTTTCTCTTTTAACTCTCAGTGTGTCTTAACTTCATTCCTCTTTTACTTCTTCCACTCGACAACTTTTACAACCACAGTTTTCAAATTTTCTGCAACCAATCACCCAGCTCTCTCTCTCAACGCTCACTTCATAAACGGTGAAGGAACACATTTATTCATCAACCAGCCAAAGATTCAAGACCCTGTTTTGTTTTGTTTCCTGTTTTTCTTGCAACTTAAATCAAATCAACAACATTAACCTACTCCACCAATCATATTATCAAATATTAATATGAAGGCTCAAAGTAAAAATAGGAAAAGTCCGACCTGTTCTCGGTGTCGTTTTCATGGCGAGAGAGATGTCCGAGTACTACAACATAAATGCCCCTTTAAGGATTGTTCTTGCTCCGATTGTCTCCTAGTCAAGTAAGTTGATTAATCCATAATTCATAAGGTTATTAATAACAATCTATTCTCTGTGATTGTTGTTATTCCACATCAACTAGTATAAGAATAGTAACAGAAGAATAACAATTGGTAACTTTTTTCTTTCTCACCTTTCTCACTTCTATGTGCTTTTCGTGTTATTCATTGGACTTGAGATTAACGAGTCATTTACTCAGATAATCAACTATTTTTAATCCAATTCCCCAGAAAACTTGAAATTACTTAATTTAATCCTTGATTTAATATTACAATTGATGATTGACTAATATCTTTTTTCTTTCCTTATCTCCATCCCATGTTATTGTTATCCTTTAACAGAAAACGATCCATTATTTATAGAGCTCAAAAAAACTTGGATAAACAAGATGAAAATAGCAACGAGGTTTCATCACCAGGTATGTTTTTTATTCGAGTTCCAGTTAAATTCGTGACGATAGCATGAATAGAACAGAGTAACACAGTACATAGTAGAACAATGTAACCTTGATTCTATATCCTTTTCTTCAACGATTATAAAGGTAGTGGAAGTACAGGTAGCAGTCGATGCCTGGGAAGCCCACAGATTCCCATGCATCCAGGTAACATGGGAGATAGTAATGAACCGAGTTTACAAAACCCATGGTCAACAAACCAGCAACCGCCACAGCCTCTTCCCTCGCAACAACAACAACAGCAACAGCAGCAGCAGCAGCAACAACAACAACAACAACAACAACAGTTACAACCGCATCAACAACCACCAATTGCACATCCACCAGCATCTCTTGTTCCACCTCCGCCTCATCATCAGATAGCATCTATCAACTCCATTCCACCTTCTAAAAACAGTATCAAAGACTTCCCAACATTGTGCCTAACTTTCCCGGACCATACACCTCCCCAACTACAGACTCTTCTCGGTAAGCAGTCTGAATACTGTCAACTTTTTTCATCTCTCGTTGATCATTCGTCTTTTTTTGGTGATCTCTTCTCAACCATAACAACCTTTTGCCAAATCCATATTATTCAGTATCACCCAAATTCGCAATTTAGATTTTCTGAACTGACAAACTCTCATTACTCTTATATTTATTTTCTACCTCTCTTTCTTTTACCTTCTTGATTGGTACTTGTACCTCTTAAGGACATGCCTGAGTCGTTTTCAACTACCTTTTTCATTACAACAATCAAGCAACGACAGTAGTAACTAACTTAGCACATCGCTTACAGTTTTCAGTATTTAACAGCCTAACAACAACACAACTTGATCAACCTAAATTTTTCCGTTCTTGTTTAGACCGTTCTTGATTATAGAGAGAGGGGAAAGGTAGAACCACGAACATAAATTAAGGATAAATAATGCGAAATGGGAGCAAAGCATATTTATCTCTTATCTCTTGTTATCTTCTCAGTTCAACTCAAGGGCCGAGAGTACAACAGTTATTAATTACTTAAACTTAATTCACTTATCCATTGAAATTAATTTCGTAATGTTACCGTTTATCTTCATTCTTTAGCGTTAATTTATCTCTCTCTCTCTCTCTCTCTCTCTCTTATGCATATTACTTATTTATTTCCTTCTTTTTTTCCTCATCTTTCTCTCTCCTTATCCTAATCATTTATAGAACAATGTGACAATGATTATGAAAGAACAATTGACAAGATATTGACGAGAAAATGGTATAGCGATTCTTTGAGCAATGATTATCAATCATTGACAAACGATCCAAATTACTCAAATAATCATAACAACAATAGTAACAACAACAACATCATCAACAACAACACCAACCACAACAACAATAATACAAATAGTAATAATAACACTAATAATAATACTAGCAACCATAATCATAATCATAATCATAATACGAATCATAATAATAACATTAATAGTAATAATAATCACAACAATCTGGAATATCCGACTAATGAAGATGATACTCGCCTTTCGTTTGCCAATTGCCATTATAATCAACAACAAGCACCAAGTCAAAGAATGATGACCGCACCTAATTTCAATAATCAAGACTATACGGGTGATGAACTGGTCAATAGGGTAAATTGAATATCATTTTTTTGTCGATCATGAAAAGAAAAGATAAAATTTCATGGATAATATAACATATTATTCAGAATTGTATTTCACCTTATAATTTTTGCTTCTCCACTTCTAGTCCATTCAACCTCAAAATTCCGATGCAATGGCCTCCGATTGGTCTTATGGTGATACAACAAGATATCCAACAGCAAACTCTAACTATCCAAATAACAATACCTGGAATCAAGGTGATTATCCAACTTGGTCCAATGCAAGTTCAAACTTTTGGCCTACTAATGGTCACAACACATACTCATATGTTGATCAAAATGGTGAGTATCAAAGTTACTCGATTTATTTTTTTTTGTTTATTTATTTTGCTATTATTACCGTCACATTATTTCTAGATGCAAATGCTATGAGCTATTATTATGGTAGACGTGAAATGGACTATCCAGAATCCTCTGGTCATTTAGATCGTACGGTCAAACCTGAAGTTGGTCCAAACATATCATCAAACTATGATTTTGACTCATATTGATAACAATGCAACTAAAAGCCTCTCACCTTTCACCTCTTCCCTATCCGAGTTATTCTGTTTAAATTAATGATTTTACTTGAAAAGACAACAACAAGAAAATAAGAAAAAGGCAAATGATGGATAGAGTAAAGACTAAAACAGAACAGAAAATAAAATCAAGCGATATCATGATCACGATGATGACGTTATAAATGAATGATGATAAGGATGATGGCCATCATCAATATAATTACTTCAACTGCAAACTTTTAACTTTAATTACAAGCAGCGAAGCGAAAGAAATTATTTGAAAGCTCAAGCTCACAGGAGTACAAAATAGGACAACGTGAAGTTTACGGAACCCAAATTAAATCAACTATCATCAAGTGTATGATTGTTCTCTCTCTCTCTTCCCTCTCCATCTTCATCTTCCTCTCTTCCTATATATTTATAAACATAAATATATAAACATTGTTTGGACGATCTTAAAGAAAAAAGTTCCAGAGTTATGCAAAATCAATTTTCTGTTTCAGTTGAACTTCTAGTCAATAACCAGCAACAATTAACTCTGTCTCTTCTGGTTAAATTATGCATTTCGTCACTTCAGATATTCACCAACATCCAAACCTCATCAACAATTATCATGCAAAGAAAACTAAATTATCCAACAATCAAGCGACAGGAACAATTTCAAGGAACAGGGTCCGTTCGTTCATCGTTGTTGATCAGTTTTTTAATCCTCTGTGTCTATTGCTCCAAAATCAATTTAATTTTTTACATAATTATTCGTAATTTTAATCATGTTCAATTTTCATGTTCTGTTTTCTTTCACCTCCTCTTTAATTCTCTTATTCTTTTTTCCACCAATATTTCACCTTAATTTCATTTCTATTTTTCTCTTTCTCTCTAATTCAATAACTCACTCACTTATCTCTTCGATCCCTCCCCTCATCTTCTTTCTGTTTCGTCTTCTTTTCATTTAACTACTTAACTATAATCAATTCTATTTCTTACACTTAACTAATGATCTTGTAATCATCAAGTCGATGGCCAGAATTTAATGCAAACAACAAAGCAAAAACAAAGCAATAGGACTGATGGTCAACACTTGGTATCCATTTTGAACAATACCAACATATTCAAGCCAAATCAAGCAAATTAATGATTTCCATTCCTTTGGACTGATAAACTTTTATAAATTATATTATATATTGTACACGAGAGAATCAAGAAAACAAACTCACAAATCCACAGACTAAAAAACTCAAACATTAACACACAAAACTGACATTTGATAAAACAAACAGAATCTCAAATGATAAATTAAATTGCATTGTTTCAATTGGTTTCATATGTGTTGCTCATTATTTTGTTTAATATTCTATATTACAATTTAATTATCCACAACAATATTATAACTGTGACAATGAAATATTAAAATACATTAAGACAAAGCTCAAATTCAAGTTGATTGTCAATCCTAAATGATGGAAGCAAAATAATCAAGTTGATGAAGAACAAAAAAGTTTTTGGAAAAATTTTTATTTCGATTTGATTTTTTCCCTGCAAATTAGAATTGAAATTTAATCGTAATCAGGGCAATAGATTATCTAATCTCTTTTTTTCTATTCCTCTTCAATGGTTGGGGAGAGGGAGAGCCTAAGGGATCATTAAAATTATCCGCATCCGTTTTCTTCCTCTACCATCATGTTGATCCTCTTTTTCATTCCCAGAGTAGAGGAAGAAAAAACTCTGAGGATAAATGATTAAGCCAAAGTAATTAGAGGTGATTAGTTCAAGTAGAAAAGAGGGTTGCTCATGATGATATTTACTGATTCAAATGGACGTTACTGATGATGCTCTTCATCCTCATCCTCTCTCTCTCCCTATTTAATTTGATAGTCTCTCTCTCATTCTGATAATATTCCTTTAATATCGATTTCTTGATTGATCGCTGTTTAACCAATAAACTCAAACTTCTCATTCCCAGTTAAACTTGCCCAGAGTTTCACCTCTAATTTTACCTCCCTCCCTTTACCTCTTCTCCCAACATCATTATTTACCCTTTCTCTCTCTCTCTCTTCTTTCTCTTCCCTCTCTCCCACTCTGATGAATACAACATGGGACTTTTGAATGTACTTTCCATGTGTATTACCGGCATCCAAGTGATTCCCTCCTCTTGCTCTCTCTCTTCTTTCGTCTTCCCTGTCGTAATCATCTTCATCATTATAATCATTCGTCTTCTTCCACCTCCTTCTCAGTTCAACCCACTGTTAGCTAACCCAACAAATCGATAGATGTTGATTGAATAGAGAGAAAGACTCGAGAGAAACTCATGTTGTGTGTTTCCGATCGATAATCTTTTTTGGAGTAAATTTTTTTCTTTTTTTGCGCAAAAACTCTAAACCCTAAGCCCTCGATTGTATCGAGTAAAGCACAAGTAGAATCTAAATAATAATCATAATTTATTATTAGAGTATGTTAATCATCATGATCGTAATAATATAAAACTGTAGAGTCTCCTGAGTCTTTGTAACCCAACAAACTTAAATCTCAAGGGAAAATTAAAGGTAAAAATAGTAAAGTAGAAAGAGAAGAGAAATCTTCTTACCTTAATCATTCACTTCTCTTTCATCATCATAATCTTCCTCTCTTCATCATCCACCTTCAATCCACCTCCACTCGACCACCTCCTCCTCCTCCTCCTCGTCCTCTTTTTCCCTCCACATCCTATTGATTATTTCCACCCCTTCTCATCCTCATCCTCATCCTCATCTTCCTCTCGGTTAATTTAGTTTCAACTTGTAGCCTTTTTTGTTATTATTATTTCCCTTAACTCTAAATCATATTTAGCTTCGGTTTACCTGAAATTTATTTGATTTAAAATGATTAACCAACCATCATCTTCATCTTCATCTTCCTCTTTCTCGTTCTTATTTAATCTTTTTCTTCCTCATCCTCTTACTCTTTGCTCTTTAAATCATTTAACTTTTTCCTCTTAACCTCCATTTTCCTCATCATCCTCGTCATCCTCGTCATCATCCTCATCACAATTCAATTTACTTAATTCCAATTCTGAACTTTTTTACATCCCAATCACTCGTTATCAGCTTAACAAGGTTACAAAGAGTCAACTCATTTTAATTCAAATTAATTGCTAATCATCTAATCTGTTTGTTTAGTTTAGTTTTGTTTTATTTTCAATTTCAATTTCTTAATCTTAATTTCAATGAAATTAAATGAATCAACTTGAATGATGAAAGGAAAAAGTTTTCCACTCTCGAGTTATTTCATTCTTCACTTTCAATGGATTGAAATTTCCAAAGCAAATTTAATCTATTGATTAGATAAATTGATCTTTGAAATTTGATCAAGAAAAATCATCAATTATCGATAATTTGATTTGCCTTTTAATTATCGCACAAACGCAATCAACTCAAATGTTAACTTGAAGTATGAGGCTGAAATTTTGCCTCTTCTATTGATCGCAATTAATTAATTTTTCATGTTTTCTTAAATGAACGTTTATATTGATCAAATTGAGTAAATTAATTGGTTTCTATCTTCTAACAATCAACAATTAAATTTTCAATTATTCATAGAGATCAACTTATCAACCTTAACAACTTTTTGTTAATCAATGAAAACTAATGTAATTAGTGAGAAACTATTATATTTACTGCTTACGTCACATTCTTTATTTATTCAGAGTTAATTGTTCAAATTTTCTATGGTTTGATAATCGATAAATTTCAGAACCAATTTAATAATCAATCTTTTTTCATTCAAATTTCGCGCGATTCTTTTTATTTCCTCAAACTGTTTATTGTTTTCATCGGTTTCAGATGTTTTTCTTTCACTTTTGTTCACTTGATAATCAAGACTCTTGATTGCTAATGTCTTAATTGTTTGTTTATTAATTTATGAATTACAAATTAATCATCATTAGTCTTGCTTCATTCACTTAATCTCACAGGTATGTGTTTGGTTAAATTCATCATCATTTTAAACTATACAGATTGAAAATTGATTTGTTTAGTGGTTTTCATTGTTTTTTTTCATTTTTGTTCATCAACAGATTATGGGACAGAAAATATTTGAACCTGGTGATTTGCAATCATCGGAAACATTTTGGAATGTTTTGAAACTCTCACCTCGAGATAAATTGGACAAATTTGCCGAAATGTGGTTCCATGTTTTTCTTTGGGCCTTTTCATCTTATCTTTTTGTTCATTTGGTCGCTTCATTGGTGGCTTTTATTTCGTTAAGGAAACACAAAATTGCTCGATTTGCACCTATTCTTTTAATCATTTCAGGTGTTGTTACACCTTTGACTATGAGTTTAATCACAAGCTCAGCGATTGCTGGTGTTTTCAGAGCTGCGAGTATCGGTATGAGTCCATTGAATGCTTTTCTATTTGGAACAGGACAAACTCTGGTCAATCTCACTTTTAGTTTCACACGAATCCTCGCTACTTTGTAAGACAATTAAACTAACCCACCTTATAAATTACATCTGAATCATGTTAATCGTTACCAGAACCATTGTACAAAACCATGTAAATATGTTTCACACTCGACATTTCCATAAAAGACAAAGTTCAATTGATTTTATCGATCGATTAATTTATCTAATTTCTCATTCAATCTCACAATTAATATTTTATTTACTCGAAAATCAATGCAATAGTTCAATGAGATCTTTTTAATTGCAGCAATTTTATTCATTTCATTGTTAACTTTAAAGATGAATATCAAATTAACTTGGAAAAGGAATAAACAATCAATTGAACTCATATTAACTCTTCTTAAAGGTTCTAATTTAAGTTTGATTTGTGAAGCTCCGAAAGATCAATTAAAAAGGTAAAAAGATTCTTTGTATTTTCATGCGATGTGTTTATATTTCAATTTTGTGTATAAATTTTGACCTTGAGTCGAATACAATTGTCAATTAATATTAAAGAAATAGGACGAACTCATATTGGACTCGAGATTGATATCGACCTGTTTTCTATGACAACATCAATAGAGAAAAAGAATGACAATCTCTCGAGAGATTATAGACAAGAGAAAGAGAGAAAGACTATGTTAATGATTTAGATAGAATTGGAATTGTGATCATTAGAATTAGAATTAGGGATATAAAGGGAAGGAAAAGAATCAACTGTAAAGTGAAACAAAATTAATTCGTTCAATTATACATAGTACAATGTAATTTCGACGATAGAAAACGTGTATCTGTGGTGTAAGATTGTTTTTTGTTGTTCGATTTTCTGGTAACATATCATAACAGAGAAAAGAGTGACCTCAGTAATTACAAGATTGTTGTCATTGATTAATGAGGTGCTGAGACTGTTATCCTTGGTGGGGCAAGACGACATGTTAGATTAATCAACTTGAAAGATACGTTTCGTAGGAAATTTGGGCACTGAGGTCGCATGGCGAATGTTTCAATCGTTACCCTGAGTTGGCGGAAGGTTTGAGCCGAATATGGATTACGTCTTGAAGCATATCGAAGTACAATGAATCGATAATAGAGAAAAGGAGCCATTAATGATCCCATACCGGTGATTAATGCCAATATGATGACTGGCATAATAAATATTTCAGAAAGAGCTACAGTTTGTAGCATTACAGGAGTGTAACGAGCGAGAAATAAGGAGAGATTATTTTGAAGATTGCGACTCCCCTCGAGTGTTTCGATGATGGTTAAAACAGATCGGGTCAGATGAAGAGAAGCAAACAATGTTAAGGGTAGAAGGACCAAGGTAATCGGATTATGAGACAAAAATATCAGGGAAAAGAAGAGATAATGGCATGAATCTTCAGCTAATAGAAGATCCATGAATTCACGATTTAATCGAAATGCGGGTAACCTTTGGTGTAATCTAATAGCAGAGGTAGCCCCATTGGCGAGTAAAGCCTTTTGATAATAACTGAGGGAACTGTTGTTAGTTAAGAAAGGAACAATATGTAGAAGGGTGAAGAAAAGGGTCGCTAGTCGAGTGAAAAATGTTAAACAGTAAAGAGGGTTAGTGGTTAGATATTGTATAATCTCATCAAATCCTAATCGGCGACCTGTAGGTTGTTGTTGTGATGATGATGATGATGATGGTGGTGGTGGAGGATCTCCAGCAGAGCTACTACTTTGATCAGGTTCAGGTGGCATTTTCTTAGATTGTTTTAACCCAAATTAGAAGTAATAAAATAAAAAGATATGTTGAGATTGCAGAATAATGAAATGATATGAAAAACCGATGGTAGTAAACAAAAAAGTAAACAGGATTCACACCAATATAAAGCTTACGGAATAAGCCTAAGAGGAAAATACAAAACAGAAAGCCAAGTGAAGTTCAGGTAAGTAAAAAAGAAAGTATAATTGAATCGATAGAAAATCAGCAAGGTAGTTCAGAATGATGTTAATGTCTTCCTCGTATAAACTACCACAGTTACCTTGAAGAAGTAAAGAAAAAGATAGAAAATCAATGTGATGAGAATTAAAAACAAAAAAATCAGTTGAATAAAAAGAGTTGAAGTATCAACGAAAAAGACTCGAGCTTCAACAGCAGCAACAATTTTGAACGATCAATAGTTACCTTTATCTCTTGACCAGCGAGTAACGTAACCCAATAATCACAATTAAACAAATTCAAGGAACACAATCAACTAATGGAGATAATAATTAACTGAGTCATTAATTGACTGTCATTATGAACCCAAATAAGAAAGCTGCTCCAATGAACCGACAGATGGCGAAAGCGAAAGAACAAATGATTTTATGGACCAAAAGATGGCGTTGGGAATTTCAAATTCTGAAATTCAGAATTTGAATGTTTATTGTTCATCAATCGTTCAGTTGATTGTATCTTAATTTATCTTTGATCTTTTGATTTTTGGCACTGAAACTTCACTGGTTTAAGGTAATTGTGAGAAATTTTGAATCTCTGATGAAAATCGTCCTGTTGCTCATTATCCTGAGCTTGTGATTTGTTTAATTTGTTTGTTTACTTTAGTGTGACTGACATGTTACCTTTAGGATTATTTTCAATCTTATATTTTAATCGGTTCATTTATTTAATTTAAATTCTATTGTTGTCTTTTATAGATTTTAAATACAACTTCTAGTTTGGATTTTCAATCTCATCGTGCAATCATGTCAATCAAACCAGCTAATCTTTGGTGTAAAGATATAACTACTCGAGGTAATGAAGTTAATCAAATTCTATTTCCATTTCTATCTGCCTCATACTGAATTTCAATACAGATTGTTTTTTTTTTCTAATATTATTTTATATACAATTTGCATTTATTTTTATTTAAAGAGGCTCGAGAAATATTACAAAAATGGAGAGAAGAGAATGCCCGGTGTCCAGAAAAAGTGAGAGATCTTTGGGTAAATTGTCTTTCTAAATGCAAAAGCCTTGGAGATGAAAGATGGCTGATTGTTGAACAAGTAGCCATGGCTGGAATGGATTTACATGATAATTCTTTGACAAAAGAATGTTTAACCATTTTGGAAGATAAGTTTCCAAAAAGCTCACGAGTTCGTCGTCTCAAGATAATGGCCAACATGGAATTGAGAGAAAGATACGAAGAAGCATTGAAAACATACGAAGCCATGATAAGGAAAGATGAAGCCAATTCTGTTCTATACAAAAGGAAAATAGCCATCTTAATAGCTCAGAAAAGAACCCCAGAGATAATCAAGGAACTTTCTGAGTATCTTAAGAAATTCATGAACGATACCGAAGCTTGGTTAGAATTATGTGATATCTACATCCAAGAACAGGCCTACACTAAAGCAGCCTTTTGCATGGAAGAGCTTATTCTGACCAATCCACACAACCATTTATACCATCAACGGTACGCTGAGATTCAATATACTATTGGAACCACTGAGAGCCTCGAGTTAGCCCGTTCTTATTATGCTCAAGCAGTGAAACTTAATCCAACCAATTTAAGAGCCTTGTACGGTCTTCAGTTAACTGCTTTTACACTTTCTAATCAACCGAGAATAAGTTCACAAAGGAAAAAAGAAAATGTCAAAATATCCTCATGGGCATCATCTCAAATTACTAAATTATATCAAGCATCTAGCAAAGACTCTCTGTCCATAGTTGAATCAATGATGACCAATCTACAGTTGTAATTCAATGTTCATTTTAAGATTGACATCTGAACATTAGAACCAATTTCTTTCCAAGGAACCAAATGACTTTCACCAAACAGTATAAAGGGAAGCAAATCAACTAAAAATAATTAAATTGAACCTTTTTTATTAGATCCAATTTGTATCTTGTACCCAATTCAGACACTTCTTTTATACTTTACAGTCAAAAAGAGGAAATGACTTTTTCTTATTTGTCATCAGAATCTTTATCGTTCATTTGTAGATGAAATTTTAAGAGATTCAAGAAATTACATGTAAGTTCCATCAAAGATCTTACAAACAAAATCTCTCGAGTGAATCTGCTTAAATTAAAGACTGAAGTTAAATCGGATTGTTTCAAATTAAATTGTAGCTCATTATCAACTATTCACTTAATCAAACTTTGATCAAATTCCAAATATAATTTACTGAACTTACATTTATATAAATAAAATAATAGAAGAAACGAAATTACAAAACATCACTTTTCACCTTTTCAGTTCGAGGAAAAATTTCACTTTTAGCTCTTTTCTTTTGCATTTTCTCAGTGATTTTCTTGTCTAAATAATCAGCATTCGGTAGGAATGGTTTCTTTCCATGGCGAGAAACTTTAATCCATCCATCTTCATCTGCAACTCCTTCCATAGCTTTGGCATTTTCTTTTTCCAATCGCACCCTTTTATCGTATCGAGCGATATAATTAGTAATATCTTTCTTAGTAGCTTCCAAATCCAGTATTGATTCATTGTAACAATGTTCCCATCTCCGTAGTCCTGTTAGTGGTTTTCCTTGACCTAAAGAAATAGAATAAAATTAACCTTTATGATTAATATGAAAGGATTTCTAATAGATCAACTCACCATATAGATACAAAATTTTCTTTGATTCAATGAGCTGGTTCATTGATTGAATACCTTTCTGATCTTTGAATACAACAACAGCGGCTCGATAACCATAGATTGGGGATATTTCACCTCCATCAAAAGTAGCTTCATTCATTCCGATTGTCTCAATGGAAGAATGAAATCTGATGGACTTTATAGAGCCAAAGGTCACCGATAGACTTTTCTTAACGGAAACAGCGTCACAAAAACCTGGCAAATTAATTAGAATGACACTTTTCTCTTTGTCAGAAGCGAGAGGCTTCACAAAGACATGACGAACAACTTCACTCGCTTTATTGACGACAACATTAAGCACTTTGATCTCTTGCATGGTTAACAAATTGACACCGAAAGAGAAACAAATTTAAATGAACCTCTTGGTAAACAAGAAAATCACATGAGACAAGAACACATGTTAGGGATCACATACTAATTTCCAAAGAGAGTCTCTTTAAATGGAACCTTTTTGGAGGTCATTTCAATAACATCGACATTAAATTCACGATTAAAAGACTTCTGGTTCGAAGGAAAATTTAAAACAAAGATTTTACTCAATTTTAATAGATTCTAATCGGCGAGAAGGGGAATAGAGGAAGAAGAAAGTGAATTTAAGGAAAGAATTGGTTTTATTCAGATAACAGATTTATGAACAGCTTTTCCAAGGAGAGACCCTAATATCATCTATCTCAATAGGAGTATAATCAGTGATGGTTGTGTGATTTTATGTTGGATGTTAGCATCTTTTCTTCAATGATTAATTTGATTTAATTTATTTAAAATTATCCCCAAAACATTTCGTTTTGTTCATCTCTCTAAGTGGTGGGTTTTATTTTCAGTTTGTTTAGTTAGCTTCGGAAGCAAGTTTTTGGGCCTTTTCTACAACTTCTTCAATTGGGCCAACCATGTAGAAAGCAACTTCAGGAAGGTGATCATATTCACCGGCAAGAATGGCTTTGAAACCCTTAATTGTTTCTGCTAATGATACAAATTTACCAGCTTGACCGGTGAAAACTTCGGCAACCTGGAAAGGTTGGGAAAGGAATCGTTGGATTTTACGGGCTCTTGATACAGTTAATTTATCCTCTTCGCTCAATTCATCCATACCCAAGATGGCAATGATATCTTGAAGAGATTTGTAATCCTGAGTAAAAGGAGAAAATGTGATCAGAAATATTTCATTGAAAACAGAGGAAATAAGTTTATGATTATTTACCTGAAGAATCTTTTGGACACCTCGAGCAACACCGTAATGTTCCTCTCCGACGATGTTGGGATCCATGATACGGGAGGTTGAATCAAGGGGATCGACAGCGGGGTAAATACCCAACTCAGCAATACCTCGAGAAAGTACAGTGGTAGCGTCCAAGTGAGCGAAAGTGGTGGCAGGGGCAGGATCAGTCAAGTCATCAGCTGGTACGTAAATGGCTTGTACTGAAGTAATTGATCCCTTCTTGGTGGTGGTAATTCGTTCCTGCATAGAACCCATGTCAGTTGCGAGGGTTGGTTGATAACCGACAGCAGATGGAATACGACCTAAAAGAGCAGATACTTCTGAACCGGCTTGAGTGAATCTGAAAATGTTGTCAATGAAAAGCAACACATCTTGACCTTCTTGATCACGGAAATACTCAGCGACTGTAAGACCAGTCAAAGCGACTCGGGCACGAGCACCAGGAGGCTCGTTCATTTGACCGTATACAAGAGCGACCTATGAAATTGAGGAGGACCAGATTAATTAATAAAAGGACAACGACAGAGCAAATTATTTTGATTATCCAAAGTCAAATTTACCTTAGAAGTTTTGTCCTTAAGACTGATGACACCACCTTCAATCATTTCATGGTATAAATCGTTACCTTCTCGAGTTCTTTCTCCTACACCGGCGAATACAGAGTAACCACCATGAGCCTTAGCAACGTTGTTAATCAGTTCCATAATCAATACAGTTTTGCCGACACCAGCACCACCGAAAAGACCAATTTTACCTCCCTTTGAATAAGGAGCCAAGAGATCTACAACTTTAATACCGGTAACAAGAATTTCTTGTTCGACGCTCATTTCAGTGTAAGCAGGAGCATCTTGATGAATTCCTAAGAATTTATCAGTGCTGATTGGGCCCCTATAAAGATAGTGGATAAAATTCAGAGTAAGTATTTGGTAAACCTAGAGCTTATTACTATTAATAGATGGATACAAATAAAAGATTAGAAAGTCACCTTTCATCAATGGGCTCTCCAATGACATTCATAATTCTACCCAAGGTCTCAGGACCAACAGGGATGGTAATTGGTGCACCAGTATCCAAAACTGCTTGACCTCTAACTAAACCTTCAGTACCATCCATAGCGATAGTTCTTACAGCACCTTCTCCCAAATGCTGAGCCACCTCAAGAACCAGTCTGGGTTTACGGTTTTCAACCTCTAAGGCATTAAGAATAGGGGGTAATCCTTCATCAAACTGAACGTCGACGACGGCACCAATGACGGCGACGATTTTACCATGTTTCACACTGCCGGATGATTGGGAGGCATACCTTCTCTGTTGACCTGAATGAGAAAATAAAATGGTTAAAATCTAAAAAGTAACGTAACAAACATCAGCAGAAAGTCATAGTCAAAGGCAAACCAGAAAATCTTTGCAATGACCTTTTGTACTCGTTGAAAACGTGATTAAATTAATTAACCAAATTTTCCACATTCAGAACTCAATTTAATTGAATGTAAATTGAATCAAAATGCTTAAAAATAGACATAAATAAAAATGTCCTTTAAGGTTGACCTCAAGGGCTAAATAAAACCATGAAAGCCTATACGATACATAAGAAAATATTGCAGATAGAAAGAGAAAAGAAAGAGAAAGAGGCAGACAAGTCTAGGGAAATACTTGAATGAGAAAAATAAGAATCAATTTTTCAACACTTACATCTACTATTAATTGCAGGAATTAATTTAAAGGTGTTGGTAGAGTAACTGAGACCAGGCTTAACTGAATTAAAGACGAAATTACAAACGTTCTTGGCGATTCCTTGCATTTTGGCCCAAATAATTAACACAAATTGACTAAATTGAAACAGTTATACTTTTGTTGTTGGAAATTCACCTTGTGAATGATGCGAACCGAACCAGAGGGCGTTCGGTTCGGGAGAAAATGTTTTTTTCTTTGGCGAAACATTTAAATTGTTACAATCAATTTGTCGATTGATTTGTTGAGACTATTGAATTTCTTATTAAGCGAATTAAAATCAATCGTTTTTTATTTAATACTGTGATTTTCGAGTGATTGTGACATTTTGTTTTTGCTTTTTGATTTGGTTTACAATTTGGTCAAGTTACAGAGAATCATTTTTCGTCATTGATTAAAATTGAGCCGAGAAATAGTTTGATTGATGAAACGTTGATTGTTTTCAATCAAATATTCCTTGGAATTAAAATTCGATCTTCAAAATTTCGAGAGCTGTTAATACCCATTCTGGGTAGTCCTTTTTACTCTTATAATGTTGATCAAGAGTTTGAATGATCAACGAGGGTAAATTTCCACATTCAATCGACTCCTTGATTTTATTCATGAATCGCATTTGAAATCTAACATTATGTTGACTAATCAGGTGACAAGCGACAGTATTTCGCTTTTTAAGAAGGTGGTAAAGTAATGATCGCTTGTAATTGTTGGCGCAAGCATAACAGTCGCAACCAGTTTCGATGACATTGAGATCATTTTGAAATGTTGACCATTTTAGATTGAGTTTAGTTCCAAGTCCAACTAGAGCACAACCGAAACGAGCTGTTCGTGTTGGGTAAACACAATCAAACATATCAACACCTAAAGCCGAACATAGTATCAAATCAACAGCAAAACCGACTCCCATTAAGTATCTCGGTTTATCCTCGGGAAGATTAGCAGTTGAACAAGCGACCATTTTGATGAAATCGACTTTACATTCCCCACCGCTCAGACCTCCAATAGCAACGCCCGGCGGATCTCTTGAAGCGATTTCCTTAGCGCATTGCGCCCGTAAGTCGGGATCTAACCCACCTTGAACGATCGGGAATAGATTCTGTCTTCCTTCAGAGCCTGAATGACGAGTCTTACACCGATCGTACCAACGGATGGTTCGATGTGTGGCCTCAATAAAACGATCCTTGTCTGAGTGTGTTGATGAGATAACATCATCTAGTTGCATGATTATATTAGCACCGATTTCATGTTGGATGGAAGTCGCTCCTTCTGGAGTGAGAACAGTTTCCATTGCATCGTCATAAGGTGATGTGAACACGACTCCGTTTTCATCGAGCTCCATAAGTTTGGACAAAGACACCATTTGAAATCCACCGGAATCAGTAAGTAGACCATTCTTCCAGTTCATGAACTTGTGTAGCCCACCGGCGGCAGCGACCACTTTAGCTCCTGGTCTGGAGGCCAAATGGTAAGTGTTGGACAACATCATGTTACATCCGGTAGCTTCGATTTGATCAGGAAGAAAACCTTTAAGTGTCCCATTGGTCCCGACAGGCATGAAAACGGGTGTTTTTACCAGAGTTCGAGCACCATGAGGGGAAGTTGGTTCCAAAATAAGGTCACTCTTTCTGCCTCGTGTAGATTTACATTTGGAGACAACTTTGAACTCTAGAGCTTTCATCTTGTTTCTCAAACTGAAATAAATAAAAAAATGAAAAAAGATTAATTAATTTTCTATTAAAATTTTGCAAAATTAAAAACGAAAATTTCCATCACAATGAACTGGATTATCATCGAGTCGGTGAGAAATCACAACAAAACATTTGATTCTTTCTGTTTACACATGAGAAGAGATCACATGTTTGAAAAGAGACAAAAACAATAACTAAATCAGTTGAAAAGGAAGACTTTCAATGAAAGAAAATCCTGATGATTAAAGATCAGAATAACAATAGAGATAAATAGAATTGAATTGAAGAGCTATTTAAATTTCTTCCTCTTTCACCCTGAGTGAGTTTCATGAGTGAAAGACACTAGAGCTGTATAAACAAATCGAAAGAAGAGCAAACTGATTGTTTGGCATTTCCATTCGTCTTTAATGACTCACAACTTTCGAATTTCGTTCTTCTCCAGAGAACATGGAGTCAGGAAGACGATGTGTTCTACCATTTTCGGAGACTCAAGTCGAAACCAGGCCATGTCATTTCTATGATTTTATATCAATTAAACTGTTCGAGGATCTCCTTTTACGATATATTAATATTTTACGGAGTATTAGAACCATTCAAGTTGCTTTGTTTCCTTTTCCTGTCCCAATGAAGATCAACTTCTCGCAAAACCATTTCAGTCAGAAAGCAACACTTTTCAAATAAATCGCAACATTTTCACACTTTGGTGATACTTCTGGTGTTTTATGACCTTTTCAAATGAAGAGCAAAACTTTTCTAGTCAACAGCAAGACATTGGTCAAGATACAATTCGACGGTCATTTTAGTCTTTGTTTTAGTTTCCCTCCGTTTTGATAATTTCTTGTGATTTTTATCAATATGTCTCAGTTATCTCAAGAAGTGAAAAAATTAATAATCGAATCTCATCGAAATAATAAAAATAGTTCTGAAATCGCGAAAATATTCAACACTAAACCAGGAACAGTTAGATCAATTATCTCTCGTTTCCGAAAATCAGGTACATTAGAAAGGGAAAAGACAAGGAAAAGAAAATTAAACGATGAGATCGTGGAAGTGATCAAAGGATGGGTTCGTGTTAATTGCCAATTAACATTGGAAGAGATCAGGAATAAAATCGAAGAGGAATTCGATGTAAGTGTTTGTGTCTCAACGGTTTATTATTGTTTGAGAGGTTTGAATTTCTCATATAAAAGAGTATCAATTGTACCTGATCGGCGAAACTCGGAAACTGTGATTTCAATCGTTAAAACTTTGGAGACCAAATAACCGAGCAATTGACCTTAAGTGGAATCGTTTTTATCATTTTCAAGGTTATAAGTAAATCTATTGACAATCAACATAGCTGATTGTACATGTTCATTATTATTGTTTGATTACATAATTATCGCCTTAAAACCAAACAATCAACTCTTCATTTCTTTCATGCTAAAAACTGACCTTTCGCAATTGACCATGAAACCTTAAATTATTCAGAACATTGAAAAAAGAACCTATTTAGATCGTAAAGAATTAAAAACCTTGAAAATTAAAACAAATTAAAAATTCTCAATCCGTTGATTAGTTTTCTCAAGATTTGATTTTGCATTATAATGATAATGTTTCTGTTCACCCAATCAATCAAGAACGATATTCGTGTTTGAATTTACGATCTTTTCATTTATTTGATTAACCCTTTAAGATGATTTATTGTTGGATTTAAGGATTAACATGATTCGTTTTGATTTATGATATAAATTGATTTGATTTCAGATTCAATCATTAGTGGAAAATAAACATTATGAACGTTCAGGGTAATAAAGATTGTGTAGGAATTGATGCGATTCAGATTTCCAGATGAACAAAAAGAAATAGATTTTTGAGAAAGTTCAAAAAGTGGAATCAAAAATTAAAGAAAGAAAATGGATACAGCGATTGGTCTGAATTCGAGTATAAATTCATTAAGGAATAATTAAAAGAGATGTAGATTAGTATACTGGTCTCGAAGGTGATGAATACCTCGTAATAAATGATTAAGGCGTTTGGAAGATGCTCAGAAAGGAACTTCTGGTTAAATATAACAGAGAAAAAGGTCACTTGGCTTGACGATATTTTGGTCTTCATTCATGAATTTAAGGTCACATGTCTGAAGCGATCACAGATTAAATCGAATTTTGATTGTTTTCTTAATTTATGGACTTCTGAGCGAGGACTTTTTGTGTTGTTGATCGCTCTGAGATCAGAAGATTTAATATCACTAGTGGAACAAGGTGACGATTCTTGGTACGACGAAGATAGAGTAGAATTTGAAACGTTGGCACCTTTTTGACGGATAATTTTGAATGGCATCGGTTTGCTACTTGGCTTTTTTGTCGACGGTTCAACATAACATTGATTCTGTTGGTCAAACTTTTTAATTTCTACCATCTCAATACGAGGATAAATCGAGCGACATTCGGAAGAAGGTCTGACGCTCCTGAATAAAGTTGGTTTACATTTGACTGATCTTTTTAATCGAACTGATTTCAGGAGACAATTTAATTCTTCCATGTCATTGTTAGAGTTACTTCCACTTCCACCGTCGCCACTACCACTCGCTTCATTGGTATTCTCGATTTTAGAAGTCGTCAGATTTGAGTTACTATTTGCTGAGGCTAATTTACTGAGTTCGTTAATCTTCTTGGTCAATCGTAAGGCCTTTTTCTGCATCCCATGTAGCTTGAGACATTTTCCATCTCTTGCATCACGAACATCCCAAGTATTGGCTGAAGATTCGTCCTGAAGTCTATTTATCCGCCGTTGAATGATAGCGAGTGATTTTTCCAACTTACATACTGTTGTCTCTTTTCTGGCTTTCTTTTTACGCTTTCGACATTTGCCCGAACAACTCACATGTCCAGTGAGCAAAACCAATTCTTTCATCATCTCTTTGTATATTGCATTGGCTTTTTCGTGGTCAGTCTGTTCAGATTCCAATTGACAACTGAATCGTCGGATAAGATCTTCGAATGAGACCTGATCCCAGTGAGGGGAAGCGTTGTATCGAGTTACAGATCTACGTAAGCCAGAGTATCTTTTCTTGCGTTGGTTTGGAGAATCATTCAAACGAGTGCGACAAAGAACAATAAACTATACCAGAACAAAGAAAGAACATGAAACGGATCAATTAGATTGAAATGTACAAAGAAAACATAAAAGAGAAAAGCAAAGGTATTCAACCATCTCTGGTTCTCTCTGACCAAAGTCGCTTGTGAAGCCAATGAAAGAACACAAAGAGACACCAGAGATGATGAAGAAAGAGAAAAAGACAGAGGAAACTTGAAGATGTAACCACAATATGATCTCAACGAGACAGAGGCCAATAAACAAACCTTTTCAAGAGACGCGTTTTTATCAGATCCATTTGCAATTAAATTAGATTGTGACCCTCGTTGTTGTTCATTATTCTGATATGTAACCTCATCAATAGAGTCATTGGAAACTGACTCACTGAACTTTTCCATGGTAGGTAATAGATGTTGACTCGGCCTTTGAAAAGAAAGAAGCTCAACTTAAGAAAAACAACAAAGAGAAAGGAAGATAATTGGAAGCTAAAGAGAAGAAGAGAAATTCAATCAATTAGACAGAAAAAAACTGTAAAGGTAAAAATAGAGAAAGAACAAAAATTGAAGGAGAATCAATAAAAAAGAGAGAAAAACAAGTAAATAAAAGAAAAGAGAAAAAACAACAAGTGAGAGAAAGAGAAGAGAGAGAAAAACAAGAATGTGAGAGAGAAAGTGAGAAGTAAACAGAAGAAAAATCAAGTTAACGATCCAGGGAATCGATTCTTTTGAATCCTTGAGATAATCTTTTTCTCTGTTGAATAGAACAAAATTTTCACTGATCCCTTTAATCCCTCGAGCAAAATGACCGATCACAATCAACGACTTTGACCAGTAGATGATTCGTTTGCTAATTGGTAACATTTGCATCTAATTGTTGTTGGGAGCCATCGAATTGACTTATTGTTTGGTTAACTGTTCGTTTCCACCACCGGTTACCTTTTACCTAATTAATTCATCATTTGATTAATTCTCTAATTACCCTGATGGGGAAAATTAACAATTTCGAGCGATGTAATTAGTTGTTTAATCAAATTGTGAGAAAAAAACTACTTCGTTTACTGAGAAATCAATTCAATTAAAAAAATCGAAAAGTTTTCATTCAAAAAACTTTATTTTCATTGAGAAATCAATTAATTGATTACACAAGATGTAAATTTTGTTAATTAGCTGATAATCAGTAATCAATTAATTTTGTCACACTTTTAATTTTGCTCAAATCATTGATGTAATATGAAATTACAATTAACTTTGCAAATCATTTACCAGAGCTAAGTAATGATTAACAATATTAGTCAATTGAATTAAGATGAAATCATTTAAAATGCTAATTCAATTGCTAAGGTTAAAAACTGTAACAATCTAATCAGTTTAATTGTCCAATTATTATCACGATTATCACAATTCGAGAATGTTAACAATTTATTGTTAAAACTAAATTGCGAACATTAAGTTGATCAATTAATGATAAAAATCTATTCTAATCAATCATATCCAACCTGTTAATCAATTAAATTTTTCACAATTAGATGATAATTACGGAGGAAAAATGATAACATTAAAACCTACGGGAAAATTAACAACTTTTAGAAAGATAATTCTGATTGATGATGTACTTTGTTGGAAATTAACAAAATAGATTAAAAGTCTAAGGTAATCAAAGGGATGATGTGAGTAATTAAATTAACTAATGGTTACGATTGTGATGATCAAGATGAAAAGGGAAGGGGAAATTGTCGGTGGGTTTGGTTATGGTGGAGAAATGGGAATGATCAACATCGCCTACGAATTAATCATTTTCTCACCTAAACTTATATTTAAGTTTCACTTTTAATTTAATTACTTTACACTTTTCAGTTACAATCAGCAATTAAACGGCAAATCAAATCACCAACTGAAGCTTATTTGCTACAATATTTGCTTTTATTTTGTTTACATCGATCAACTGATTGTGTTAATTGTGTTTCTTTGATAAAATTCAATTTAGATGCCGATATTGAAAGTTAATCATTACCAATCTGTTTGGACCAACCAAGATTTAAACGGTAAGAGCAATTAAGTAATTATTTTGTATTGTATACGATGGTTTAGTTAATTACTAATTTCAAGTGATTAAATCACGAATCTTTGAGCGATCGTTTAGATTAAAATACCTTGAGAGAAATTTAAAATATTTAAATTGACCTTAAAGTTTGAGATTGAAGTCTAATTAAGTATTTGATTAACTAATTGTTGTTGTTTGATAAATTTTCACGATGACACCAAAACTCTGGTATAGAGAATCTCATCTTACCTTGAAATGATCATCAGTTTTTTGTCATCAGTTGATTGTAAAGTTAAAGAATTAATTTTTTTGTCTACATTCATACATAAAAGTGTCTAATGGAAACACAATTAACTGATTGTATCAACAATTTTACACAAAAGTGATTACACTGAGATTATTTTACTCGATTCACCTTCGATTCTCATCAGTAAACTATTGTTTTCCTCGTGAATTAATTGTTTGTGTTTAGTTAATTGTGATAATTTAGCCTCAGTTAATTTCGATTAATATTAAACATCATGTGTTCAGTTTGTTGAATTGTAACAATTATATTTTTGCTTGTTTTCTATTCCTGTAATACTGTTAATATCAATTAAGAGAAAGATTTTTCTGACAAAGCAAAAATCGAATTAGTTAAAGGTAATGGTGGACCTCAAGTCCGTTTTGAGGAGGAAAAAATGGAACAACGAAGTCGTTATGTTCAACGAAGATCACTTTCGCCGAATCCACCGAGACGAGGAACGGAAATTCCTGGTTGGTATAGACAAATGTATTCCGAGATGGGGAATCCTCAAAGTATCGCACCAATGTTGATAAAAAACAATCGAATCTCTTCTGGTGCTACAAACAATTATTCTGATATGAGAAGTTGTGATCATACTGATCGATTATGTGGTTCTCCGTATCGTCCAAATACAAGCAACAGTTATGAGACGGAATCGAGTAGATCGTCGACACCAGGACGTGATGGTTTCGCTTTACCGATGAGAATCAATTCTAATGAAAAGATCGTTGAAACTGGAGGTGTGATTGATGAGGAACAGATCGCTGAGCGACAAGAATATTATCCTTATAGAGACGCTCAACATGGAAAGGTTTGTTTTAATTGATTACATTAATGGTCGATAATCATTTGTCTTTATCTTCCTTTCAGCCTTTGCCTGGAGAAAACGGCTTCATGGTTGATTCATCATCAAGAAAACTTTTTCATAAACAAGGATATCAATCTAATGGCGATTCCCTTTCACCGAATTCTGAATCACTAATGCAAACAAGATATTCAGTTAAATCGCCATCAAAGGATGAGAATAATTTCCAATCATCACAAATTCCAAGTCAATCATTTTCACCTTCAACAATGAATCTCAATCGTCGATCAACTTCAGTCCCATCTTCAGGCGATTCCATGCGAAAAGAGTCAACAGTTTATGAAACTTGTGCTGATTTCCAATTAACACCAGAATATTTTTCGCAACTTCGTCACATTAAGGTGACATCAATTCCAATTCCAATGATTCCTCCGAAATTCGGTACATTAACTCAGGGTGGACGTTGGCCTAATGAGGCTCAAGCTCCAATTGATGTCGGTCCTCCATGTCAATTGTGCAAGAAACCGATAACTGAATCGCGTTTCGTAAACCATGATAAGGTCACTTATCATTGTTGGCATTTCACTTGTTCGCATTGTTTCAAGACATTGGAAGATGATGATTTTCGAGTGGATAGAAACGACAAACCTTATTGTCACAATTGCTTCAAACGACAATATCCTTGAGCTTTGAAAATTTTCACGATTTTCAACATTACATTGAGAATCAAAGTAATTATCATATTGGTTAAATAATAATCATGTAACAATTGATAACAAATATAAATACAGTTGAAGGTTTTGAGAACTTGTATTCAAGAAAAAATTCTGTTCGATAGATATTCAACTTGAACAATTTTATCCTTAACTTTGTCTCTGATAAAATGATATTTTACATCAATATGTTTGCTTCGGGATTGTGCCACTGAATCTTTACATTAATTGGTTCATCAAAGGAAGATAGTCAAATGGCCTATTCATCCGAATGCAGTAGGTATCAATCGAAAGCTCTCGGTGAGTTTAGTCGAACGGACTGATCAGAATAAAAAATTCTTTTTCCCTTGAGAATTAAATGTAACTTTTTTGGTACACCAAGATGCACCGATCGGACCCCACTTTTTAGATGTAACTTTTTATGACAAGTTCAACGGTCAGTTTACTTCTAGACCTCCGCGTTTTTGAGTTATTCGGGTTTTTCGGTATTTTTCATTTGAAGAAACGCAACTTAGCGGTGGCATTTCTTTGGGACCATATGATGCACCGATCGAACCTGATTTTTCTAGATCAACTTTTTACAAGCTACCTGATGACGTAAAAAGATAAGCTATAAACTCGCGCGTTTTCATGTGAATTCCCAATCGATTGATACCTTCAAATACCTTGAAAAGTTCAGCAAAAAATGCCACATTTAGGCTCATCCTCCTTTAAAATCAATTTCATTCATTAGAGATTTCAATCCAATTATCTGATTAACTCACTTTGATTTGTTTAAAATCAAATTGATTTGGTATCACCGCTCTAAGTTCAATGTTGTAAACCAGATGGATCTTGGGTTCTTTTTGCATTGCAACTTTTGCTCAAAGTATTTATCGATATAAAATGTATCGTAACACAGAATATCAATAATATTATTAAAACTATTATTGCTAAAATATCGTTAAAAATCGCGATTTTCACCCATTTATCGCACAATAGTAACGATTAAAAGTTCGATAAGTTTTAGGAAATCGATCAAAAATTAGATATTTTATCGATTTTCTAGTTTGGTATCGAATAAAAAAGTATCGATACAAAGGTATCACAGAAACACATTCAAATGTCTGATCTCTGTTTACTTTTCTAATTGTAATCAATTACTCTCATTTAATTTAATCACCATGTTTATGCCAACTGTTTATTTAGATGTCAGGTAATTAACTTAATCATTTACAACAGAATTTATCATCTCAATGATTGTGATCTGTTTTCTTCTCTCAATTGCTGAGATTATTTCTGTTCATTTATTGTCTCAAGTGATCGTTTTTGTTTTCTTTGTTTGAATAATTTTTTCTTCTTCATTTTGTTCAGCATCTTATTGTTTTTTTCTTTCTATTATTTTTTTCAGCCTTCTCCCTCCAGTTGACGACGACGAGGACGAGGACGACGAAGATTCAAGTTCAAATAAAAATCAAACAACAATTCAACCAATCTCAACGAGGACCAGCATGGATCAATTGATTAACCCAATCGTTTTAAAAGAGCTTGCCAGTCAATGGATTAAAGAGGATTGTCCAAATTTTGATTTCCATCCTATAATCAATGGTACCCGAACTGGAATATTTAACATCTACTGTAAAGCCCAAGCTGTTCTTGCTGGGAAACCATTTATTCAAGCGATCTGTGATGAACTTAAACTTACCATTGAGTGGGTAGCCGAGGAAGGTGATATTATCAATGGATTCCCTGATCATGGTACCAAGGTTGCCTCATTGGTTGGTCAAATCTCTAATCTACTTCTGGCTGAAAGAACAATTCTCAATGTACTCTCTCGTTGTTCTGGTGTTGCCACGAGAGCCAATCGAATCAGAGAAATGATCCAATCGATCAATGATAAAGTGGCTCTTGCCGGCACTCGAAAAACAACCCCTGGTTTCCGTTTAGTTGAAAAATATGGTCTCATGGTTTCTGGAGCTTTAACTCATCGGTACGATTTAAGTAATATGGTTATGATTAAGGATAATCATGTTGACATTGTTGGTGATGCTTTACCGGAATATATTGAAACTGTTAGACGTTATTGTGGATTTTTCACCAAAATCGAGGTTGAATGTAGAAATTTTGAAGAAGTTAAAAAAGTAGCTCCTCTTGGTGTTGATATAATAATGCTGGACAATTTCGCCCCGGAAGCAGTTAGCCAATCAGCTAATTGGATAAAAAACAATCATCCATCAATCATGGTTGAGGTATCAGGAGGAATCAATGAAGAAAACCTGGAAGATTATGTATTCTCATGTGTTGATGTTATCTCAATGGGTTCATTGGTTCAAGGATATTCAACTATTGATTTCTCAATGAAATTTGATAAATTTAAAATCGTTTGATTATTGAGATTTTAAATTGTTGCATAAATGCAACTGAAAGTTTCCGAGAAACTCCAAACAATCAATCCCTTCAACTCCCTAAAAAAAACAACCACCAAAACCCTAACCAACAATTCATGTAACACCAAATCGATTGAGAATCAACTAATCATCACGCTGATTTTTTTAATCAATTCAACTTCTGAGCCAAAAGTTATTAATTTATTCATAATCTTTTTTTTTGTATGACACCTTAAATCACAATCAAATTTGTTCCCAGAATCATAATGCAAACAAACATACATTAAATTCTAAGCTTAATTTTCTATTGGATTGGAACATTTCTATATTTACTACCTGTTGATTTCTAAAACTGCCTCAGGGCAAAAGATTCTCGAATAACGATTTTTGATTATTTGTTTTCCACAGTTAATTCAGTTTTTCCGTCAACAGTATTCAGTGAGATTAACGATCCTGATTTCGGTCGATTTGTGGTGTCATTAGTAGCCCAGGTATGGAAAGTGGTTGACACAAATTCTAATGGAGTCCAAGTGGAATGGTCAGCTTTTGGCATGAATTTACGATTCATTGGAGTGTCCAAAGTTATTGGTAAAATGGTCAATACAGTTGAATTATTAGGAAGACCACTTTTTTCAGCAGAAAGAGATTGAGTTAATTGGTGAACAGCAGCTTTGGCTAATCCATATCCAATCATACCTGTTGAATAAAACAGTAAGTTTCAGTCAGTAATTTGGGTAATAACATTCAATACAAACACTGACCTGGAGTGGCCTCAAGTCCGGCTTTAGCTCCAGTCAATACTAATAGTCCACCTTCATTCAAAAACAATGAGGATAATCTTGCAGCGATACACGAAGTCCAAATGCTTTGTTTGATCATCAATTCAGTGTTACTAACAAAATCTAAATGAAAATGCAAACGGTTATTAAAGGATTAAGTTAACATTGGGTAGCAACAATTGTTATGATTCAATTAACTGATGGAAATTAAATTTACCTTTCGCTGAAGCATTGCCACCAGCCCATCCACCGGCGACACAAACAACAGCATCGAGTTTGGATCCACCGAGACTTGATTCAATTCCACTGACAACTTCATTCTCTTGGTCAGTCAATTGTTGTGATTTAATGATCACATTGGCATCAGCATCGGGATTCGCGGCGAAATCAACGGCAGCGACCCACTTTAGAAAATAGAAAACACCAATGAAATGATTAGAAAAAGAGAATCAACTTCAATCAACTAATTAATCACTTACCCAATTGTTTTTTTTGAAGTAATTGACACATGTTGATCCAAGGGCTCCTTTTCCTCCATAGATGACAATTCTTTTCATTGAAGACATGATAAGATTTTCTGATAAGATTGAATTTCCGATGGGTGAAAATAGAAATTGGATTAACTGCAATCAAAGAAAAAATGGCGATCACAAATGAAGATGGAACAACTTTAAACAAGAATAATTAAGATGAGTTGGTCTTCTTTTCTCCTTCTCTCACTTCATCTCTTGTCCTCTTTTATCCTCATCACTCAGTCTCTCTTGAGATAATTTTCTTCGACCTTGAAACTCACTTAACCAAAATGTTTCTTTTAATCGAATCGATTTTCAAGATAATTGACAAAATTAGAAAACCAATTAACCATCACTTACACTTAAAGTGGATCTTTCATCTCACAACTTGACAATTTTTCAAGTATTCAGGTTTTTGTTGATTCTTTGTTAATTAAGATCATCCAACAATACAGATTATAATCACAATCTTAATTGTTTTACGTTAACAAAAGCTTTTACAATTATGCTCATTGGATTGACAAAAACCGTTAAGACGAGTAATCGCTTGTTAATTAAATCATTTGAACTTCTCTCGAGTTGATAATTAAAAAACCAAAACATTTCTTACAAAATGTTTGGTGAAAATAAACCCGAAAAATGCTCGATGAATAGCTGCGGGTCTATTTTCACTCAACATGTGATTTTGTTTACAATTTGTTTATGTTTTTCTGGTGATTAATTAAATTGCTTAGTTTATTTTTCTTTCTGCTTTTCTATCAATTATGAGTTCGTTATTTCGCCCATCGGTAAGGTTATTTAAATCAGCTCTAAGATCGAATTGTAATGGTTGTAATGTAAGAACATTTTTTAATTTCCGAAAATTGAGCGAAGGAATGTCAACAAAAAGTGTCATGATTTCGACTGCGATTTTAGGAGGATATGGTTCTGCTTACCTTTACCTTAAACGGGAAAAGGAATTGAAAAGTAAAATGGAGCGAATCGAAGTGGTGAAAAAAACGATCGGTGGGGCATTTGATCTGACAGATCAGAATGGAAAACCTTTTGGTAGTAAAGAACTACTTGGTCGATGGACTCTTATGTATTTCGGATTCACTCATTGTCCTGACATTTGTCCTGATGAATTGGACAAAATAACCGAAGTTGTGCAGAAATTGGCATCTTTCAAGAACACTGGAGTTCCGGAAGTTTTTCCTCTCTTTGTCACCGTTGATCCTGAACGTGATGATCCCGCTGCCATAAAGAAATATTTAGCTGATTTTTCGCCGAAATTTATTGGTTTGACCGGAACAAAAGAAGCCATAAAAAAAGTATGCGATCTATTTCGAGTATACAGTCACGCTGGAATACCAGATGATAACAATGAATATATTGTCGATCATACGATTGTTACTTATCTTCTTAACCCTGAGGGTGAATTTGTAGATTACTATATGAGATCAAACGATGCAGATCAGATCGTGAAAGCGATATTGCATCACATAAACGACTATATGGTTTTACAGAACAAGAAATTATGGTTAATCAAATAGATCTAATTTTAGCATCAGCAACTTTTCCAATTTTCACTGTCATTATAATGTCTCTTTGTAAATTATCAACTAAATTAAGTTTCATCCATTATCAAGAGGAATCCGTTGGAAACTCAAAAATTGAAATCATTAATGATCCAGAGATGTGATACTCTCAACAATGTCTCATCGATTACATGTATATTAGCAATTAAAACGAGTCAATTTTCTGTATCAAAATAGTTAACGTTTATTCACTAATTAAATCATCAAATGAATCATAAAATTGAATCATGAATCTTTATATGGAATATTGTTGAGCGGAAGTCAACAAGAATTCACTGGATCAACTTCCGCTAACAAAACAGCAACAAGTTGGTTCCAACTTGTAATTAAAGTGATTAATTCACTTAGATTAATGAAACAACAATTAACAATCAATATCCTTTTTGATTGTTACTCTAATCGACTGATTGATGAACAGAAATACCTTTAGCCAAGTGAAGATGAATTAATAGAATGGCAATTGTTTCTTTTACTCTTCTCTTCTTCGTTGGGGTAAAATCAATCAGAGGACGAAGATATTGACAAAGATTCGCAAAAGTGATACGGATGATGAAGTGATTCTGATGATTAGGCTCGGATTCTTGGTCTCAATAGTTTGACATATATCTGATTTTCGTTAGTCTTCATGAAAGGAAGATGAGAGAAGAAATTGAAGAAAGAGGAAAGACAAGAATCTTTGATGATGGTGAAGATGAGAGTGAGTATCAGCTCAAGATTTTTGGCAATGGGTGAGGCTTAAGATCCTAACTTAGACATAAGATCGGTTAACGGTTACTCTAGAAAACGAAAGTGAGAGAAACAACATGAAGAAAGAGAAGAAAGGAAGATAAATAATCGTTCGAAAAGCCTATGGAAATAGTTTCAGAAGTTTATTCTCCTCCTATTTGATGCAATTCCAAGCTCACAATTTATTTTGGTTCGAATCTCTTTCTCTTTCTACTTTCGAAACCAAATTTCTACTCATCAAATTGAAGCACTGATTTTACCCCCTTTTCGCTCTCTCTCTCTCTCGCTCTCTCGCTCTCTCTCTTTCTCTCTCTCTCTCACTCTCCCCGAATAGAAATCCTCCTCCTCCATATTCCATGGCTGCTCTTTTCTCCCATTCCTTAGGTGTCCTACCGAATTGTAGTCGTTCTAAATCCATCAAGTTAAACTTTTCCTTTTTCCCCCTTTTTCGTAACCACCATCACCACCACTTCCACCACCTCCATAGGTCTCTCTTGGTGAAAGTCTATTCCACAGACTCGCTGATTGCGCTGAGCAACTTCGTCGCCCTTTCAACAAACTTCTTTCTCTCTTTCGACTTTTTCTTTCTTCTCTTTCTTTTGGTTTTTTCTCTTTTTTCGCTCTGCTCGTTGATTATCTTCAGTTCTTTCTAGTATTCATTTCTTCTGACTGTGTGTTGTTCAATTTCAATCTCACTTCGAGTCGATTGTTATTTTGGTGTAACCAGAATTTGAAACATCAAGTGCAAACTCTTTGTTTTCTTTCAGTGGGTTTTCATTACTGTGCAAGTGAAATCATCTCATCAAATCTTTTGTTGTGTTTGTTTGTGAATCGAAAGGATAATTAAAGTGTAAACAATGGAAGCCATCAAGAAGAAGATGCAGGCCATGAGAGCCGAAAAGGAACAGGCCGTTGAACGAGCCGAAGCCGCTGAAGCATCTGCACGAGAAGCAAATGCTAAAGCCGAAAAGGTAAATTCTGATCGACTTTATCCTTAAGAGAACTTATCTGATCGGGATAATCAATCGTTTAATTCCATAGTACATTTTAAATTGATTCCTAATTGTTTTCTTTTTCTTTGATTCTATTCAGGCCGAGGAAGAGGTTCGATCTCTCCAAAAGAAGATCCAACAAGTTGAGAATGAACTCGACCAAGTCCAAGAACAACTGACCCAAGCTAATGCCAAACTCGAAGAAAAGGACAAAGCCTTACAAAATGTAAGTTCTATTTCTACTGATTATTTAATTGTTTCATTTTCGATTTTAATTAGTGAATCGATTCAATGAAGATTTTTTGAAAATCATGAAAAAATATTGAGACTTTGTGAGAAAGTCACAGATCATCATCGAAATGAACAAGGTCATTTTCGTAGATTACTGTTAATCTCTCAATTCTGGATAATCTTCATCATTTTTGGATATTGTGCAAATCTGGTTAATCAAAAGAGAGAAATAATTAATTGTGAAAAACGAGATTGTTATTATTAGAAATGATTTGGTTGCTTATATAAGTTGCTCTTCATGCAATTGGAATCATTTTTGTGCTGAAACAGTTTTTCAACGAAAATACGAAAACCAAATTAACATCATGACTTCATTAGTTTCCAATGAATAATTTTTTGGAATTTTTAACAAAAATTTTCTTCTTCTAATTCTTGATATAAACAAGAAGAACCTCAAAGAAAAGCAAGAAGGAGAAGAAGAAGAAGAAAAAGAAAAAGAGAAAGAAAAAGAGAAAGAGGGGAAAAATCCTTCATCATGAAGATGCGAGTGTTTTGGTTCGAGAGCATTTTAGTGAAGTGATTTTTGGCAATCGAAACAATTTAAGTTCCTAACTTAGGCATAGAATCGGATAACTGTTACTCTAAAAAACGAAAGTGGAAGAAAGAGGGCGAGAAGAAGATTATCTTCATGAAGAGAGAGAGAGAGAGAGAGCGATGATTCTCCTCCTACTTGATGAAATTCCAAGCGTAAGATTTATTTTTGCTTCGATCTTTTCGTCTCTTTCTCTCGAAAGTCTCCCCCCTTTTCTCGAATATGAATCGACCTCCTCCTTTCGTCAAAACTGTTTCATGGCTTCGAGTCTATTACGAGGTGTTTGTCCCAATTTCTTCCAGTAGATTCTTCGAATTCTCTCCTTTCGTCGATAATTATCACTAATCAAATTCGCCGTCGATATAATTTCGTGATTATTGGACTTTTATTGTCTTTTGATTTTAGATTTAAATAAGTGACAGTTTTTCCAATAGTAAACAATTTACTCTTTTCATTTAACTTTATCATCGCCACAATAACATGGATCCAGTTTTTGCTCTCATCTTCCTCTTTTTCTCTCTCATCATCTTCCTCTCTCCTCCCCATAGCAATCGCTATAATTAACTCATCCTTTTTCGTTCGTCATCTTTTCTTCTTCCTTCTTCATATTCTCTTTTTCCTTTTCTTTCACCACCCAAACTGAGCTTCATTTTCTTTGCTCGTTTCATGTATCAAACTTTTCTCATCTTTGAATGAAACTTGATGAAAACTATTTCTCTTCATCTTCCCACTCGCATCAATCGAAAGGAAAAGTCTCTCTCTTCTTATACCTTCTTTCTTTCAACTAAACTCTCCTTTTCCTCTTTCTCTCTCCTTCTTTCTTCCTATCATGGTAACTTCCCTCTATCGCCCATCACCAAGAGCAACAACACTCATCTAATCATCTTCAACTATCATTTATTTCATTCATCAACGTCCTTCACTAATCAACTTCGGTTTAAACCGAATTAGTTTCATTCTGATTTTTATGTTTTCCTTTTGTTTTCCATTCACTCTCTTCCATATCAAACCATGAGTTGAATATTCGGTTCAATGTGATCTTTTACCTCGTTCTTCACCTTTTATGAATGTGCCGATGATACAAATCTAGAGTAAGAGAGAGAGAGAGAGAGAAAAAGTGAGAGAGAAAGTATTGTAAAGCTCAATTAACCTCATCATCTTCAGTCAATAATTACGACGTCGCTTTTAATCAGTAATTGGTCTCAACTAATCCATCGAAATGGTCAACAATAATCGAAACCGTAACTTAATCGTCGCCCATAACACTGAGTTTGAACAAGGTGATAATCACCTGGATGGTGACGATTCTAATGAAATATTTTCATCTGTAAGATCACCTGATGGCTCAGAAGGATACATGGAATCGGATGATGATTCAGAAATCGCCCAATTATCTGCTCTCCGTTGCTCCTCTATTCAAACGGAAGTTATCAATGAACGAGAGCGTCGTAAAGCTGCTCGAAGTTCTGGTTATCCTGGGCTAGCTTTTGGCCTTTCGATGTTTACCTCTAATGCGATGATGAAATTTTCAATTATCTCAAATGAGCTTCACAATATTCAAAATGTTCAACTCAAACGGGTACGTTGCAGTAAACATTTGGTCGAAGTTGTGAAACATGGTTTCCATTAAAGGATCGATGAATCAGCCTAATGATGAACATTTTCTTTCTCTCACTCGAATTTGATTCAAATCTTTTTTTCATGATTTTCCAAATCTCTTCATCCGAACTCATTCATGTAGCATGAGATTTCTCATGAAATATTTTCTCTCTTTTTACTTCCAGGCTGAAGGTGAAGTCGCCGCTCTTAACCGAAGGATACAGCTTATTGAAGAGGATTTGGAAAGGTCAGAAGAGCGTTTGAAAATCGCCACTCAAAAGCTCGAAGAAGCTTCTCAAGCAGCCGATGAAAGTGAAAGGTAAGAATCAACTCGACATCGAAGACATCGAAATTCTCACCCAGGGTAATAACAACTCTTAAAATAGTAATGAAGCAATAGAACAATCAACAAATCATCAAATTAATCACCAGACAATCTGTTTGCTTAAGATCAAAGCATCAAAACAAACAGAAAATTATCCTTATCAAAACAAGATAATAGCATCAGTTATCATTTTCTTCTAATTATCATTGATAAACTTAATCAACGATGATAATTCTTTGCCGTTCATGTCAAACAAGAATTCCTATTGGTTATCTTTCAAGTTGTAACATTATCGCCACTGCCGATTGTGCATTAGCATCCAAATGATACCAGAAATGTTTACCATTCATAATCAATCCTCAAGCCATTTGGCTCGAAGCCAAAGAATAAGCACAAAATATGAAAATGAGAATCGATAAAAGAAAAAGTTATCACATCAAATGATCATGTTCATGATATGAATTTGTTCAAATCTGAAAAATAGAAAATGGTTCAAATCAAGAAAAGGATAAATCATCGTGTTGATATAATTAGTTTTTCTTGCTTTTTTATTCAATTTGATGACATCAATCTCATGCTTTAATATATTAATAAATCAACTTTATCTTAATGAGCGAAAAGCAGCAATTAACTAATTCTTGATTTATCAATGGGAGATACCGATAAATAGTCAACATGAAGAACCATTAATTAGAAATGGTGTTCAAATGACCCGATGGCCAGTCGACGAAAATAAAAGGAGCATCGACTTTTTATCGATTGTAGGGTCAGGAAAAATTGAGAATCAACTGATTGATTTTCTGTTTTCTTTTTTCCTTTCGAATCCCGAAAAACACCCAATGGCCTTTTCTCTTAACCACTAATTCATTGATGCTTTAATTTTTCACTCAGAATGCGAAAGATGTTGGAACACAGAAGTGTGACCGATGAAGAGCGAATGGATTCCCTTGAGAGTCAACTCAAAGAGGCCAGAATGATGGCCGAAGATGCTGATAGAAAATACGATGAGGTAAAACAATTGTACACGATGAGCCCATTGGAAGCTCTTCGACCGATACTACGACTCGAACGGAGCAGGTTCACTTTTTGAAAGAAAAAAGAAAATTATTTGTACAGAATCATCAGAGTTTTCATCAATCAGCTAAAGCGAAGTTATTTTTTCGAGTAGATCGTGAATAACAGTCCAACTAACATCATCAAACTAAAAGTTCTGATTCTGAATTTTTTATTGTTCATTAGTAAATCAGAATTAGAAAGTCATAGCAAAGAGTAATTAGTATACATAAGAGACTTATGATCAATTGATTATCAAAAGTTTTCCATTGAAATGTAAACAAACTTTTCTTTCATAATCTCATTGCTTTTATGTTTACATTTGTCATCTTCAAATGTATTCACCATAATTGAAATCATTTTGAATCATCAACGACAATAAACCGTTTTCATGTAACCTCTCAGGTCGCTCGTAAATTGGCCATGGTTGAGGCTGATCTTGAAAGAGCTGAACAAAGAGCCGAAGAAGGAGAATCGTAAGTTTCAGTTCCAAATTTAAATTGAGGTTTTTACCTTTTCTATTTGAAATGAGTCTTAACATTTTCTCCTCCTGGATTAATTATCTGCTAAACTGTTCATTGTTATGATCTCATGAGAGGTTTTTACGTTTGTAATTATTGTAATCATCAAGATATTGAAATAAATAAATTATCTCATTAAGAATCAGAGCATAATTAATCAGTTAGAACATGAATGAGATGGACCAGAACGAGACATTCGGAGATTCATCTCTGAGATCAAGACGAACAGTCACAAATTGGCATTTTCTCCAGGAATTAACTAATCAGTGTTGATTAACTTATTTCGATCTTTGATATTTCAGAAAAATTGTAGAATTGGAGGAAGAACTTAGAGTTGTTGGTAACAATCTCAAATCTTTAGAAGTATCAGAAGAAAAGGTAAGTCGACGATCAATTCCAATTCCAATTACAATTAACACTCTTAATCATTTACCCTCATTTTCCTATTTTAACACAAACGCATCAGCATTGATTTGACAATTTACTCTAATTAAAATTAATTATGTCTCATCATGAAGTTCTCACCTTTCGTATGATCGATTTAATCTACAGATCAATTGAATTATCGGTAGAAAACGATTGACCTGAAAGGTCGAGACACTGAATGACCGTTTGCTGTGTGTTTCTAATTGTCAATCTTAATGTTTCCAAATTGTGATCAGTGTGTGTGTCTATTAATTTGCGGCATGTTAATTGTGATTGTTACATCGCATTGGAAACATTAAGGTTCCCACTAACTTTTCAGAAGCAAATCTTTGATTACGATCAATGGATTAATCTATCAACTAGATTTCCAGCAATCAAACATTTGATTCAATTGTGTTTCCTTTTAACCAAATCAATTTTGTGTTCAATTAATTGTCATCTAATCATCATGTTTTTAGCTGTTGCTCGTCAGCTTCCAGTGTTTTGTTTTTCGCAATTGATCAGATAATTGATTTTTCTTTTCAATTAAATTAATCAGCAAGAAGAAAAGAAAACAATCAATTATTTGATTAACATTTTTTTACCACTCGAAGACTAATCAAAGTGTTTGACCATCGAAAAGTTGACCGGTCATCGATAAGTCGAATTGAGTAAATGTGGTAAAAAAATGTTGGTGTTTTTTGGTGTTTTTAACACGTTTTGTGTCCATCGCGTGTTCTTTGTGCTGTTTCGTTTTGTTTGTTTACTGATTGCTAATTAATTCTCATCAATTGATTGTCCAGTAACTGGACTCTGGTCACTCATGTGTGAGCTTGTGTTTTGTTTTTACTTTATCGTTTTTGTTACTAAGTAAGTGAGTGTAAGAAACAATTTGTAATCAACCAACTCAATTTACTAATCATGATCATCAATTAATGACCATAAACCATTAACTTATTCAAATACATGATTACTAGTTAATTCTGGTTGATTACAAATCAACGATACAGATCGAGTGTGTAATTAACATTGGAAAATCTGTTCTGTTGTTTCATTTTCTGTTTGATTGAATGTTTGTGTGTTCTAATGCTATAATCAGTTAACCGATTGAGGGTGAAAAGAAAATTCAACCAAGATAATTATTTGGTAATAAATATTATTATTGTTACAATTTCATTCACAATTAAAATCAACACAAAACGTAACATCATGAATGAACAGGCACAACAAAGAGAAGAGGCTTACGAGCAACAGATTCGTTTGATGACTGCTAAGCTTAAGGAGGTGAGTTTATCGTCTAATCCTTTTTGTTTTTCTTTCTTTTTTCTGCCCTGTCCCGACCTCGAAACGCCTTTTCGATATTCCGATTCCTCTGAACCCTCAGGCCATGCAAAAGGAGGAAGAATATGAATTACAGATCCGTCAAATGACACAAAAGCTTCGAGAGGTTAGACCGACGATCGTTTTATTAGTTAGCTCAATGGTTGGATCTTGAAACTTTCATTTCTATCAAGTTTAGAAAACTAACTTTAATTTCTTTAATTTAGTCTAGTTAGTTAATTACCTTCGATTTAGACGTTAACTTGAGTTGATCAAATTTCGCATGATTTAGAAAATTGTTTAGATTTTAATATTAGATCTCAACTAATTAAATCCAACAGATTCTAGACTAACCCTCACCCGTAGATTAGTTGATTAACTTGAAGGAAAACGCGATTCAGGGTAAGGTTTTTAATCGTATTGATTAATTATCGTCTTAATTGGGTTCATCGATTCATCTCTAGACGAATCACCATTTCACCACAACGATATTCAGACTTTCTGAATCAAATTAAGATTTTTAATGAGCCTTAATCAAATCATGGTGATTTTAATTTAGAAGGTTCAATAAATTACAATTAATTAATTATTCTAATTTCTAATATATTGAATTTTTTGGTCAAACCACAATCAATTTTCAATTTTACCACAGGCTGAGGCTCGAGCTGAGTTTGCTGAACGATCCGTTCAAAAGTTACAAAAGGAGGTCGATCGTCTCGAGGGTAAGTTATCAAGCTTACTAATAGCTGACGAATTAGGATTCAGTGTTCAACAATTAACTAATCACAAACTTTGTTATTCAACAGACGAGCTTATCCACGAAAAGGAAAGATACAAAGCCATTTCCGACGATTTGGATAACACCTTCTTCGAGCTTACTGGTTACTAATCTAATTAATTACAACTCGATCAATTTACACTGTGTTTACTTAATTTTAAATCAACAATCAAACACAATCGTCAAAAAAAACACCAAATTTAAAAAGCGACAACAAAATCTCATAATAATAACATCAAACACCATCAACAGCAAAATCTACAATCAAACAAGTTAATTGTGAACAATTAAATTCGAAAGAGATGAAACCAATTGAGTGATGATTGAGGAAGATTTTTTATCAAGACAGAAACACAATCAAAAATTGGTTCCAATTAAATTGAATGGAAATTATATTGTTACTATTAAGTCGAGAAGAGTTTGATTATAAATTGATTTCAAACTAATCATCAGTTGCATGGATTGTTAATCCATTTCGGTTTCGATCAATTCAAACAATTAATCTACAATTAAGAAAATTTTCTTTCTCTTCTCTCTCTTTCTCTCTCTTATGTCTTCTTTCTTTCTCTCAAAAGATTGTATCAATAAAATCGGCACATACCTCTCTCATTAATCTTTATGGGTTTAATTAATTTAATTCTAATCATGACTGATTGGCAATCGAACAACAATCAAATGAATTTAGCGGTAAAAAAATCAACATGAATAAACTTGATAAGTTTGATGAGTATCTTTTAGATGGTCAACTTAATTGCCTCGAGTTAGTTTTGGGCTGTTGCGATTTTCTTTATGTAATTAAGGACATTTGGATCGGCGAGTATCGATAAATGATCAGCACCAGTGACGTTGAGATAATCAACTGATTGTGTCTGTTGATCTGTCCAACGAAGGCAACCTTCAAGTGACCTTAAATTAACTGTTCCATCACCATCGCCATGGATAATGTTTGGTCTATGGTTAGGAAACTTTTCGGGTGGATCATATTCCAGATACTCCATCGTTTGGGTCCCGACTCCATAGATGCAGCTAACGGGGACATTTGGTGCCGGTAAATTGGACAGAATGTTATTCACATCTAACCACATCTGATAACCAACCGGATAAGAAATGTTTTCAAAAAATTGCTCGTAATTTGCTGTTGAATAGTTGGCTGAACCAACTTTGATAATCGTTTCTGTGGTGGGCCAAAAGTCTTGTGAGGGTAAAAGGAAGGCCATTGAAGGGAAGGTTCGTTCATCTCGACGAACTGACAAATTTGGAACCAATAAAACACCAAGATTTTCACCGGTCGCAAAAGCTTTCATGGCCTTAACTGCTCCACCCCAAGGACTTGCAAGGGTAATTAAATTTCGGATGTAAATTGATTTCCATTCAGCTGATTGGCCAAGGAGAAAGTAAAGCATCAAAGGGCAGCCCATTGAATGGCAAATGAGGATACAAGGTGATCCATAGTTGGATTCTGAAGTTTCCTCAATAAGGAGTTTCAATTTATCCAGATAATCAGTTAATTCTCCTAAAAAGAAATGAGAGTTTAACAGTTTATCACATTTATCAGATGAGAATCAAAGAAAGTCTTACTTGGAGATTTTCTGAAATCATAAGGAGCACCTCGGATGTTTCTACCTCTCTCATAGCCCAAATTAATCAGATAATCAACCATAATATTGAAATAACCAGTCAACGGTATTTGGTTCGGGTCGAGATATTCAATTGTTTGAGTCTCTCCGAAACCGGGGATTCGAGTTTCAACTCCCGGGGAATTTGATGTCAATCGGGTCACATTATCGTAAACTAATCTCATGTTGTCGGTAAAACAATCGATCGCATAAGGTAAGGCCTCAGATAAACTGATCCAAAGGGTAAAATAATAGTCGGTGTGAGAATCGCAGAAATGATGAACGACATCTTTCTTATCCAATTTCGCTTCTATTTGACTTCCACCGACACCCGGAACTGGATCATAATGAAGAAAGAAACAAGAACTCGTAATAATTAAATAATGAGAAAAGTTTGTAAAAGTGACAATATGGAAACTGTCAATTGATGATCAGTCTTATTTCACTTTAATTGAATCTACTTGTGACCTGGCAATTCTGTCAACCGAATCTTCATCCATTCAAAATCGTTGATTTAATTAAAAGCTCTACTATCAACAATGTAACAATTAAAGGTAATCACATTTACACACGAAAACACAAATTGAAATGAAATCAATGGTTTTCAAAAGATGAATCAGTTTGATTAATTTAACTTTACCAACCATCCGATTGAACGAGTAATTGTCGTGATTTAAATGATTACAAATAAATTTCAATTACAATCAGACTAATTAATGGTAATAACGATCATTAAGACTGAATTTAAATTGCATCAGCTGAGTAGCAGGAAAGGTAAACAATACTTTCAGTGAAATTTTATGCATACGAAATTGAATGATGATCATTGTGATTAATTGTCATTTGAATAAAACATGATCATGAGAATGGTTTTTATGAATTTAGACTCACCTAAAATAATTGGAAAAAGAATTGATTTTCCTCCTTTAGACTGATTATGAAGGTAATTAGTTGATTGCTCGGTGATCATTTTTCCTGAGATAATTTCACTTAACACTAGTGAAATGATTGAAAATACGTTGATTAACTTAATCATGTTGATAGAAAATGACTGATCTCAATTGAAGAGAATCAATAAACTGTGCAAGAGAAAAAGAAACAATAAAATGTGAGTTTAACTCTTCACTTCCAATTTTCTTTCCAAATCAATTGTAACCATAGTCTTTCCACTATTTCGATTCAATCAACAATTAACTCAATTGGAATGAGATAAATTAAATTAACAAGTAGAGAGTCAATCAGAGGTGAGGCTCATCTTAATGATCCTCAGTGAATTTCAATCATCAGTTCGTACTTACATGGGATCGTCTAATTATGAATAATTGGGTGTGGACTCTGAATGTGAATTCGCCTTCAGTAAGTGTTTTCAACCAGAAACGAAGCAACTAAATGGAAAAGGATAAATAAGAGATGATAATAAAATCTGAGCAAAAATCGATAAATGTTGAGATCTTACATTTTGCTAGAACAATTTAAGGTCATGAGCTCACAAGAATGAAGAAAAATCTTAGGATTGATTAAAAGAACAATCAGTTGGATGAAGAAAAAGAATTGGAAAAAACTGAAGAGCCGAAAAGTAAACATATGATAAACACGTTTGGAGACAAACACTGGACAATATCGGGTGTTGGCTCCATTGGTCAACTGATTGTAATCATATGATTAATCAATTAATCGTCCAACAGAAAAAAAGATATTCACAATTAATTGTTGAGAAAATGATAAGATTTCAGTAAAGAGAGATGAAGACTTGAGATGAGAATAGAGAAGCGATAATGATAGCAAATGTAACTCTTTTCACGATTAGTTGGAGATAAACAATTAACGCGATTGTAAACATTATTAGAAAGCGAAACTGTGAGAAATTAAATGAATTCAGTCAATTAAGTGAAATTTTCTATTTCGAGATTTTTTCAACAAAAGTTCTCATACAATTTCCTTATAAAAGGCTGATGATTAAATTGTGATTGTTGTCGTTGTTTCGTATTATCGATAACAAATTGGGTAATAATGATTTCGATTAAAAAATATGTTTCCATACAAAAAGATTGATTGTTTGCTGATTGTTACAATACAATTAACAATGGACATTGGGTTTGAGTCAGTTGGAAAGAAACAATTAGATAACAATTCATTTTGACAATGATGATTGGGAAACGTTTGATATTGAACAAAATCATTTGGTAATTATTAATATATTAACTACAATTAAATTGATCATCTAACTAATCAACAAAAGCACCAAGACAAAGAAAGCAAAATAGATGAGAAATTGATTTCCATTCACAATTTGATTCCGTCAATTAAACAAATTAACGTGATTATCTAAATTCAACCTCTAGGGTTAATTGAGTTTTACCTCACCGAATCATGATTACTATTATTACCAATATTAGCATGTCATTCAGTGATAATTGGAGAGATTTTGTTCAATAATTGAAGATAAACTCACATTCGTTGATTCATTGATTCATTAACTGAATTTTAGTCATGCAAATCATGATCATTCAATCAACAATCAATCTGGAAAATACCAGACGAAAGAGATAAACAATCATCTTAATTGTTATGGTGGTGATAATGGTAATCAAGTAAATTGTTTTTCTTTTAGTAAAAGGCTTCTGTTTTTGTATCAACAGAATCAATGAAAGTCTAACAATTTGTCATTTATTTTCGTTTTCTTGTTGAAATTTTTGCGATAATCATGATGATTAGTTAATTAAAATGTCATTTTCTGCCTTTTCTTCTTGGTAACAATCTTGATAACAGAAAAATCAAACAGCTAAAGTTGGTGAATAAAAAAAGTAACAATTAAAAAGTTGATGTGTAATCAATAGAAAGCTAAGCTTGAGTTGATTGAATTGAAGTGAATTTACTCAATTGTCTTAATTTCTCGCAATTAATCTTCATCACCAACTTCAACATATATTAATCTATTCATATATATTTTTTAAATAGAAAAGATTAAAGGATCATCTCTCTCGAAGATGATCTTTGAAGGCGTCGATTAACTTAAGATCTTTTTTGTAAATCTCTGTGATATTTCCCGTTCTCTTAAGATCAAGATCTGTAATCGCAATGCTGACGGCGTAATAAGTTCCTGTGGCATCATCTTTGATAATGTGACATTTCTGTGATTCCTTAATGAATCTTCCAGTCGATGTTTCTTGATCTTCAAGATTGGAAGATGTTGATGAGGATTTTGAAGACTTCGGAGATGAGGAAGGGGAAGATGAAATTGATGAAGAAGTGGAACTCGATGACAATGATGATGACGAAGACGAAGATTGTAAATATGATGTTGATGCTGTTGATGAAAAGGAAGATTGTGAAGATTCAGAAGAAGATGATATCAACAATGGTGATGGAAATGGTGGTCTTGATTTCAAGTCGCTCGAGTTTATCCTTTGCATGGAAATCATTATGGAACAATCTTTGGCGATCATGGAGATCAGATATTCCCAAATTTTACGAAATAAATATTCAGATTCAGTTTCGATTTCACTTTTATCCGGTGAACCCAAAGAGGGAGGGAAAAAATCGTCCACTTTTGCCATCGAGTCAGAATAGTTATCCAATAGTACAGCTGATTGAGGTGCTCTGTAATTGGGGAAATTTAAATTAATTACAATCAAAAATAGAATAATAAATCAACAATAAGTGATTGTGTCGATTGATAAAAACAATTACGTGACGGTTGGTGATCTCAGGGGAAATCACCGTTAAAACAAAGTCTAATTACAATCAGATAATTAAAAGATTCACAACCTTAAATTTAGTAATTGCAACAGTTAACAAGTTTAATCAAAGTACTAATATTTATCGTCATCAAATCAATCCAATGATTTTCTTGCAATTGAGTTACTTTGTTATTGACATTTTGAGGGTCGAACTGTTTATCAATCTTGATTAGATCAATTTTTGGACAAGGTTACCAACACTACAGGTTTACCTTGATCATTGTAATTGTATTAATACACACAGAGGAAAATTAAAAAAGTAATCACACCAAATTATGAATTAATACAATTTAAGGTAAAGGTGATTAATCATAATCGTCATTATGATAAATACCATTAACCGTCAATTGTTAGATTAATCAATCGTCATAATTGTATTTGATTAACAGAAAAAAAAACTTTAACTGTTCATTTGATGATTTACCATCTTGGCAATTTATTATTATTATTATTGCAACTACTTGATCATTATCAGAATGAGAATGGAAAACCTTGAGTAATTTTATCTAATGAAAGATTCAACATTAGTTAATCATAATTGATTAATTATTTGGAAAACAATGTTGACCAAAATTAATTGAGCAGATTAGTAAATTCTAGTTTAATCAGGATTAACATTGGCAGAAACATTTGCAATCAACAAATGCTGCTTCAAGTAAAACAGGTTAATCTCACCCCTCGGAAAACCATTCCAATGGTTGACCTCATCTTGGGATTATCCCAAGATGATGGAGGTGAAGATAAGCTCATCCTGAGGTTTCTAGAGGATTTAATTTATTGATGTTTTCCTAGTTTACTAATTAGGTTTAGCATTGAAACGATGAAAATGAATGAATCTGCCAAGAAAATGCTGCCAAAGAGTAACCCGAAGTTTTTTGTGAATCTCATGAATCTGAGTCAGGAGAACATCAAGATTTCGAGTAAATTGACAATTAAGATAATTTTAAATGGCGTTAATACAATTGTGAGTGTAAACGGAAACAAATGCAATCAAATGATTGAAAACTGAAAGACAAGCATTTCTTAGCTACGCAAAGATCATTATGATCATCACAATTTGTTAAATGAAAGCTGAAAAAGAAAACAAAAAATACCAATCATCATATTCTGAAAAAGTATCATGAAAGTTCATTAAGAACCGGTTACTTTTCATCACCAAAGTCGATATGCTCATAAATGAATAAGTGATAATGTCTCATTCAATTTGCAAACTTACGTTCGTTTCAAATGGTTGAGCATAGTTAAAGCGTTCAGGGAGCCAATAGTATCCAACTTCTGAAGCTTCAGTACAGTCTCTAAAACACATTTTCGTCGCAGTTTATGATTACCTAGAGAAAAAGAAGAGAAAAACAAATTAAAATTAATACCTAACACCATGAATTCAGTGTGAACACATGATACAAGTTTATGAAGCATTTTCTTCAATCTCATGTAACCAATAAGATGAGCTTTTCTATCAAATGTTTCATCTTAGTCACTCGTAACCATCAATTGGGATTATTAGATTATTGTGTTTGATTGTTGATTATATCAAGTAATTAGAATCATGTTACAATTTAGATAATCGAGTTTGATAATCAACATAACATTCAGAATTACAACTCATTAGGCTAATGCAATTAGTCAGTTGAATAATCATAACAACTGATCAATGACAGAAAATCAGATTCATCAAGTAATTGGAGTAGATTTTAATCACAATTAAAACTAAAATTGCAATAACTATTAACAAGAATAAGATTCAAGGATAGTTTTGTATTCATGTTAATTAGATGAAATTAAAACTCAATTAACGAGCCAGAACTTGAATCAAGGAAATATAAGAACAATAGATTGTCTACTAAACTGTAAATTAAAATTTGCGTCAAGGAAGAAAATTAGCAAATTAATCTCAGAACTTTAATTAATATTAATACATTCGAAAAAAACTAGACTTGATTACTAATAGAAAATTTGAATCGATGATTATTAATTGCAGAGTTAATTGTTCGGGTAAATGGAAAATAAGAACATGAAAATCGAAATGATTAACTAGTAATTGATTTAGATGGGTAACAATTGATTCAATTGAAAAGTTATTTAGAAAAAATTAACAAATTAATGGGAAACAAATGTTGATTAATTGTGACGATTAGAAATTCAGAAGAAGAAGGGAAATTACTCAAGTGTAGCAACGATTCGTCATGATTACCTGTTTATCAGGTGATTGTCAAATGGAAGCTAATTAGTAGGTCTAATTGAAAGGATTATCGAGAAACGATTCAACAAATTGAATTGAGTAATTTAAATAAAGTAAATTGTTAGTTAATTTCAGCGAATTTAAGTGAGTAAATAATGAAGCTGAAAACAAGAGTTTGACCTTCAAGATGAGGATTTAAGTGGCAATCGATTGAGGGAAGAGGAAGAGCGGGAAAGAGAAGTGGAAAATCTGAGCAAATAGAAGGCGAATTTTCAAGTTTCAATAGAGATTAACCTGATATTAGGAACATTTTATCCATCGATTAGCGAAATTTGAACAAAAAAACTCGAACTCGAGTTTTCTGAGGTCAATAGTTTGAAAGAGAATCAATTTTTCCGTGTACGAAGGCTACAAACTTTTTAACTTTCAGCTAATTTTTTCCGTCTAATCATTTTCACTTTTTTGATGACTTTTGTGACCTGAAATTTTCAAGTAAAAGGTAAAACTGTGATAGTTGATTTAATGTGATTTTTTTATCTTTCAGTTCGTTGCAACCTCAAGACTTACAGGTAACGTTTCAAGTCTCGCGTCTATTTCTCACTCTCTTATTCAGGTAGTTGGTGCGAATTCTCATATTATGTCATTTTCTATGGAAATACTGATCAATATATTGGACACTTACCTTGACAGGGAAGATCACAAGCAGCTGATTCATGGTAGGAACATAGATGAAGTTTATCATCAAGAATGTTAAGATCATCAAGACGAGTGGTAGATGAATTTTCAAAGGGTAATGTTAAAGCTTTGATTAAAAGAGATGATAAAAGTTTCTCAGATCTTTGATCTAAATCAGTTGTATCACTGCAAGTGAAACCGACCAACAGGGAGTCAAGATCAGTTAGATTACCATCATCCGAATAGATTAACTCAGAGTCTCGAAATATTCTGAAATTATTCTGAGGTGTTTGAAGTAGATTTTTAATGGCGTTCATCATACGAGAATGGCAACCAGAGAAGAGATCGAGAGGACAATAATGACTTTCCTCTTTCAAAGGCATAGTTTGAAGCTGAAATTGAAGAAACAAATAAGTAATTGATGACGATGGCTATGGATGAATATTCATAACAATTAACAACAGTCAACATACTTTGAATGCTTGCTTCAATGCGAATCGGCAAACTCTTGCTTCAATAGGTTTATCCTCTTCCAAATGATAAAGTAATGGTGGGAATCCTTGTTTCGGTTTGATTTCAACGCTTATCACAGGACCAGTTAAATCGGAGAGGAGATTCGGTTGGCTGGGAATACAACAATAATCATTTAACAGTAAGGCCCAAGATTCTTGATTTGGTATGACTTTGAATATACGGTAATCTGAAAGATGGAATCGGACAAGAGCGAGAGAGAGAGAGAGAGAGAAAGAGAGAGCATGTTATGGATGAAATATGAAACAGTTTCAACAGGAATAGGAGGAGAATCAGAGAAGGTAATTGATTGGAAAATTACAATTTTCTAACTGCAGAACATCAGAATTGTTTCTTCGACGATTTCGTTACCTTCTCTTTTCTCATCATCTTCATTTTTCCGGATTCATCTTACTGGTTTTTCTTCTCTATCATCATCTTTTCCGTTCTTTCTTAGAGTCTAAACATTTTTTCGTCTACAACAGATTGATAAGTTTACGTGATGGGTTGGGTTTGAAAACGAATAGAATTAGGATAAGTGAACGTACTTGGCCTTGATCTTTTACATAATTTGTTGATCAGCTCAATATCTTCCTGAGAAACGAGAACAAGTTTCGGCTCATCAAACATGGCTTCGTTTATCAAGTTCTTGAGAATCATCTTAGCAAACCATATGTGGTGTAACAGTTTAGCTTTCAAATGGGCTCGACACATAATCTAAATCATTAACCAGAAATGAAAGGTAATTAATCAAGATAGAACATTGAATTAACAAATTGACTAAATCGCTCAAGGAATTTGACATTTACCTGATCAAATGGATACTTAGGGAAACGTAACACTTTACCAGTCTGAGGACATTGATAGAAAGTAAATCATATAGAGTAATTAACAAGATACATATTATTTGGACTAAATTACAAGTCAATCAATTGAATTGTAAGTCAATCAATCAATAGAGTAAACATACATTTTTAAGAGCGATGACAAGAGTTACATTGCCCTCACCACGATAGGCAATTGTTTCCTCATCCAGTTCAATGGCTTCGGGATGTTTCATGATGGGTGAAAAAAGATTTTGATTGTAATGATGATGGTGATACTTTAATCAATGGAAATGATATTCTATCAACCTCAATCTTTTCTTTTAATTGTTTGGATTTTATTGAACAGCTCATGACAAGGTCACAATTATCAAGATAATTATACACATTTAGACTCGATTAAAGTTAAACAAACAACCGTTTAAATGACAAATGCTACAAAAAGAAAAACATAATTGGCTAAACTCAAGGAAAAGAACGTGAAAATAGTGGTATGTCTAATTTCACGAAAATTTTTCTCTCTTTTCAAACAGAATTAAATATTAACAATTAACATTAATTAATTAATTAATTCGTTGGTTTGCATACTTATCATTCAAATAGATCTTATCAACGATGGTAGTTAATTGTTGGGTTTAAATTAAAATGGTTGAAAATTATCTTCGTTGAATTTGAATCAAATGTCACTTTTTAAAAAGAAACCAAATCAACTAATTGAGTTGATTGTTTGATTAATCTGGCATGTTTATTTGAAGCTAATTAGTGAATGAATAACATTTATTAATTAATTTCAAGCTGTTTTTATTAATACAAACAATTAATTGAGAAAACATTTGATTGGATTTTGAGTCTTTTTTTTGATACAATGAAACTTGAACGTGGTTTCAGTTTTTTCATTATCATTCATGATCATTTTTAATCATCAACACTGAGGTCACCTGAAAATTTAATAATAATAATAATCTTTCTGATGATAATACAACCTTTTTGATTAGGAAATAATGAGAAATTAAAAAAGGCCAAGTTTAAGGAAAATATAATCAACGAATTGATATTTTCAGCATTGATCAACTATACGATTTGACCCTTAAAAAGTTAAACCAATCAAACTAATTGAAAGTAGAAAAACAGTTCAATTAATTAACCTGTTGGTTGTATTCAGATACCTAATAAAGCATCAGACTAAAAGACTTGTTTTCAATTACAAGTTAATTGTTCACTTTAATTGTGAACAAAATCTTAATAATCCTCAAACTATTGAAAGCACTTTAAATTTTGGTGGAAAAGGTGGAGAACAACCTCAAATACTGTCCACAGATCAATCAGATCGGAGGTTTGGCCACTTTTTAATTCTGTTCTATTCATAAATCAATCAGTTCATTCACGACAATCAACTAAATGACAAGTTCGAGAAGGCAAATCAATAGATTTCTTTTTTGTCACATTATCTGAACTCTCGGGATCTCGAAGCCCAACAGAGGGCGTTGAGTTCGAGAAAACAAACAATCGTTTTTGTGAATTTCAATTGATTAGATTGTGATCGATGATCATTAGAATCACTAAATGAAAGTAGTCAAATATATTATTTGATTATTTGATTAGTTGATTTATCGGATTCGCACTAGTTAAACTTGGTTTATTCGTTCAGCATCATGATGACTGGAACGTTCGCTGTTGAGGGAGCTGATGATGAGAAAAGAGTGAGAGTTAATCTCTCATTTGGTGTATTGTTGTTTTTCTAATTTTCTTCTAATTCTTTAAATGTAATTTTTGTTTTCTTTTCTATTTAACGAACTTGTTTAGACATTAATGTCCTTGTGTCTCTCTTTTCTTTCTCTCCCTCGTCACCAATCTCCCTCACATTCTCCCTTCTATTCTCACTTACCTGTTCTCTCTTAAACTCGGTGTTTTTCACTCTTCATTTCATCGCAATATCTTCAGCTGTCTAAATCTTCAAACATCATTTTCTTTGCTCTTTCTACTCTTATATTTACATTCTCGAGGTAAAATTTGCTTCCAGTGAAGAGAAATTTAATTGTAATTGTTCATCTGTGCTAATTTGATCTTTTTCTCTTATCTCCAGGAGATTTGTTTATATTTGGATCAACCTCTCTCTCTCTCTCTCTCTGGATTAACAAAGGAAATCCAGTGTATTTTGTGCCTTATTCTGTCAAAAATTCTGTTCCTTTTATCGTGTGTTCTTCCTTTCTGGTGATTTCGAAGTGACTTTATTAACTTTGGTTCTAAAATATTGAGTTGATAAAAGTGAATTCGAGGAAGAGCATAAGAGTTTTGAAGACCTAGTCGGACTAACGATTATATTGAGATTACGGTGTTTGATTTTTTGATTAGTTTATTGAATTGCTTTGAATTTAACTCAAGTTTCTTTTAATTGTTTAACAAGTTCAACAGAAAATGACAAACTCATCTGAAATTGTTATCGGAAATCCAAGTTTGAGTGAAGCTCTAGAGGACTGGCCTCCTGGTCCCTTGGATTTATACCGAAAAAAAGCTTCATTTTGTTGGAAGAAAATGAGGATCCTTATGGAGGGTGAAGACATCATTCGATTCAAGGCTAAAGTTTGGTCAACTTTAGGCAAAGATCCTCTTTTCAAACGAACACCATGGGAAGAATTGTCCAGAGATGAGGAAAGACGATTAACCTTGATGAGAATGAAACGTTTAATCGAATACGATTTTCTCACCGAAGAGGAATTTATTCGTAACCCAATGTTGGCACCGATCGCAGGTCAAACAATTGGACAATATTCACTTTCTTTGTGTGTGAAAAAGTTTCTCGCTTATGAATATTTCATTGGAAATGCTCGAACTGCCGGTTCCAAACGCCAGAATAAATTCATGGCCGATGTCAAGGCTTTCAAAGCTTTAGGTGCCATAAGTTTAACTGAAATGGCTCATGGCAGTAACACCAAGGCGATGAGGACAACAGCGACCTTTGACCCAAAGACACAAGAACTTGTCTTACATACACCAGACATGGAAGCAGTCAAGGTTTGGTCCGGTGTTTTGGGACAAACAGCCACTCATGCCGTCGTCTTTGCTCAATTGATTACTCCTGATGGTGTTTGCCATGGACTTCACTCATTTTTAGTTCCTGTTCGAGATCCAGAAACTTTATTACCCTTCTCAGGAATAACTATTGGTGATATGGGGCCAAAAGTGGGACTAAATGGTATTGATAATGGTTTCATGAAATTTGATCATTACCGAATCGGTAAAGACGCTTTGATGAATCGTAGTGCGGATATTACTCCCGAAGGTGTTTATGTGAATACAGTTAAAGATAAATCTAAACGAGTCGGTGTTACTCTTGGTATATTGTCTTTGGGTCGAGTAGCAATTATCCTTCAAGCGTTTACCAATTTACAAACATCAATTGTTATTTCAGTTCGTTACTCAGCTGCAAGACGTCAATTTGGATCTGCCGGGGATTCTCAAGAGTGGCCTGTCCTCGAATATCAATCGCAGCAATGGCGACTAATACCTTATATCGCGGCTGCTTATGTAATTCAGAATTTCCACCACGTCTTTTTCAAAGAGTATATCAACTTTTTTATATCTATGGCTTATGGCGGATCAACTACTGATCAAACCGAAGTTGGCTCAGAAATTCATTCGCTTTCGTCTGTGGGTAAAGCGATGGTCGGTTGGATGGCTCGTGATGCCATACAAGAATCACGAGAAGCTTGTGGAGGTCATGGTTATTTAAAGGCTTCTCGTTTCGGCGAACTAAGAAATGACAACGACGCAAACAACACTTACGAAGGCGATAATAACGTTCTTCTTCAACAAACGTCTAATTGGTTGATTAAACTGTATCGTGAGAAGTGTGATGAAGGTAAACCAATGAAATCGCCTCTCGGTTCAATCAATTACATAGATTCCATAGAGACAATCTTATCAAGCTCAATGAGGCCCGATGTTGCGACTAACATTGATTCCCTTATCCACTCATATCAATTTCTAGTCTGCTGGTTATTGAAACAATCTTCAGAAAAGCTCACTCGTGAATTGGACAAGGCTGGAGGCGACGTTTTCATCGCTAAAAGCTCATCACAAGTATACTATCTTCGATCTTTAGCAATTGCCTACTTCGAATGTGATATAATCTCAAGGTTCCATAATTTCTACTCTGAAGATCCCATAGAACCTGAATTAAGATCAGTTTTGGCTCGATTAAATCTTCTTTTTGGCCTTTGGACATTTGAGAAACACTTAGCCACCCTTTATGAAGCTGGACATATCCAAGCGAATTTAGATTATCCTGTTACCTTGATTCGCGACAACATTTTAGCCCTTTGTAGCTCATTGAAAGATGATTCTGTTTCCTTGGTCGATGCTTTAGCTCCACCAGATTTCATCTTGAACTCTTCTCTCGGTTATTCTGATGGTAAAATATATGAACACATTTGGGAAGCGCTGATTGAAAATAAAGACGCTCTCAAAAGGCCTGATTGGTACACGGAATTCACTGATAATAAACCAACTCCTCGCCAAGCTCATTCTAATAATGTCCGAGCTAAATTGTGATCTAATGATAAATCTTCCACTCATCCATTCCAGATAACACAAATTGCTTTTTTTAAATCATTTGCGCATCTTTGGCAAAAGTTAACTTAATCACAACGATTGATTTGACTTGTTTATTTCTCTTCACTCATATTCTGTTAATTGTTTCACGATTATCATGAACTATTATCATCTCTTGATTTCGTAATTAAATAATTTAATCTCCTCGTCATGTTGATCATTTTTTACTTCAATTGAATTTTCAATTGGTTTTCTCTCATTTTCCGGTAAGGCTCAAGGGTAAATTAAATCATTTTCCTAAAAAGCCGCGAATCGTAAGCCGAAAAAAAGTCAGCTGAAAGTAGAAAAGTTGAGCTTACAGACAAATCTTGAGCCTTACCTTTTCTTTTCCTCTTCAATGTGTTTATCTCTCTCTGCCAGAGAGTCTCTGGTAATTTTTTTAATTGTTTACTTCACTCATTAATTGTCTACAATCTATTTTAATTTGTTAATTCTATTCTTGGTAATGTTTCAAATGTAAATCATTAAATTTGTGTTTTGCGTTTGTGTCGAAAAGCAAAAAACATCCAAAGGAGAATAGAATTTTTTTTCTTTTATTGGTTTGGTTAAGTGTAGCTTATAAGGCGCCACATACAATTGAGACTACTAAAAGGGTATCTCGGATAACATTTTTTTTCTTCTCTTTTTGGTTTCCATGCGAATATTTGGCTTGTGATTTTTTCTTCTCTCCTATTTTTCTCTCTTTACAACAATTGAACTTTAATGTGAATTTACATTATATTATCATCTCTCAGTGAATTTATTATAACAGCTCGAGGTTCACATTATCCTGTTAATCCTGTTAATTTAATTTTCTACACTGGTAATTGTAGATATTTTCCTTGGATCATTTCTCTCAAATAATTGAATTCATCCGATTAATGATTTAAGCTGAGAAAAAAATCAGCTGAAAATTGAAAATATCGAGCTGACGGGCATCTTGAGTCTTACCACCAATACAATAGTATTGAAGAAACACTAGTTTACATCTGTTGCTTTTCAGGGTTAGAATTCATCTTATTTGTTAAATTCTGTGATGATGTTTGATTAGAAAGAGGAAAACAATGAAGAAAAGAAAGACAATTAATCTAATGGTGAACATGAAGCTTAATTGGCCTAACAACTTTAATCTCTCTACCTAAGGTATGATTTTAGAAAATCTCTTTGTATTTATCTGCCAAATTATCAATATTTTTCTCTAAATCAGTGATTTAATTTTCTATTTACAGACTTGTGATCATTATGTTGGCTTGATCTTTGTGAACCAAAACTCATCATTCTTTGGGTGTGGGCTACTCACAATCTTTAACCATTTCCACTTACAAAATCTCTTGTTCCCCGTTTCAAATCAAAAAGGATCTTCCAGTCAATCAAAATTTTAGATTAATTTATCATCATCATCACCACCGTAATCATCATCATTACCTTTAATCACTTGACTGAAACAATTTCCAGTTATGATTAGAGAAAGATTCAAATTCTCTGTCAACAAGAAGATAATTGCCAGAAAGAAATTACAATCGTTTAATTTAGATTGTTTTTTGCAATATTTTTTTATATTTATGGTATTCTATTTATCTATCAGTCAGCTTATTCTAGCCAATCAAGAAAGTGAAACAATTGAAGATACAAATTTTAAATGTAAATCAAAGGAAAGGATTACTGTTGATTATAGTTCCCATGCTGTTAAAAATGGTAACGATTTTTTTGTTTGATTCTCATTCTCAATTTGATTCCATACTCATTCTGATAATTTGTTGTTTTCCCCTTTCATTTTCAGAATACATTGTAACATTTAATCATCTTTATAAATCATCTGCTCGTAAGCGTTTCATATCATCGGCTCTCTCATCTTGTATCGATTTTCTTAACTCATGGACCATCATTCCTCGAACCAATCCTGCCAGTCTACATCCCAGTGATTTTGATGTTGTTCATCTTTCATCTCATAATTTATCCTCCATCATTACCGCCTTAAAAAGACATCCCAACATCAAGAATGTTACCCCTCAGCGACTTATTATCCGTAGTCTTAAAGTGATCAATGAATCAGCTGAGGAAGAAGATGATAGTGATTTAAAGGATCGTACCTCGTGGTTCTCATCACGGACATTTAAATCAAGACAATCATTATCTTGGCTTAATGGTTGGAGTTTTGATTATAATTCAGGTTCAACTAATACTCGTCGGCATCTACTTCGAGCTATTCCTCGACAAATAACCGCCACATTAAGAGCTGATCAACTTTGGGCCATGGGAATTACTGGTACCGGTGTAAAAGTGGCCGTTTTTGATACGGGATTACCAAAAAATCATCCACATTTTAAGAAAGTTAAAGAGCGAACCAATTGGACAAACGAGAAAACTTTCGACGATGGTTTAGGCCATGGGACCTTCGTCGCTGGTGTGATAGCCAGTGGTAAAGAGTGTCTTGGATTCGCACCCGATGCCGAATTACATATTTATCGGGTTTTTACCAATAACCAGGTTTCCTACACTTCTTGGTTTTTAGATGCTTTTAATTACGCCATTTTGAAAAAGATTAATGTTCTCAATCTTAGTATTGGTGGACCCGATTTTATGGATCATCCTTTTGTTGATAAAGTTTGGGAATTAACTGCAAACAATATTATCATGATTTCAGCAATTGGTAATGATGGACCTCTTTATGGTACACTTAATAATCCTGCAGATCAAATGGATGTTATCGGTGTTGGTGGGATTAATTTCGATGATCAAATTGCTCGTTTCTCATCTCGAGGTATGACAACTTGGGAATTACCTGCAGGCAATGGTAGAGTTAAACCAGATATTGTCACCTATGGATCAGCTGTTCGAGGGTCAAGTATAAAGGGAGGTTGTCGCACACTCTCTGGTACATCAGTAGCATCTCCGGTTGTCGCCGGTGCTGTAACCTTACTCATGTCCGGTGTACTTCACATGGGTAATCTGATTAATCCAGCGAGCATGAAACAAGCCTTAATGGCCTCAGCTCGTCGTCTCAATGGTATTTCAATACTTGAACAAGGAGCCGGTAAACTTGATCTGATTCGCGGCTTTGAAATTTTACGCTCTTATAAACCTCAGGCAACTTTATCTCCAAGTTATCTTGATCTCACCGAATGTCCATACATGTGGCCTTATTGTACTCAGCCCATTTATTTCGGCGCAATGCCAGTGGTCATAAATGTAACCGTTCTCAATGGAATGGGGGTGACAGGGACATTCGCCGGTAAACCCCAATGGCACTCATATACTCCTCAAAATGGTCAATACTTGGACATTGCGATAACTCACTCTGACATTTTATGGCCTTGGTCAGGTTGGATGGCGGTTTACATTTCAGTCACACCGGAAGCCGCTAATTGGGAAGGGATTGCTCAAGGTCATATAAGCATCTCCATTGAATCACCAGCATCGGGAGAAGATCCCGATTATAAGACTCAAAGATCTGAAATTAAGCTTCCCTTGAAAGTGAAAATTATACCGACCCCTCCTCGATCAAAGCGTATCCTTTGGGATCAATATCACAATTTACGTTACCCGCCGGGATATTTTCCTCGTGATAATCTTCACATGAAAAAAGATCCATTAGACTGGAATGGTGATCATATTCACACCAATTTCAAAGATATGTATGAACACATGAGAAATTCTGGTTATTATATTGAAGTTCTTGGTTCTCCATTCACTTGTTTCGATGCACGGGAATATGGTACATTATTAATTGTTGACCCTGAAGAAGAATATTTTCCAGAAGAAATAACTAAATTAAAAAACGATTATGATACAAGTGGATTATCAATAATCGTATTTGCCGATTGGTATAATATCTCTGTTATGAAGAAGGTTAAATTTTACGATGAAAACACTCGCCAATGGTGGATACCCGATACCGGGGGTGCCAATATCCCAGCTCTTAATGATTTACTTTCTCCATGGGGAATTGCATTTGGTGATCAAGTTTTCGAGGGTGAATTTAAATTGGGAAGTAATCACGATATGTTTTATGCATCGGGCACATCGATTATTAAATTTCCCGAAGAATCAGCTGGTTCAAGTGTTTTGGTTCGTCGTGACCTAAACGATCAAGGTAAAGAGATGCTCAAAAGTGTAACTATTAAACAAAAAGATATCCCAATTCTGGGTCTTTTCCAAGCCAAAGAATCTAATTTAGTTGATAATGATCAATATACCAAGGGACGAATCGCTGTTTATGGTGATTCCAATTGTTTAGATACAGCTCACCTTCAGAGAGACTGTTTTTGGATGCTTGAAGCTCTCTTGCAATTTACCACCACGGGTAACATTCCAACTGTATTTCTCTCATCATCCCCTACCTCCTCTGGTTCATCCGCTGCTTCATCTTCATCATCCTCATCATCCACCGGTCAACAAGGGAAAAAATCATCCGAATCATCAAAAACAATAGATCCTCCGAAACTCCCCTCAAGAATGGAGGGCAGCCATTTGTATAGATACTCTAAAGTCTTAGAACATCATCTAGGTAACTTATCTCTCTCTCTCTCTCTCTCTCTCTCTCTCTCTCTCTCTCTCTCTCTTGTCATCAATCATCTAATTATCTTAATTGTTTCCACTCTTTTTCCAGGTAATATCCAAACGCGACCTTTACCTTCATGTCCAAGTCATAAATGGGAAACACCGATCCCTCTGAATGAATCTCTACCAACTAATTTGTATAAAGCACAGAAACTACTTTCTATCAGCAATATTGACATGGGAATTCCCGCTTTACCTGCTCTTTCATCTTATCCCAATGGAAGACTAGATGATGATCAACAAGATGTTAATAATCGTTGGGATTCACTTATAGCATCAGAATCTTCAGCTTCAATGGCTCTTACTATAAATGATTTACAAGCAAGAAGAAAATTTTTCTCACTTGATTGGACAACATTTACTTTGGCAATTGTAATCTTACTTTGTTTATACATGATTAACAAGAAATTAATCAAATACCGATGGATAGGCTCCAGGGGAGTAAATAATAAAACTGGACAATCAGTGAACAAGAGACGTCGCCGCAGTACCGCAGTTAAACGTTGGTTGTTACAAAAGTTACCAAGTAAACTTTCAAGTGTATAAACAACAAGACTGAAATCTAATTTAAAATATTTATTATATGCTGATTAAGTAAACTCTCAATTTGGCTTCCTAATCAAAACGATAATTTAAGTTGATTACTACAACAACAAGATTGAATCGACTATTTATATACGACAAACTCAATTTTCACGGCTGTATAAAACTACATTTGTACAATTTAATATTTATTTGGTCTTACAATTAACATAACAGCTAAAAGCTTACATCAGTTTCGATAGAATCATGATAAACAATTAGAGCCCCCGAACTTGAATTGTCAAGTTTGAAAGTAAATGATTAATTTAACTTCATCGCAACTGATTTGGATTATGAATCTAACTTTACAATAATCATCTTAAATCACTCAACTCTCAACACTCTGACTCTTGCTCAATTTAAGCTCGAGGAATTAATTGTTACAGACATTGATTGCCAAACTATCTAAATATTGGAGAGCCGATGAAAAGCAATTAAACTTATTTTTTGACTCATCATTGGAATTGTGCGAATTCACCTTTTTTAATTGTCGCCATTTTGTAAGAAACTTAAATGTATATGATACATTGTAATAGAAAGACATTAATTGTTAGTCTCTTATCAAGTTTATCAGATAATCTATTTTTATACAATTTATCACATTTAAACAATTGAAATACGTTCAACAAGATTTAATTGATTCCAATAATAATGAGGCTAATGCTTTTCGAATCTGATTGACTTTCGTTTGTTATCTATCGACCGTCACAGGCGTCGCCCGATTGACAAAATGACCTTTTAACCTGCGAATTGTTAGACTGTTTCTTGCAATTAGTTTGAATCATAACAATGACGGAGAAATGGATCATATCTGAGTTAAAGTTTAATTGGCAAATAGTAAAGAAATAGCGACTTTGTGGTCATTAAACTATTCGAGAGCTCCAGAGAGAGATGGTTGTTCCTTTTGGTAGATTATTAAAATTGGGTTCACTCAGGTCGGGTTTTTCTTCTGGTTCAATTGTCGATTGAGTGGATTCTTTATATTCCGATTGAGTTGAACTTTTCACAGTAGTGACCTCAATTTCTGGTTCGACTTTGACTGTGGTTACAGGCTCAAAAGTACTAATTGGCTTGGGTGTAGTTGTCGATGTTACTTTCGGTTTTTTACTTGTCATCACTGGTTTGGGTGTGGTACTTGGGGATTTGTGTTCATTTCTATTCTGTTGCCAATCCTTGTCGAAGTCGAAATCTAAAGCCGATTCAAAATCTTCAACAACTCGCTTCAATTGATCCCAAGCATTCCATCCATATCTGTAGCCATAACCAAATTCCCAGAACGATCTCCAACTAGGCCAAGTCGATCCATCGGTACTAGAAGGTTTCCAGTCCGCTCGTTGATTCCTGTAGTTGTCTCTTCTGTGATGATCTCTATTATTATCCCCTCGATAACCACCATGCCGATGTTCATGACCTGAGCCCCATCGATTTGCATCTCTAGATGAGCCATGCCCATAATTACCAAAGTGAATGTTTGTTGACTTTTTACCGATTTTAGCGTTTACCCAATTTTCTATCGATTCAATTTCATTCGAAACTGATGGGCTATTAATTAGAGATTTACTTGATTTGGCCTTCGTCATGTCACTGATCATAGATTTTCTTGATTTTGAGCCATTAAGAGACAGGAAATTATCAACAAGCTCTTCAGCTTCATTTTCCCAAGTTGCTTCAATTTTACCAGAAATGGTTCGTCCAGATAAACTGACCAGTCCATTGGAGTTCACAACAGCTAAAACTTTTCCACTGGATTTAAGTCCACCGAATAGATCACCTTCATCGGCTTGAATTGTTTCACGAATCAATGATTCATAAGTAATAACATACATTGAACCTTCTCGTGAATCTAACAGCGATAGTAATTTACCTTCATCAGTTAATAGTGATGATGTTGGTTCCCAATTTGAGCCCAATGAAGTAACATTAACTTCAGCAGCGAGATAAATTGTCTTGTTTAAAGTTAAATTGTGTGAATCAGTTGCTCCTCCTAAACTAATTGTGATCGACCCATCAAGTGAAGTTGAATCAAAGGAATCTTGTTTGAGACAATTAACCACAAAATCGCCTACTGATGATTTACTTGAAGATGATTTAGTTGTTGTTGATTGATCCAAGGCAATATTAGTCGTTCCCAAAGTATCGGAGGTCAAAAATATCTTCAACGGAACTGAACCTGAGCGATCAACTGATGCAACCAAAGCTGATAATCCACCAGGTAATTGGTCGAGGTCAAGATCAGAATTCACAGATGACCCATGGGCAAAGATGAGCGCTTCCTCTTCAAGTCCAGTGAAAACAGCGTTGGACAAAAGGTCTTGAAGGTTCCTTTCACTTAATTTGGTTCCATAGAGTAAATCGGCTCTGGAAAATATTGGAAAATTAAGTTAATCATGTAAATAATTTTTAGAACAAAATTGAATCAATAACTTACCTGTTCTTTATGTAATCAACGATTTCTTTCTGACCAATGGTAGTAAAATCAATTGCTGTCAACCCATTGATCAGTAGACAAACAATTAACAGAAATAGTTTCATTTCTGGTTACGGTTAAAACTTTTATGTATTAATTGGATTAAATTTATGTCGCAAATATTAAATTGTTGAGAATTGACATTACTTTTTATACCTTCATGATGATTAAATTTCCCAAGATAAAATCTCCATGTCTTTGTTTCAATTGTTATAACTAATTAAGTTTCATTTAGGTTTAATTCTTAACTGATTAACAACATTATCTTTCATGTGATTTAATCATTTCGGTTTAATTTCTTTTGTACAATTCTAATCAAATCGTTGGTTTTACCCTTTCACGGAAACAAGTTGATTGTTCTTGAATAATTATCACTGATTTTATTGATTCTTCTCTATTGTTGCTTTACAATTTTTATCTAATTGTGACTTATGATGAATTTGAAAGAATTGATTGTTTTATATTGATAGTCGAAAGCCAATCAGTTTAATTAAAGAATCAGAACAGAGTTAAGATATCGATCGATACAAATTTTATCTCTCACGAGATAATGTTATTAATAGTTTGAAGGTCAACTGAACAGTTCATGAAATTCACAAAATGAAACAAATCGTTTTCTTACTTATAATTTAGCTAATTAAGTCCATTCGAAATTTGAATATTGAAGATAATGAAAATCGGTAAATAGATAATTTTTATTGGAATTGAATCTTTGGTGATCAAAACTATCGCCATAATTACCGATAAAATTTTGCGCTACTTATTAATAACCTGCAAAGCCTTTGATTGTCATATTCGAGTGTCAAAGTCGATTTGACTGGTTGAGTGAAATTTGTACTTAATTTTAATTGTAACTGTTAATTTCTTTGAAAATGTGAGATGTTATCTTGAGGAGAAGGAGAAAGTTTTTGTAACAATTGTTTCATTTTATGTTTTTATTAATTGTCGGTAACGAGTAATTAGTAGATTTGTATTTTATTGTATTTCCATGTGAAGATATTGTTAAGTTGATTTACAATAGGAAGTTCAATAGCGTTTGTGGTTGCGTTTGTTATCAATTTGATTCTAGTTGATTGTGAACAAAAAACTAATTAAATTATCAAATGTTTCTCATATTTGGTAATGTTTGTTATCTGGTAATCAATTGTAAAGATGATGATGTTTATCCTTCGGCTTTTTGTTGGTCTGACAATTAATTGTAATCAAAGCTTGAAGTGAATCGAGGTTAACATAATCAACTAGATAATATCGATAGAGTGAGTGAGAGAGAGGGGGATAGAAAGAGAGAAAATGATCCAAATTGAGAATTTGAATTTGAAAAAAGCATAAACATCACTCGAAAAGAGGAAAATTTGAGCGAAAAAGTTAATCCGTCAACATGATAATTGTGATCATAGATCATGATCATGAAATAAATGCTAATAGAAGTTGTTTCATCCTTGGTGCCTTTGATTGATTCTCAATATCTCGACACTTCAACACTTCCGTTAAGATATCAAAGGAAAGAAAGAAGATATTAGATGGATTAGATGGATTAGAGATTAAGAATAAAATTCCACTTGATGAACTTGTTAAACCCGTGAAGTTTTATCGATATTGGATCGTTGTTACTACTGAAGTTTGGATATTTGGAGATTTGGATTGATGAAAAAAATAGAAAAAAATAGAAAAGAGAAAAGAAAACAATTAAGAAAAAGAAGCATATTGATGATCAAATTAGTAGAAAATGATTAATTACCATTACAAATGAATTGATTGTTCTAAGCACTTCCTGGTCCTAATGGTTTGTTTTGTTTCGGATAACACATCCTGAGACCTACGGCCAAGAAAAAGGCCCCGATTATCATGACGACCATGAAGGCGGACATGACCAGAATCAAGGAGAGCTCAGAGTTTTTGTAATCCATTTTGAAGATGAAGGTGAAGTTAATCGGATCCTTGGATCGAATTGGAAATGAGGTGAAAGGTTAAAGGCGATTGAAGGAAAAAGCACAAAATCACCAAGAAATCAACAGAATGTGATTTAGGAATTGAAGGTAAAGGCAGCGAAGGAGAAATTAAATGATGAAAAGAACGAGCACAAGAAATGATGAGCTTGGAGAAGATTATTAAAGAAATGGAGACAGTGAGAGAGAGAGAGAGAGAGTAGACGAAAATGAAAAAGAATACAAAATAAAAGAAAGAGAGAATAAAATTACTTTCGATTATTTGTCGAAAGTGAACATTGCGCAATTAGAAAGAGAATTACTTGTGTTCAGTTTACTGTCGACAAAAGTCTTACTTTTTTTCTCTCTCTCTCTCTCAGTATTTTCTATCAGTTTCTTCAGTCATTATTCTCTCTCTCTCTCTCTCTCTCTCTCTCTCTCTCTCTCTCTCTCTTCTCTCTCATTCTCTTCCTCTCACGTTCTCTTCCAGTGTCCATCATTTCTCTTCTCTGTCTGTAACTCTTTCTGTCTCTGTCTTCATTCATTTTCTCTCATCATTCAGTCCATTTTTCCTCATTAATATTCTTCATTAAATCGAACTAATAAAAAAGCAAATCAATCGAGTTAATCAATTAATAAAAAACTAACAAGAAAAACAATTGATGCATCGATTGTTTCGGTTCTTTCAGTTTTCTGTCGATTCTCTTTTTCCTGATTATTTCTTTCTGGTTGTTACCAGAAAGTTACAAGAGATATTCGTTTGTAAGCGATGAAAATGATCCATTCGAATGAGAAAATGATGTTTAACCAGTTTCCTTTCTTTCTCTCTTTTTCTCTTTCTGTTTGGATACATTTGAGAAAAGATGAGTATTCATGTTCCACCAGCAAAGGCGCGATTCTTGAGATAATTTCAAGAAGTAAATGATAATCTTATCGATAAATAGAAATAAAGTTTTTCTCTGTTAATTGAGTTTCCTTTTGAAAAAGAAAAGAAAATTTTTTTTGTTATTTAATTTCTACTTCCTTTCGGTTTCTTATTTCCTATTCCTCAATTTCCATCCTGTTTATCGTATCTGTTAATTTAATTCTTTTTCCATGTGACTTCTTCATTCCTCTGGAATCATTTTTATCTCTATTCATCTCTTCAGACATCAGACTATGGAAATTCGCGTCACTCAGAGCTTTTTTGCTTCCGGTTCTGGGCCAGAACTTCAGGTTGGGTGTGGTACTTGGGCTTCTTCATTTCTGATATTTTCTTTTTTCACCTTTTCGTTTTCGTCAATCTCTTGTACTGTTTCTCAATTTTTCGTCTTCTCTTTTCTAAGCTACAGTGAAACGTCAGATTAGTATACAAACTGTCAGAATAATGGATTATCTATTATACAATCGAATTTTAATTGTAAATATCACAGCTCAGATGATTATTTTCGATTTTAGGTTCATTAGTAATGGACCTTCTGATCAGCTCAGATCTTTACGATGAGTTGATAACATAATTATTCAGAAAATTCAAGAAATTATCGTGTAGAAACAGAAGATTATTCATTTAGATGAACCAATTTTATTACTTGAATGAAAATCAATTGATTGGAAAACTACTCAAAGATTTTAAAGTCAATCAACTCGAATGAGAAGAGATTAAAAGTTTTTGTCGTTTGAGTCCCATTGAGAATTAATTTATTGATAATTTAATAGAATTGATTGTTCGAGTTGATATTGATATTAGATCATTACAAGTCATAGAGCTTAGATTCACCTTCTTGACATTAATACTTTAATAACGAGAAATTGCTATAGAAACTCGTAAATGACTTGATCATCCGAAGATTTTAGGTGTAAATTATGAATAAAAAATCTCAATTTTAAGGAAAAGAAATATGAATGAACAGAAATATCAAAGTCTAATTGTTGATGTAAATGGTTTCATTGAGGCGATAAAAGTTGGTCCATCAGAGACAAGAATGAAAAAAGATCCTCTGTCGATAATCATTGTGTCGTTGAATGTTAATTTACGTTGATTGTCATCATCGATTGTTAGTTTTGCATGAGAACCAAGATGCCAAATGAACAGTTCAGTATCGACGGAGATAACAATATGTTTACCTGGACCATAAAATCCAATCCTCGACTCGACTGATTGAGGATAAAGGAAAGAAAATCCTTCACAAATTGATAAGTAATTAAACTTAAACCAATCGAGTAAATAAATGGGCGATTGTAGTTTAATTGTCCGATCATCTGGATGAGGTGTCAATGAATTATCGTAAAATTGAGTTGGACGACCAGTCGCACATTCAATGGACGATTTGAATGATTCAATGATCGGCTTGAGATCGGTGTCCAAATTAACCAAATGAAACCATTTCTCGAATAAAACTTGATTACAATTAGAATCGATGTAATAACGAAGACAATCTAGTTCATGATCTAATCGCTTTCGCTCAATCACCATTCCAAGGGTATCGGCAAATCGTTGAGGACTATGAGGTATCCGACTTGGTAGTACAAAAATTTCACCTAATTGTTGATTAATTGATAGATAAATGAGAAAACAATTTAATCTCTTTTCTTGATTGTTGTCTCTTCCTTACAATTGTATTCAAAATTCATTTATTTGTGACAAGATGATAAGTATTTTATTAGTTCTGATAAATCACGAAAAAAACAATAAATATGCTTGAAGACAATTATTGTTGGTAATTAACTTAACTCTACTAACTTACCTTCTCTAATTGTTAAAGCCTTCGAGTGTCCTTGCTCGATAATGTTCAGTATCATGTCACCTTTAAGCATTATGAATATTTCTTCACCATTTTCAACGTGATAATCATTTCGTTGATTAGGTCCACCAACAAGGAAGATCTTTAATTGTCCATTGAAAACTAATTTATTGCAAATTGGTGGTTTAAGGTAAACACCATTTTCCTCAACCCATTGATCAATATTGATCACTTTTGATTGAAAATCTTTCATTTTAAATTGTCACAAATTGTTAAACGATCACTATTGGAGACATGAGGTTCAACTATTATCTTTTCAATCAATTTAATTCACATTAACTACAAGGGATACCAAAGGCACTACCAGTTGAATGCTCAATATAATTTTACAATTAAAAGCTGATTTGATTAAGAGCGAGAATCCAAAAGCAACTGACTATCAAATTGGTTTTAGATGTAAACTAATCAAAATCTTGATTTAGACTAAAAAAGTTGTCAATGATTAATTATTTACTAATTACTTGGGTAAAAAAATAACATTAAAAGTCCTTGTCAATGTCTTATCATATAACCAGATAATTAGATTTGATTAGTGTTAATCTATTTGACTTGAGATCATAACAATTAGAGAGATTCAATTAAGGTTATTCATTTGATTCGTTTACGAATTTAACTTTTCAATGGTTTGATTGTCATTAAGATTTTAATTAATTGCCTATTTCACTTCACAATTAGTTCATTCAGTTTCAAACTAAATTTTGTACAACTAAAATTAACCAGAAGCATTTATTCAAATATTTAATCAAAAGTATTCTAATTAATTGAATACTAATTATTGAACATTACTCGACATTTAATTAATTTTAATATTTAATAAATTGCGATTGATTATATTAAAACGAGTTGAGCATCGACTTGATAACAATTAATAAAAAGTGATAATTCATTAATTGCGGATTTATTTTTAACTCTGTTAAATTAAGCCAATTGTGTTATCAATCAAATCCACTTGTTGATTAGTTTATTTAGTATGACAATTAAGAATACGAATCTTTATTAAAATAAATATGAAAAGTTAAGCCAAACTGATTAGAGTCGCAATCAATTGTTGTAATTACAACTTGATAATTAACGATCGAAAGTTATCACTCAACCAATACAATCAACTTGAAGAAAAATTTTAATTTTAATTGGTCAGAAATTCTCGCTGAATGATTAAAAGTTTGCCAAAGATCAACAGTCCCAAAGAGTAATAGCTTATTACTCTTTGAACAGTCCTCCCAATCAGTTAATTGAGTAAATAATTGTGATTAAACATTTAAATTACATGATGATTTTAGATAATTATAATCAAGAAACATTTTTCTAATCAATTTAATGATAATTTTCTAATCAAATTTATGGATGAAAACGTGTAAAGAAAATGATCAATGTCAACGATTGTTAAGAACTTGATTAGTTAATGATTATTTTGCTGGTCGTTACTAATTGTTGTGGTGTTGCAATTTAGAGTCGGAACACAAAGCAGAAGTTTACAATTAACTCAATTGACTTTAATCAAAAAGATACTGATTGTGGTTTGGTTGCAATGATTAATTGAATTGATTGCGAAAAGCAATTCATTTTGATTGAAAACAAGGTCGCAGATTCGCAAATATAATTAGACAGGAAATTAAATTAGTTCACTAATTGTCAACTGGTTGTGAATTCACACAGAAATATCGATTGTTAGATCAACTTGACCTCTCAAGTTTTACAATGTTATTAACCATTGACTATTTTTCAAAAATTTGGGAGTAAATTGATGAAACCAAAATAGATTAATAGTTTTTATCTTCATCTCTTACAAGATTTAATTACAAGAAAAACTCAATTGTGTAGTAATTGTTAATACATAGATTTTTGAGTAATAATAGTTATTGAATCTGTTTGGTTGTCTGATTTGGAAGCAATCTGATCACCGTAAGACTGATTATGACAATAATGATATTAGAGAGGATGATAAAAGATCTAAATTGATATTTAAAGAAATCAACGGAAAATCAGGCTCATGAGACAATCGATAATCCGAAAGTTCGAGGGCGTAAATTTAATTGTGTTCATCACGTAGCTGAACTAAAATTAACTCAATTTCTTAGCACAAAAAAACCTCTGAACAGAAACAATGTCTGCATATGAGTTCTATATGAATAATATTCACCTCACTTATTTATTAATATCAAATGAGAAGGAATTTGATTAACCACTGAAATGACAATTACACTTCGACCAGAAAAGTCTAGTGAATGTCGAGTAAAAAGAAAGTGCTGTTATCTAGTGGACAAGAGAACTAACGGTTTTTTTTGTGACAATTGTTTTTTCTTTTCAATAATTGTGTTCGAGTAATTAGTAATAGATTTGTATTTTATTGTATTTCCATGTGAAGATATTGTTAAGTTGATTTACAATAGGAAGTTCAATAGCGTTTGTGGTTGCGTTTGTTATCAATTTGATTCTAGTTGATTGTGAACAAAAAACTAATTAAATTATCAAATGTTTCTCATATTTGGTAATGTTTGTTATCTGGTAATCAATTGTAAAGATGATGATGTTTATCCTTCGGCTTTTTGTTGGTCTGACAATTAATTGTAATCAAAGCTTGAAGTGAATCGAGGTTAACATAATCAACTAGATAATATCGATAGAGTGAGTGAGAGAGAGGGGGATAGAAAGAGAGAAAATGATCCAAATTGAGAATTTGAATTTGAAAAAAGCATAAACATCACTCGAAAAGAGGAAAATTTGAGCGAAAAAGTTAATCCGTCAACATGATAATTGTGATCATAGATCATGATCATGAAATAAATGCTAATAGAAGTTGTTTCATCCTTGGTGCCTTTGATTGATTCTCAATATCTCGACACTTCAACACTTCCGTTAGGATATCAAAGGAAAGAAAGAAGATATTAGATGGATTAGATGGATTAGAGATTAAGAATAAAATTCCACTTGATGAACTTGTTAAACCCGTGAAGTTTTATCGATATTGGATCGTTGTTACTACTGAAGTTTGGATATTTGGAGATTTGGATTGATGAAAAAAATAGAAAAAAATAGAAAAGAGAAAAGAGAAAAGAAAACAATTAAGAAAAAGAAGCATATTGATGATCAAATTAGTAGAAAATGATTAATTACCATTACAAATGAATTGATTGTTCTAAGCACTTCCTGGTCCTAATGGTTTGTTTTGTTTCGGATAACACATCCTGAGACCTACGGCCAAGAAAAAGGCCCCGATTATCATGACGACCATGAAGGCGGACATGACCAGAATCAAGGAGAGCTCAGAGTTTTTGTAATCCATTTTGAAGATGAAGGTGAAGTTAATCGGATCCTTGGATCGAATTGGAAATGAGGTGAAAGGTTAAAGGCGATTGAAGGAAAAAGCACAAAATCACCAAGAAATCAACAGAATGTGATTTAGGAATTGAAGGTAAAGGCAGCGAAGGAGAAATTAAATGATGAAAAGAACGAGCACAAGAAATGATGAGCTTGGAGAAGATTATTAAAGAAATGGAGACAGTGAGAGAGAGAGAGAGAGTAGACGAAAATGAAAAAGAATACAAAATAAAAGAAAGAGAGAATAAAATTACTTTCGATTATTTGTCGAAAGTGAACATTGCGCAATTAGAAAGAGAATTACTTGTGTTCAGTTTACTGTCGACAAAAGTCTTACTTTTTCTCTCTCTCTCTCAGTATTTTCTATCAGTTTCTTCAGTCATTATTCTCTCTCTCCCTCACTCTCTCTCCTCCTCTCTCTCTCTCTCTCTCTCTTTCTCTCTCTCATTCTCTTCCTCTCACGTTCTCTTCCAGTGTCCATCATTTCTCTTCTCTGTCTGTAACTCTTTCTGTCTCTGTCTTCATTCATTTTCTCTCATCATTCAGTCCATTTTTCCTCATTAATATTCTTCATTAAATCGAACTAATAATACACAAAAAAATCAAATTCTATTAATGTAAAAGCGAATCGACTAGACTCATCAAGAACTTGACCAAATGAATTGAGAGTCAATGAAACGCATTAAGAGCAATTTGTATTCGGAAATAGTATTTCCGAAATACTTTGCTTTCTATTGCATCGACGAAACAAATGAAAGCTCGAAAACTAATATAATGTAATTGGTTAAAAACTTGCAAACTAATTAAGTTTCGAGTCTAAACCATCGATCTATCGATCAAATCGATTATCGGTCGAAATTGTCGGCGATCGACTTGCAATGATCGATCACAAAAAGAAACACGTGACCATTGGCTCAGAATTTATCCAAAATGATATTTACTGATATTATGATAAATCACCAATAATATCACATGACCCAGACGTGATTTGAACACGCAACCTTCTGATCTGGAGTCAGACGCGCTGCCGTTGCGCCACTGAGTCGATGAAATTCTAGGGACCACTTGTATGATATAAAATAACTTTGGAAATACCGGTCACACCCTATATTTGGTTTTCTATTTTCTGTTTATGTTTTGGTGAAATTAGATAATTTTGTTTATCATCTGTCGATTGTTAACTACATTTCTTATATCATATTCTTGTGTTTATTGTTGTCACCAAGGTTTTAATCTTCTCCCCCTTTTATCTCTCATTTCTTCTTTCCCATTGCTCTTCATCTCTCCCTTTCTCTCTCCTTCCAGTGTGTTGGATGTCATGCCCATCGCTTCATAACTTATCATCTCCATTGACAATGAGACTCACTCATCATTTCTCATCTTCACTCACATATTTACTTCTACATCATCATCATCTGTAATCACTTTTGCGAAATGATTTTCACCTTTAAGCTGTTTGATAGACATCAAATCGGTCCAAATTAGTTAGTATCATAATATGTTCACCATTTTATGTTTGGTAAGTTGAATCAATAAGTTGAATTATCTGTGTTTGAATTTACATTGGAATATAATTTCATGTACTTGTAGTGTTTTCCATGAGAATGATTGTCTGAACCGTAGACCGACTCATTCACTTAAATTATCGCGCTAAATGAAAAGTGTTTTCAATCGGTGGCGATATCAGCTCAATCAATCAGCCTTCGAGTGATTTTAAATGTTTTCCTTGTGGTATTTTTGTCTGCATTTAGCTCATTACATTTAATTTTTAATATCTTGTTATTTTTTTCTTCCTTTTAGATGCATTCAAATCTTTACTGTGGCCAATCAACTAAACATGCATGTACGTAAAGAAGAGGCCCATCGAGCTTTGGAGCTGTTGGAGGAATATCATTCAAAGTTAACATCTCCTCGTGACAAACAATTGCGAAATGCTCTTGAAAGAGTTCTAAGGATATTCAAATCTCGTTTATTCCAAGCACTTCTAGATATTCAAGAATTTTATGAACTCACTCTTTTAAATGATGATAAAAGTGTTCAACAGAAAACCGCGGAAACCCTTCAAATAGCCTCAAAATGGGAAAGTAGTCCACTTATCGCTCCTCCGATTGATGAAGTGGACTTGGTCCAATCTTTGTCACATTCCAGATCAGTACCTGATAGAGCGGACACCAGTGGACAACAACAACAACAACAACAGACAAAATACTCTAGAGGTTATCAAAGTGATGAAGATGTTAGTTCATCTGATTATCGAGGGCCATTATTGCCCACGATGGATAATTTCAATTTTAATCTTGTCTCAAATTTGGAAACAATTTCAAGGATCGAAAGACAAACAGTGACCGACGACCAGCTTTCCGATGAAGCGGCTAATCTACGATCTGGTCAAGGTAATCAAATCAATTCTGATAGTCGAATGCAAAGCTCACCAGCTCATCGAGGTTACCATGAGAATAACAATTTCTATCCTGATTCAACCACAGAATCTGGAGTCCATTCAATGCGTTCTCATTTATCTTATCCTCATGATCCTAATCAAGTAAGACCATTATTATTACTTCAACTATTCTCATGATGAAAACATGATAATCCATTAGCTGTCTCATGTTTCAATTTATCTATCATATTTTATTACATTCATTTGTTTTATCTTTTATTACTCTTTTGTTTAGGGTCGACCTAGTCCATCAAAAAGTCACATTCAAACTCGATCCATTGATGATATAACTAATTCAGTGATCAATTTAAAATGTGAATCAACTAATCATCCAATTTGGGAATATGAGGAAATCACCTTGGAAAGAGGTAACGCTGGACTTGGTTTCTCGATTGCTGGAGGAATTGGACCGTAAGTATGATGGTTTACATCTAAATTGTTCACTATTAATATTTAATCATTTTCTTTATTATCTCTCATACAATTGTTTATTTATCATGTTTGTTTTCTTTATACCAACTTACATTTGTAATCTTATTATCACTTTTACAGTGTGGCTGGAAATGAAAATCTACCAATTAATACAGATACAAATATTTATGTAACCAAAATAATCTCTGGTGGTGCAGCAGCATTAGATGGTCGATTACAGGTTGATGATATTATTCTTAAGGTAAATGAGATCGATCTAATAAACTGTCCTCATCCCGTCGCTGTTGAAGCACTTAAAGAGGCCGGTAATCGTGTTCGCCTTGTGGTCAAAAGACGTAAAGATGTGGTCATCGAGCTACTCAAAGGAGACAAAGGCCTTGGCTTCAGTATTGCCGGAGGAATCGGTAACCAGCATATTCCAGGTGATAATGGAATCTATGTAACCAAAATAATGGAATATGGTGCTGCTCATCTTGATGGAAGATTACAAGTCGGCGATCGGTTGATTGCTGTCAACAGTAAAAATCTTGAGAACGTGACCCACGAAGAAGCCGTGGCCACACTTAAATCAACTGCCGATCGAGTTGTATTAACAGTACTTAAAGGCAACGTTCGACCAACTCTTAATCACCCGACGATTTATCAACATTACACCAATCGAAGCCATTCACCGAATCCACCCCAACAAATTTGCACCATTCCTTCAACATCTACACGAATAACAGCTTGTTCTGTGAACTCTGGTTTCCCTCAGAAGGTAATTAATTAGTTATCGATTCCCTTCACATGAGATGAAAATTTAGCCATCATCATCTTACTCATTAATGAGCCTCATTTGGATTACAATTAAGTTTTTTTCTTTATTCTGTTAGTGAGACAAAACTCTCAAACACTTTTGCCATTGTTTTCGTTTAATCAACCATGAAATTCATTACTATGCTTTTCTCAATTAATATTTTCTCATTATTCATCATCTTTGAGAACTTTTTTCTCATCAAATTAGTACAAACCTTAATTACCCACAATGCATCATTAATCTTTGATTAATATGATCAACTTTGAATATAATCAATAGAACTTTCAACTTACTATATTTTCTTTCTGATTACTAATTATTAATTATAAAATGCAATTCAAATAACCGAAAAGTAGAATTTTGATACTCACCAAATACATTTGATACTAATTTAATTAGCAGAGTCATGTTGGTAATTCAGATGATGAATGGTGGAACTCTCGTAGTGGAGCCAGGGAAAGTCGAGAAACGACCTTTGGTATGGTCCCGACAGGATACAATATGGCTCCATCTCCATGTCTTCCGGAAGCATCGAAAGCGCTAGATTATAGTTCCAGTGGTCAGGTAATTTAATAATTATGTCAAATTAATTCAAAGTGATTATTCAACCATTTCATTGTCTGATTCATTTAAACAGGAGATGATTAATGTTGTTGGAAGTAAACTGGACAAAGAGAGTGATTATTCAACTCGAGAATCAAGGACCGTCGCATTAACCAAAAGCTCAACTGGCCTTGGTTTTAATATCGTTGGAGGTGAAGATGGTGAAGGCATTTTTATATCTTTCATACTCTCCGGTGGACCTGCCGATCTGAATGGACAATTAAGGCGAGGAGATCAAATATTATCCGTTAATGGATTTGATCTGAGACACGCTAATCATGAACAAGCTGCTGCTGCTCTTAAAGGAGCTGGACAAACGGTGACTCTCGTCGTTCAGTACAGACCTGAAGAGTATAATCGTTTCGAGGCAAAGATACATGATATTCGTGAACACATTATCCTGAATGCCTCTGGAAGCCTTAAAACCTCCATTAAAAGGTCATTTTTTGTTCGAGCTCTTTTTGATTATGATCCAACCAAAGACTCGGGCTTACCAAGCAGAGGATTACTCTTCCGGTTTGGTGATATACTTCATGTAATCAATGCTTCCGATGATGAATGGTGGCAGGCTCGAAGAGCGTTGCCCGATGGCCAGGAATCGGAACTTGGTATTATACCTTCCAGAAAAAGAGTTGAGAAGAAAGAACGAGCTCGCTTGAAGTATGTCAAATTTCAAGAGAAATCAGGTTCTGATGGGAAGATGTCTACTATTGATCGGAAGAAGAAAAACTTTTCTTTTTCACGGAAATTTCCATTTATGAAATCTCGAGATACTGAAGATGAAAGTGATGAAAGAGACGATAAATCACCAACCAAGGAGCACGTCGAGTCTTTTGTATGTACTTTCGCTCTTTTATGATATCAACTAATAATTTAATTATATTTGAAGAAAAGTATTTGATAAAGTTTTAATGAATGTTCATCTTTTGATTTACAGCCGGAAACTAATCCATCAAATGAAGTAGATAATCCTAAAGAAGATAATGTGCTCTCCTATGAGTATGTTGTCCAACAAGAGATCAGTTACCGACGACCTGTAATAATTTTGGGACCATTAAAGGATCGTATTAACGATGACCTTATCTCAGAATATCCGGAAAGGTTTCAATCGTGTGTACCTCATACCACTCGACCTCCTCGAGATTATGAAATTGATGGACGAGATTATCATTTCGTTGCTTCTCGTGAACAAATGGAGAAAGACATACAGAATCATCTATTCATCGAGGCAGGTCAATATAACGATAACCTTTACGGAACCTCTGTGGCCTCTGTACGCTCCGTGGCTGAGGCCGGAAAACATTGTATCCTTGATGTGAGTGGAAGTGCAATTAAAAGACTCCAAGCAGCCGGACTTCAACCCATAGCCATATTTATTAAGCCCAAATCAATTGCTTCACTTATGGAGATGAATAAAAGGTTTCCAGAGGAAGAAGCTAAAAAATTATATGAACGAGCCATCAAATTGGAACAAGAGTTCGCTGAATATTTCACATCAATAGTCATCGGAGATTCTCCTGAGGAGATCTATGCAAAAGTTAAATCTGCCATAAGTAAGTCGATTTCATTCAAGTCGAACTGATAGTTCTGTACACTTGACATTTCGCGTCATTTTAATTTTTACTTTGTTTTCTTTCGTATCAGACGTAAACGATTCCCCTGTCATATGGATACGCCCGAGAGATCAAGGATTATGAAGATTATCTACTGATTACCAATAGAATCCAATTGCTAAAAATCAAAACAGATCTTCCTTTCATAATATTTTACCATCAGTCTTTTTCCTCTCTTTTACACATTGTATTTTCCTCTCTCTCTCTAACTTTTGTGTCTCTTTCCCATCATCTTCATCTTCTCCAATCATCGTGATATATATATTACAATTAACGAAACCAATTACACGAAACTAATTACACACACAAACACTTACACACATTTACAAGGCTTGTTTAATGTTCAACCAAAGACTCGCATGGACAAAATGAATTTCACCTTTTCTGCAGGAAGACAAAGTTCATTTTTCTTTTTCCTTTTAATCAAATTTTCAATTCAAACAAACTTTTCAAATTACACTTTTGAAAATCACCAACAATCAACAATTTATGAACAAATCAATTAATAGTAAGCGAACAGACGCTCACCCACTGCTCACAGAAAGCCTCAAGTAAAGATGATCTCTGGATTGATGCTCTCTCATTCTCTTTTCTTCTAATTGATTCCAGAATTCTTACTTAATTATCCACGATTATGATAACAAAAGCATCGCCTTCGTTATTGCTTCGCTTTTTCATCTTTGTTGTTCATCGGATCTTCCAACTTTCATCTGATCTTTCTTTCTTCCATCTCTGAGAATCCATGTTTTGACCTGTTCCCTCAACTGCCCATCACTCACTCGCTTTGTCTTCATGTCATTTTAATCAACATTGTTTTTAAATGATAATTTTATTTGTTGAATCCCAATTGAAACAAACGAAAAGAAACTAAAATGAAATGAGAACAAAAATCAACATGAATATTACAAATAACATGCGAACAATTAACTTTTTCTTACTTATCAACGTACAATCTACAAGGTGAAAACAAAAGATAATCAACTTAGGAAGAAGCAATTAACATGCTTACGAAGCATTTAGTGTATCTAAATTTTCTGGCAGAAAATCAAGAAAAAAATCCAAAAGTGAACAATTAAAAATTTAATTTCTTTGTATTTCGGTTAAATAACGTCATCATCTAAATGAGTTTCCATCAATCAACCTGAACAATAGTTGCAGAAATTAGAAAACTGACAATTTTTCAAATTTATACTACAAGAAAAAAAATAATCTATAGAACTAAAATTAGCACTAATCTAATAACTAAAACCATTCGAAAATAAAACAAAACAAAACAAAACTAAACTTGACATTCGATCAATCAAATTATCGAATTTCAATTTCATGAGAACGAAGTTGAGTTAATGTTTTGATCCAAAGTTTCTTAACGTGATTAATTTCTCGGTATTATAATTATTCTGGGTTCTTAAAATCAAAAAGACGATCTATTAATTCGATTAGTTAATTAGTTAATCGGTTAATCACAAGTGAAAAATAAAAAGAATTAACTTGAATTATATTTGCCGGGTTCGAATGGACTCTCGTAGGTGGAGCTGTTGAAATGCCTTGAGAACATCAGAGTTTCAGTTGAACTCTTGTTATTGTTGTTGATCGTTTGTTTTAATCATGTTTTCTTTGATTAATGGGAACAATTTATTAATGTGATTATAATGATTTGAAGGATTTGATCAATATTCGTGTCTATGGTTCATCTTGTGTTTGTTTTGTTTCAATTAATGGCAACTTCTTTTTTCCTCTGACCATTTAACTAGTGAATTAAATCTGTTCCCTTTTCTATTGTGCACCAAACCAACAACATCTTTCTCCTTTTCTCTCCTTTCTCTTTCACTATTCTCATTTCCCTTTCTTTTATCTCTCTCCCTCCTAGTTTGTCCTGTTTTTCATTCTATTCTTCACCATCATCCTGTGAATTGATTCTTCTGTAAATTATTATTGCCATTTTTTATTCCATCATCATGTCTGAGCGTAAATTCATGAAAGTTCTCTCGAAACCAGGATCAGCAGCAGCTGTTCGAGAGAATGTGTCGGCTGCTGTTCGACACACAACTTTAATGGTTCGGCCTCTTATTGTTGAACCTTTGGACTACGAAGAGTTAATTAATAAGATGAGAACTATTCTTCAAAATGATCCTCAAAGAGAACTGTTACTTTTCCCCATGGACGATTTTGAGGCTAAAACTCTAAATCGTTTAATTCGAACCACTCGACCGGTGCCATATAATAATCACGACTTCATGTTATCGAGCAAATTAAACCTTGACACTAACCTTTTACCTGTTTCCCTTCATGTGAGGCAATGTATTGATGGGTTTCTACGTGATTGGAGTGTAATTGAATTTAAATATGAAAAATACTCTGGTTCTTGGACAGAGTTACCTAAATTACCAAGATTGACTGAAGAGGCCAATCTTTTAGACCAAGTTTATGAGATTGACGATGAGGAAGATGGTGATCGAGAGCCAAATGAAAATGTGATTGGAGGAATTACAAAAGAGGGATATATTTTAAGAGGATCCGAAACTGCGACTAGCGCTTTCATGTCGATGACAAGTAAATCATTCAAGAGACGATGGATGTGTCTTCGTCCGGAAATTGATAACACTTATGTACTTGAATTTTTTAAAGATCAAAGGAAAACTGAATCAAAAGGATCAATTCATTTGGATCTTTGTCATCAAGTTGTCCGGAATCCCCGTCGTGGAAAATGGGCTTTTGAACTACGGATGATTGAAGGACATAAATGTGTGATACTTGCCACCGAATTAGAGACTGATTTAGATTCATGGCTGGAAGCACTGAATCGAGCCATTTCCAATAAATCAGAAACCGCGAGCCGTAAAAGTGTTGCTCTCTCCGAAGGAATCTCAACACCACCTCCAACCCTGAAATACGGCACCTTGAGGAATCTTGAATTCTCTAAAAATCCTGAACTGATGAAATATTCCCGTGAAACTGAATACACTATTGCTCAGCAACGTAAAGAGGGAAGGGTCAATGTATTCATGGTTTATCCTGATTTACAATCTCGCCGAGGGTCATTTATTGAACTTAAATATCGTCCCAATAAAAAGGTGGAACCATATCGGGAGCAATTTGGCTTTCGCTTCATCTTCACCTGTGATACCTTTGATTTCAATTTAAAAACAACGATAGAAGGAAATACCTGCCATATTGAACCTTTTTTCACTTCAGTTGCTGTTTTTGATGCCAAACGCGGTAAAATAACGGAAGAATTCAGATTTGATGTAAATAATGATCTTGTTAAAGAAATGTTACCCAAAGGAAAATTAGAAAGACAAGATTCAATGGACATGGAAGATGCTCGAGAGTTTACAGACGACTGGATAGTAGACCCTAAGTCAGCCATTTTCTCAATTCATTCTCCAAGTACCGATATGTTTCTCGTTTTACGTGTGGAAAAGGTTTTAACCGGTTCTATATCATCGACCAGTGATGGTTACATTAAATCAACTGAAAATGGTGCCGGTAAATTGGGTGTTAAAATGCACAAAACAGCAAAAGCAACTTGTCAAAGGATGGGAACCCAATACCGGATGCCGTTTGCATGGGCAGCAAAACCATTGTTTAAATCAACCAAATGTTTGGACACTTCATCTGATTTCGGATCAATTTATCGACAAGAAAACAATAGATTAAGTGACGAAGATCTAATTAAGCATCTGAATGAATTGAAAAACAATGAGAAACTCCGAAATGTTACCGTTATTCCAGGTAAAATAAGCTGCTCTCTCAAAGAGCTAAGCACTACCGTCACAAATGATATTCCTGATACAGTGTTAACCAGTTCCCACCTTCCGGTTGTGCCATTCAAAACACCTCCCATAGAACCAGCTATCATTGAAGTTCAAGAATTTCTTTTAACTAATCCTCGAATAGCATCGCCCTCCACCCATTATGTTAATTTGCTTTATGTTTTCCCGAAGTGCCTCAAATATGATAGCCAAAAGTTTTTCGCCAAAGCGCGTAACATTTGCTGTGCCATTGAATTTCGAGACTCAGATGAAGAATCTGCTCTTCCCTTGCCTGTTATCTTCGGTCGCCCTTGTACCTCCAATCGTGAATTTGTTTCAAGAGTAACAACCTCAATAACCCATCACTCATCTAACCCTGAATTTTACGAGGAAGTGAAAATAGCTCTGCCCGTTGTACTTCATGAAAAGCAACATCTTCTATTCAGTTTCTATCATGTTTCATGTTCCACTTCGTCACACAAAAAGAAAGAATCATCCATTGAAACACCCATCGGCTACTCTTGGCTTCCCATATATCCAAACCGAGGAAAATTGAATCTTGAAGAGCAAAGCATAAGTGTATCATCCCACCTTCCTCCAGGTTACCTTTCATATAAGCCTTTAGGCTTAGGCAAAGGGGTAAGCATCATCATCATCATCATCGCTTTAATGTTTTATTAATAGAGTCTAATTAATAGCTATTTTCATTGCTCATCATCATTTCTTAATTCATTATAACCTCTTTTCTCTTGAATTTTCCTTTCTTTTCCCTCCACCTCTTACTTTCTTTTCTTTTCTTGCCTTTTTCCAATATCTTGTCATACAACCTTTTTTGGTTTTGTTTGACTAAACATAACGAATAACTTTATAAATTTAATGATAATGTTGTTTTCCTTTTTTGATTTTTTTCTCTTCTTTCATACATCAACACCATTCTCTTGATCATCATCATGATCATCTTCTTTGCTTGAAAAAACATTCAAACAATTTTTTATCCTGGAAACAGTTTTCTGGACCCGAAATCAGATGGGTTGATGGAGGTCGAGAATTATTTAAAGTTGGTTTCAAATTTGTCTCAAGTATATTTCCAAGTGATCCTCATCTTCACTCCTTCTTGGTTCATGTTGATAAAATATTGGATATGAAAAGTAATAATGAAAATGATCTGTCAGGAGTAGACACGGCAAGCATAAGTTCAGGTTCAATTAACACTACTCTTACCAATACAGGATCTGAGGCGGGTCGGGAGATCTCAAAATTTGTTCAGATTCAACATGGAATGCCAAAAATTTTGAAGAACCTTCAAGACTCTGAAATCAGTGATATTATCAGATTTTTTCCGGTCCTCATGACGCAATTATTACGCCTTCTCATGGCTACGACCAGTGAAGATGTTTCACTTAATATTGTACGAATTATAATTGATATCTTGCATCGAATTCATTCAGTCAACAAAGAAGAAGTTACTCAAAGCTACGTTGAGGTAAGAAAATCTCGTTGAAATCAGAAAAAAATGGAAATAATCGCTAATTATCGTCTCGTCGTAAACAATAGTTTGATACCTGTAGTAGAAATTAAATCCAAACCAACCTGTTTTGTTGAAAAACCATCATGTTAATTCTTGTTTCCTTATTCGATCATTTTATTAACTCATTTTTTCTCTATTTTTCTCTAAAATTTAGTACGTTTTCACTTCTGAATCTCTTTTTACAAGCAATTCAAAGACAACCCTCCATGAGGAACTCATTCGCTCATTAGTTTCACTTCTTCGTTCATCTTTCAATGATTTTATGGTTATCAATAACCTTCTCTCTCACTGCTGGTTTTTCCTCCAAATTGCTGTTAAATCTATGGTCAATCATCTTCTCACCTCTGGACGAATTAAAATGCTTCGAAATGAACGTTTCCCTCAAGAATATCATACAAACCTTTCAGCATTTATCGACCTTATAATGCCACAAATTATGCACAAATATCGAGGTCTTCCCTCCGAGACTAAATTAGCTAACAAAGCTCTTGCCTTCTTCCTGACTCGATGTCTCTCCCTAATGGATCGTGGTTTTGTTTTCCGTCTCATCAAATTGTACCTTGATAAATTCCACACGGCTCGTGATAGTGTTGCCCTTCACAATTACAAATTCGAATTCATTGCAATCATTACAGCTTATGAACACCATGTACCTCTTAACCTGCCAATAAATGGGTCCTCAATCAAAGCCAAAACATCGCCAGGAAGTGAAACTGCTACGAAAGAAAATCCTATCGCAATATCTGATTCATTTACCAAAACTCATTTTATCGTTGGTATTATACTTCAAGAGGTTCGTTCAGCGTTGATTGAGGTTCATCAAGTTCGTGGTATGGCCATTTCAGTTTTGCGTAATCTACTCGTTAAACATTCATTCGATGATCGATACCAATACAGACAACAACAATCTCGAATTGCATCTCTCTACTTCCCCTTCATTTCTGTTTTACTTGATAACATTAACCGAATTCATGTTTCCGGATTTTCATCTGCCATTCAACATCTCATCAATGATAATAACAATTCTACTCGAATTTCATCTCCCCATAAATCATCTACTCTCAACTGTCTAAATTCATCGAAACGAGTCTCATTCTTTGATACCTATTCTCTCGCCTCTCTTGATACAATCGATGGTACAACCAAAAGTAATAGTTTACGTCGCAATTCAACACTGGAATCGACCTCAAAACTTCTTTCGACTGCTAATCGAGATTCCAGTTATCTTCAGTATATCGCAGGAACTATTCCTATTACTAATGTTGGCCTTTCGGTCGTTACCAATAGTCCAGGTTCTAGTTTTTTTCCTGGAAGTTCAGATGAACTTTCAGTAGATGGGCCTGATTCTTCATCTAAATCACCTTCACCTGATCCAGATAATCATTCAAAGAATGTCACTTCAGCTCTTAGTCAACAAACTAATCAACTTCAATTAATTAGTCAACAAGGACACTTATCATTAGGGAAAATGTCAACAACCAACAATCCATCAACAGATTCGAGATCAACTTCCCCCGCCAATATGGATAATAAAGATATTAATCATCATCATCAGCGATCCCAATCATTACCAGTGAGATTTGATAAACTAAATAACAAGGAAGTCAGAGATCTGTTGATTATACACCTTTGGATAATCAAACATGTAACTGAAGATATGATGACTAAATGGTTACATCAAGCATCAGATGTTCAAATAATCCAAATTTTAACTTTAACCGAAATGTGTCTATTCGAATTCAAATACAGTGGCAGAAAATATTCCACCAAAAGATCGGGAGCATCTGATAAGGCGAACACGTTACCTTCGAGAATAAGTTCGAACATGTCAAGTCAAACATCCATTGGACCTCGATTCGAAGATAATGAATCAAACGAAAACCACATTACCCACGAAAATGTACTTTTCTCGTCTCTTCTGGAAGCTAATCTAGCCACCGAAGTGGGTCTTATCGCTTTGGATCAGCTCGGTCTGATAACATCTCATCTCAAAGATCGTATCTCTGGTAACGAAGGCGATAATCCTCTTATGAAGAAAATTTTCTCCATTTATCTTACTTTTCTTCAATTAGGACAATCAGAAACTCTCTTGAAACACCTTTTCGCTTCCCTCAGAGGTTTTGTTAATAAATTTCCGTCAGTTCTATTCTCGGGTAATCCTAATCTAGTTGGCAAATTGTGTCTAGAACTGTTACGCTGTTCGTCTTCTCGGATTGTCACCGTTCGCAATGAATCTTCCGCTTTACTTTACCTTCTCATGCGAGCTAATTTTGACCATTCGAATGGTCTCTCAATGACTCGAATGCATCTTCAAGTAATTATATCCATTTCGAGGCTACTTGGTGATTCTGGTTTAGCGTTGATGAACAATCCTCGATTTCAAGAATCACTGGCCGTGATTAACAATTATGCAGGATCGGATAAGGGAATGCAAGGAGGTCGTTTCCCATCACTAGTCAAAGAGTTAACTAAGAAGGTCAGAACGGTACTTATGGCTACGGCAGCGATGAGAGAGCATGAAAATGATTCTGAAATGTTATTGGATTTACAACACCATTTAGCCAACAGCTATGCCGAGACCTCTCCAGCATTGAGACGCACTTGGCTCGAATCAATGGCTAAAAATCATATTAAGAACAATAATTTTTCAGAAGCAGCTCAGTGTTTAGCTCATATCGCAGCTTTGGAAGCTGAATATCTTCGTAACAAGAATCAACATCAACTTGGAGCCAAAGCCTTTTCTTCAATTTCATTGAACATTCCTCGAGACGAAGAGCTGTCTAATTCAACTCGTCGAGATGAGAGTAACAGTGACGAGGAACAATTTTCAGAGGAATCTCTCTTATCTAGTCTGGAAAGTGCAGTTGACTTATTCACCCGAGCCGAAAGGTACGAAGTGGTTCCCGAAATTTACAAGATAATGGCTCCCTTTTATGAGAAAGCACGTAACTACGAGATACTTAGTCGAATTCATCGTAACATCAGTGAAATTTATGATAAGATTTTGATTACAAAGAAAAGCGGTAAACGGCTTCTCGGTCGTTATTATAAAGTAGCATTTTTTGGTAAAGACTATTTCGAGGATGATTCAGGACGGGAATATATTTATAAAGAACCAAAAGTAACATCTTTACCAGAAATTTCTCAGCGCCTTAAAGATCTTTTTTCATCTAAATTTGGTCCAACTAATGTGAAACTCATCATGTCCGAAAAAGAGATCGACGAAAAGAAAGACTGTGATCCTCGATACGCTTATATTCAGATAACCCACGTTGTTCCTTATTCTCATGTAACCGATCCTTCAGATGATCGAATTACTGATTTTGAAAAAGTGAACAATGTGAACAAATTCATGTTCGAAACGCCCTTCTCTCTAATTGACCCATCTAAGGCCAGGTCAAGTGATTGTGAAGAGCAATGTAAAAAACGAACCATTTTGGTGACGAAATACTGTCTCCCCTATGTGGTCAAACGGGTACCAATTGTTTCTAAATCAGTTCAAATATTATCTCCGATTGAAGTGGCCATCGATGAAATGGAAATTCGAGTAAAACAATTAGAAGAAGTCGCTTTCTCTGATTCTCCCGATCTCAAAAGACTCCAATTAACTTTACAAGGAAGTGTTTCCGTCCAAGTAAATTCTGGTCCTCTAACCTATGCAAAAGCTTTTCTCAATGAAACAAAAAATTATCCAATCTCAAAGGTAACCAAACTGCGTCAATTTTATCGACAATTTATCTCAGTTTGTGAGGTTTGTCTGCAATTAAATGAACGGCTGATTGCATCAGATCAACATGAGTATCAACAGTCATTGAGGAAAAATTTTGATGATATGGTTGAAGAGCTTCGAGACTGTTGTCAACTCGATGTTCACGGTAATGTTGGTGAAGACGGTGGTTTAAGCAATGGCGGAGGTGATGGTAATTCAGCTCATCCATCGGAGACTTGTTCTAATAACAACAATAATGATATCGCCAATGGTCCTAATGGTGCTAATAACAATGGATCCCGGTCAATTTTGGACAATAACAACTCGGAAACTGATTCAGGTTTATCCATTGGCCTTAAAAATTATCCATTGGAAATCTTTGATTTTATTAGTGGATCAAGCAATGCATGATGATGATAATCATATTAATACAATAACCATAATCGCAAGTAAACTAATGATGATGGTCAAGCTTAATTAGTCTTGAATAATAACCAATCATGATTGTTTCATTCACTTCAATAGGCTGCGAAATTGGTTCACAAACAAAAGCAACCTCATTACCCAAATTATGATCAATTGAATTTCAATGATCTCTCTTTCATCTTCATCTCTCAAAGAAACAAGATAACAATTAATGTGATATTGAAATGCAAAATTGTCCTTAATGCATGACAACTAAATCAATTGATTTCTCCTTGTCTAATCATCATCATCCTGCCACTGAAAATTTGGCTAATCAATCAAAAAACCATGAACAACACTAGAAACAATCGAGGATTCATTTTGGAAAAACATTCATAACAAATTCACCTTATTGAATCAATTTGAAATGTTCTTATTGATTTAATTGTAATTATTTCATCAACAAAAGCTCCATTTTAAGCAGAACAATTTGTTTATTCAGTTCTAATCTCACTAATTGTAACGAGCATTTCATTTCTTTTTCATTCCAACAATTAACTTCATTCGAAAGACTCATTCTCGCCTCCATCTCCGAATAACGAAACTATTTTAATCTAAATTAACTGTGAGCCTAATCAGCTACCAAACTCTCAAAACAAATCAAAATTGATTCGATCAATGTTAAAACAAAAAACTAAAATGTTGATATAATTTCTGTAAATAGTATCTATTTTGATTAGCTGTAAATAAAACAATTAAAACAAAGACCAAACACTTAACCGATTTATGTGAGTGCTTTCAACGCCAAATTAACCAACAATTAAAACTATTAAAATTATTAACTATCGAATAATTTCCAATGTTGACTTTTGGATAACAAAGATTATCGAGAATCAATTTATTAATATTCGTTCGATTTTTATTTTACAGATGAAAAGTCAAGTGAAAAGGACGAAGAGTCGAGTGGAAGCGAGGGAACTGTGATCGAAATCGATCCTGAGGCATAATTATGATGAACGAAAAGTTATCAGGAAGCGAATACTCGTCGTTGAAGGAACAGCGTTGAGCCCAGCATCATGGCCCAAATCCAAGCGACCGAAGTTGTTATTCCAGGTTGAATATTAACTTGGAAATTTTGACTCTCTTTCATCATAACGTTTCTCAACGCGATCGCTGCTTCGGTAAAGGGTGAAATAAACGAAATCGGTTTAATGTAATATGGAAGCGCTTCAATCGGCCAAAAAAGCCCTGAAATCGATGTGATGAATACAAAAGTACCAAGAGAGACGTAAAGAGCCGATTCAAAGTCGGGGAACATTGAGCCGAACAACATTCCCGTTGCGCATCCAGCTAACGCTTGAAGCCAGATAAGGAAGATCGCAATAAAGATTGAACCTCGACAAGGAATACCGAAGATGAAAACACTGACGAAGAGGAAGAGAGCTCCGTTAACGGAAAGGAAGATAAATCGAGAGATTATTTGAGAGAAAACAATTTGACCCGCTGAAAGGCCGGTGGCATAATTACGGACAAACATTTTATCCTTCGATTCAGAAATGAGTGCCAGCGATGAGATTGCAAATGCACATGCGAATATAGTAGATACAATGAGTCCCGGTGTTAGATATTCAGATACATTCAACTTGAACATATTTTCGATTCCACCCTCAACCGGATCTCCAATGGCCACAGGCAATTGCCTCTGAATATACGAACTGTTAAAAGCGGGAGCCGTTGAATTGAAAATCTTGAGTAGCGCAAGTTCAATGGAAGCAGTTACAGTGGTCAACATGAACTGATCGGAGAGATCGGCAAAGACCCAAATGGTTCCTCGTGAAATGGTGTCAGTTTCAACGGACTTCTGAGAGAACATATCAACTCGATCGTGAAATGAGGCTGAGAAAAACTGTCGCATGTGTACAACACATTTTAACTTTAAACTTCTCACATCGGTTATTGCGTCTTCGAGAGAAGAGTATTTAATTATCTTCAGAACTTTATGATCAATAGCATCATAAAGTTCTTGAGGATAGTAAGGAATTCGATGAGTTTGCCAACCAATCGAGTAATTAGACTCTCGAACATGAAGCCCTGAATAATCGGATGGATCATCAGTGACCCAGCCAATAGGAACATCGAATGGAGAATGACCTACACAAATGTACATTATGGCGAGTGAACAGATTGGAAAGACGAAGAGTAATAAAATGTAAATCGGAGATCGCAAACTTTGCATCAAGTATCGCCAAGTGAGAGTATAAATTGATGAGAAAAATGAATGAATTGGATGAGATACACGGTGACTTTTGTAAGGGGAATTGAAATCTCGCTGTTTATCATCTGGTGCGATTGTTGGACCTTTGCTGGACAATCGACGACGGATTATTGTATTTCGACGTTTCTGTGAGAAGCAAATTTTGTAAAACATTTGCTCAAGTGAAGCAGTTTGATAGCGATCCATTAGTGCCTGTGGACTGTCCTCTTCCAATATTTCCCCAGCCCTCATGAAGCCCACAATTCCCGCCTTCCGACATTCCTCGATGTAATGAGTGGTAATAATTATGGTCATGTTTTCCTCCGATGAAAATTTGTACATCAATTGCCAAATTCGATGACACAATAGTGGATCAACTCCACACGTCGGCTCATCCAGAATGGCTAATCTTGGCCGATGGATAATTGAACAGGCCAATGAGACTCGACGTGATTGACCACCCGAAAGGCTGGACACTAATTTATTAGGATAGGGGATATCAAGCATTTCTATCAGCCTTTCAATTCGTTTGTTTAGAACTGGTGTCGGGATGAAAAAGAGTCGACCAAAGTACCAAAGAGTTTCATAAACTGTTAGATCAGTTTGAAGAGCAGTATCTTGTGGCATATACCCCAGGGCAGAACCCGGCATACCTGATTCCCTCGAACCAGGAGTTTGTCCAAAAACCTTGACCAGTCCTGATTCTGGTTTCATGAGACCCGAAATAATACCCAATAAAGTTGTTTTACCACACCCACTCGGACCCAAAAGGCCATAAATAGTACCGACAGGAACTGAAATCGACAAGTTGTTAAGTACACAAGTTGTATTCGTACCTGATCCATAAGTGTAACAAACATTTCGAGCTCGAACAGCCAAGTTGGCGTCTTCAGCGAGCCAAGATCGTATTGGATCAGGATAATAAAGATTATCTTCATTAAAATCACCAATGTCAAAATCAATTGAAAGTGAATCATTTAAACTAATCTGATTGTAGATATTTGGTTTGACATTAATCTCATTGTTGTTATTTACTTCAATTTTATCACTATTATTGTTTGGATCAATGTAGTTACTATTTTCATCACAATCATTTAGAGTTGTGTCGATCGGCATGTTCACAAAATTAACTTTTGTTGATCAATTAAACAGATTAATCAATTAATCATGATTAAGATGAAAACGATTCAAATCAATGTGACCAACAGAATGAAGTTTCAACTTAGTCGTGAACAATCAAGTTTCTCACTAATTGTTGAGCGAAATAATTAACATGAGAGACAAAGCAACTGACGAATGACGATTGTGATGATGATAAGTAATACTTATCTTCCCCTTTCGTTAGCCAGAAACTCAGGTAAATAAAAGAGAAAGGAAAAGAGAAAGAAAAAGGAAAAAGAAAAATCTGAATATTTCCCCGTAGGAACAGCCAGGAGACTGAAAATTCAGCTCTCATCATTATTACAATTAAGATGATCAATTCGTTAATCATATTGATCCTCATCATTATTATAAACATTAAACGAGAGTCGTTTCCGTGATCACAATTGGGCAATCAACTAACATCATTATCAAATTAATATCGAATTAAGATAAAACTCGAAAAGTTTCACGAGAATTATTTAACTAAATGGTAATGATCGTTGTAATTACAATTAAAATCGTCACTAGACTTGCAATGTAAATTTCCCTTTGGTTAATCATACATTCATTTAGAAACTAATAAACAAGAGGAAAGTTTCATTTTGTTAATTTGATTTGATAGTTGATTATGTGAGTTAATTGTTTAGATCTTCACCTTAGAAACATTTTGATGAGTTAACGATTAACAAACAATTGATGATTAGTGATTATCATTATTTTTCAAATCCTTAGCTAATTGTTTTCTTGATTTAATCAAAACGAGATGATTTTGATATTTACTATTTTGATTATTGTTGATTAGTAATTATTTTTGATTAGCTCGCTAATTTTTAGTTTCCTGATCGTGACAATCAATGACTACGGTTCAATATTTACTTACCATTTCAACTGTTTAACAATTTAATTGTTGACTATATGATCTTGATGATGATGATTAGCTGTGCATTAAGTTTTAATTACCAATCAATTGCGAAAACCATTTATTAACCAGCAATTAGAATATCAGTTTAGGTTAATTTAATTGATTTCAATTGTTATTTCTGTTGAAAGTTCAAACTAATTATCAACATTTTATTGATAAAATCCTTTGATTAGATTCTGACCATGAAATTAATTAACATTTACTAAGAATCAATTTAATGATTGATTTCTCGTAATGTTGTGAAATAATCACATTTTAAATGCTATGAATTAAATTACCAACATCTTAATTTTCCCATTAAATTAATTCTTAACAATCAACTGAATGGACATTTATTTGAGTCACAATCTAGTCAATATTCAGATTAACTTAAGATTGATTAATGTTGATTTAACATTTTGTTGCCTTGAAAGGTACATTGAAAAAATTGATTAAGCCTTAGGGATAAGTGAAATTAATTAATACTAATTATTACTTAATTGATTAAACTTAATCAATTTTGACGTGAAATTTTTTAAAAGTTATAGATTATTGCAGAAAAATATTAAAGTCATTGAAGGTTATCAAAAATAATGGACCAACAATCAATCGATTAATACAATTTATTGGAATCATTCAAATTACGACTATTTTCTGAGGATAATTAATGGAAAATAATTTGCTTTGAATGTACAACAATCAAATGTTGATTGTTTAGATTAAATTGCTTTAGAATCCACAACTTGACTATTAAACAGGAAAATAATTAAGAGTTAAAGGATTCATTTGATTAAAGAATCGCAATGTCTACGGTTCTCTATTCGGAGCCATCGATTGGACTTTCAGTTAATTTTCGTTCCGTTTTGACATCAATCAATTCATTTGGTTCTTTAGTTTCATTTAGTGTTTTCGTTTATTTTCTATTCAACCCACCGAGTGGAAACTTTTACACCAAAGGTTTTGTGGGTGGGCAAGTCACTTCCGTCGTACTGTTTGCTTTTGTCTACACTTCCATCGGCTCTTTCGCTTCGTTTACATTACAATTTGATTTACTTGCGTACTATTTGACCATCACGATAATTTCATTGGTCACTCGGATTACGATTATAGTTATTGAGGCGATTAAAAAACAATCCCCTGAACCATTGACTTTAGTGTTATTGCCTTCGGAAATTTGTTTGATCTTATTGACTCTTCCCGTTATCGCTGCTGCTGAGAGATCGACCAGAGATCGAAGTGGTTCGAACTCGCCCGGAGGGAGAAATATAAATTAGTGTTACTTTAACAGAGTTACCCAGTTATTGGATTGTTCAGAAACTCTGATTCCATAACCTTAAAGACATTTACTAAGGCGAAATATCTGACAAAGTTTCAATCAATATCTTCGATTGATGTTCGCGTCACACTGACCGAATTTCTATCGATCATCTTAAGTTTGGTCATTCTTCAAACGCTTTAGTTTGGACACTTTTATTCAATGTTTTTTACATGAATTTAATAAAATGGAAGAACTTTTTCTGATTATTAAAATTTAGGTGTTATGAAACTGAGAAGTTTCATCCTTTCCATTCTTCGTTTGTTTTTTGATGCAAAAAAAGATGAAAATGATACTTGATTAGTAAAATTAAAATTAATTTTCATTATTATTGTGCTGAGATGAGGCCATTGATTATTATGAGCTATTTACTGAATTTTGTGTTGATTTTAACCTTTCCTTTCGCTTGCATCACTTAATACGATAATTAATTGTTTTGCAGCTCTTGCGATATCATAAGCACAATCGATTACCTTTTCAACCTCACCAGCGTCTTCTAGATGTGAGTTACGAGCATGACATTCAGACATCAAACGAACAGCATTATTACTGAGAGCATCGATTATTTGATAGAAATGCTCTTCTGCCGACTGTAGAGGTACATTAGTGGAAGGTCGCTGTAAAGGAAGTAAAGAAAAAAGTAAAAACAATACATTAGACAAGGAAACTTTCAAGTGAAGTTTAATTGAATTTCGAGGACAAACAAAAATCACAAAGTTTTGTTTGTATCCATTAGTATTTTATTAGATGCAAAACTTTGTCATTACCTCAGGAAATAAAGTAAGCAAACCAAAAACTGCTTCTTGAATATTCTCAGCACATTTCAAGAATCTGCAACGAAAAATATAAAATGGATCAAAATTTGGAATTGAGAAGCATTCAAATTAAGGTTACTTGAAGTGCAGGTTGGGTTCGGATTGGATACTAACATTTCTTTTCTACCTTCTTGTGATACTTTAAGTAGTTCTTGAATACCTTTCGTTATTTGTTCTGTTCGACGGAAAACATCTTCTGTAGATGCCGATCCAAATAGACTTTTAGAATTGTGTTTAGGTGAAAGATCTGAAAACTCAGATTCGCCTTGACTAGGAAACGACTCTTGATCTAAGTTTGGATTACAATCGGCCGGTTGGACACTCGGTTTTGAGACTGGTCGCGGGACAACTGGTTCTGTATCTTCAAATGTCTGAGTAATTCGATGTGGAGATAAAGATACTGATGGAGTTGATGGAGGAGGTGGAGGTGTTGATCGCAATTTGGGTTTTTCAGCGATTGCAGGTTTATCGCAAGTTGATGAGGGTCGGTTAATTAGAACCTTGTTAGGAGAACGAGGTGCTAATACAGGTGAATGGTGATGATGAGATGGCGATTGTTGGACAACAGGGTGAGGGTGGTGGTGATGTGAATGACTGGACAAGAGTGATGAATCTGGAGAGTTGGTCAACGATATTTCAGATGAATTTTGCTTTTGAGATTCCAACAGTGAACGAAGTTGAGTATTTTCATCAACTAAACTACTAACAATAGTTTTTAATGTTGATAATTCATTGGTCATAAATCTATTGCTTGCCATCAACTCTTTCAGAATTGAATCTGATTTGGATAATTGATCTCGAAGAACTTTATATTGTTCTGATTGCTCTGAGTTTCCGGTGAAACTATTTTTAGATGCTTCTGATTTATTAGCTTTTGATGCAAGAACATCTTCAACTTCATCGTAATCTCTTTCATCATCGGAAGCAACTGAATCGTATAAAGGATCAGTATCATCATCACTAGTATTTTGTAAACACCATTCGATACGTGAATTGGTAATTCGAAGTTTTTGAGCTGAAAATGCATCTGACCCTTTCGGTGAATGAAGTTGCCTCCTTTTAGATTCTAGAAGAACATCAATCAAAAGTGAGGTGAAATTTTTTGCACTAAATCGAGCGAGTTTCTGTCTTCCTTGGTTTCGAGTTGAAGAAAACATTGGGTTGACTGGTAGAAATGGAACTAAATTATGTTCAGGATTAGCAGTTGATTGGTTAAGAAGTTGTAACCATATTTCATCTAATTCACGACGATCAACTTCATCATAAACATCTTTGGCAAGTTCCTCGAATTGTTTGTTTGTTAAATTTTGCAGTTTATTTTTAGCCAAACGTGAATCTTCAGGAGGCTCAATACTGTCAGATAATTGAGGGATTAGGTAGTGTTGACCTTGTCTATGATCGGGTTTGCGGCCACAGAGAAAGTGAGATAACCGATCGGTCAATTCAAATTGAAATTCGATCAGTCTCTCAACGATCTCATTGTTAGAAGCGCCTTTTGCATAGTCTAAGGCTGTTTTGCCATTTAAATCTGTGATCAGTGGATCAGCACCATAGGCAAAGAGAAGATCCATTTGAGCCAATTGACCAGATTTAGCAGCGACATGTAAAGGAGTATTTTGTTTAGTTGGATGCAGATAATTAGGATCAGCACCAGCGATCAGTAAACGTAAACTTGTTTTCAGACTTGAGCTTCGAACACTCGAATGAAGCTCCTCACTAACATCACTTTCACCTTCGATTCCATCCTTGGGTCCTGGTTTTTTGACAAACGCGAGTTTCTGATATTTGGCTTTGATAAAATCATTTTTAACGGGATAAAGTCCATCCTTTGGATTGGGTTTCTTGCGAAATGAAGATCTCATTGAGTGAGTTAGTGATGAGGTTAACGAGTTACTTCCCGAATTGAGTAAAGTATATTCCCAGATAGAGTTGCTTCCACTAGTATAAAGATCAATGACCATTTGAAGTTCACTAGGGACCATTGACTTTTCGTGATTGATTTAATCTGTGAGACTTCACGTCCCATATTACGATGGACTAAACAACAATCATCACAAACGATGACTCCACGATTAACTGATGCCCATCGAGCGTCTGAAGAAAGGAAGAAAAATACTCAATTAATAAGAGAACCAATTAATATAAATCTATTAAAATATTCACCTGAATTGGAACAATCAGCACAGTCGAAAATCGCCATAATTTTAGATCTTGATAGACTCATGTTGACAAATTGGGATTGGCGAAAAATTCAATTGATAATCTAAAGGGAAGAAAACCTTCAATAGAGATCAACACCCAAAAGAATTAACTGAAGACTAGTTTTGTTTCTTGCCTTATATTCAAATTACAGTTCAATTGAAATGTTCACAAATATGAAACAGAAATAGAAATGAAATGAACCATCAACTGCAGGACTTTCACAAATTGGTGTAAACGCCTAAATAGTCATAAATGGATGAAATCTTTTGTTTATCAATCCAATTCAGTTGGAGGCAAAATTGAATAAAAAAACTACTCAAACTGAATCATTTCACAAATGCGATGAAAATAAAACTGACACAATTTTGGACTAGTAGCTGATTGTTTCACATTTTTGTTCACTAATTCACTGAATGGTTTAAATAATAGTTGACATCTCACATGATGTTGTTGTAGCATGAAAAGATACTAAAATAACAGAGATAAAATAGATAATCAAAAATTGAGCAGAATAATTGAAAATATTTTTTCTTTATCGTAAACAATGTTTACTATAAACAGCTAAAGGTTGAGCTGTGAGTCTCGAGAGAATGAGTGACTTGACTATTCGCCAGAAGATGGCAGCAGGTTTGATAAGTTTTCGAACTTGGAGTTTCGATAAATTGTTTTGTTCACTCTGATAATCAGTCGACCTTTATCATTCACAAATGTTCAAAAAAGTAACATGATCCATAATTGAGTAAATTGTTGGATTTTTGTTGAGCAGATTTGATAAAAATAAGCTGACTAATGATTTCGACGAGTTTGAGTTTCAATTGATTTATTATCGATTCTCTTTGGTCTTATTGAACAGAATAATATCATGGAAAAGTAAGATGAGAAAATTACATGAGAGAATTTAAAACGAAAAAGTTTCAGAATCAGAATTTGTTAGAAAATTGACATAATTTCAAATCTTCAAATCGTCTCAATTTTCGTCTCGTTTGAGAAACATTGTAACATCGACAACAATTTAATTCGAGTCGATAATAAATACAATTAAAACAAAGTGTTTATCCTTACCTCAAGATTAGAAATAAAAAATGATCAGATATCAAATAAGGTGATTAGAAATTAATGATTGGTTGATAACATTGATTATCTTCATCTTTGTCTAATAGCTTGTTATTAATTAAGTTAAACATCTTTTAATTGGTGATATTGTTTAAAGTCAAAATAATAAACGATTAAACTACTCAGAGAGTCTTAATTATTACCTTGATCATTTTTCAATAATTCAGATTATTAAATTGAAGAAAAAATCACGTACTCAAATCACAATGGTTAATTACTCACCTTGGAAAGGTAAATTAAATCAAAACCTTGATAGTAGATTAGTTAATCATCAAGAGACCAACTTACATGTATGATTATGATTTAAATTGTTGTCGCTACTTTCACACTTAACTGATTGTGAGCCATGCTCAGTGTGATAACATGAGAAAGATAATATCAAGTTTAGATTCAGTTGATTTCTATGAACAGAATCAATGGCAACACTTTCCTCATCATGAAATTCAAAGTTTTATTGAAATAACAAAACTTTCTCGTCATTAAATCATAATTAGAATCATCTGATTGTTATTATGTCGTATTAGTATTATTTTCTCAATAATTCCGATAGATTAAAGTGTTTTTCCAAGTTTTGTTTTCACTTTCAAATTTTGTTCCAATTATCAAAATTATGGATTAATATTAATCACCAAAGTTAATTTGTGTTCTACAATCAACTGATTGTCAACTTACCTCTTAATTACTAATCTAGATCAATCTTTTCACTATCACTTGTATTTCATTACAAATCGTATCTGAATCAAATGTGATAATCCAACTGATTGTTGTCAATTTATTTCGTGTTATTGTTTATCTGCATTAGTGTTGGGACAGCAAATTGAAGTTAATTTAAGAGTTTAATCATTACCTATGGATCTTAATTATCCAGATTTGGAAAATTCAACTTCATCATTTATCTCATACGATTATGATTTAGATACATCACTGAACACATATGATTACTATGATCTGGTACCAACAGCGTTGATTTATGGGATCACATTGATCACTGGTCTTATTGGTAAGTTGATTGAAGCCAATTAATTATAAGATCAGGGAACTTACAGTTTAGTTGATGATAATCAACGATTTAACCAATTAAGTCCAGAAATCAAAGTAATCCAAATTGATTTGCTTGCCAGATTAATAGTAGTGCTAATTATAATTGATTAGCTGTATTAAGCATTTCTCTCAAAGAAAATTAATTGTGATTCTTTCATAGAGTTACAATTAAAACTGTTCTGGATGAAGATAAATCAACTCGTTTCTATTTGTTGATTTTTGAACTTTTCTCGAAATGTTTTCGACGATTTCTTTAGCCAACCTTTTGTCTTTGGAGAGTATTGGCAAACAATCTTAAATTATCTTTAGATTCACAATCAACAATCAATCAGTTGATTACAATCAATCTAATTGATAATGTCCGATTATCAATATAATCGGTGTTACCAACGTCGTTTAGATTGAGAGATTAACTTGTTTGGTTTAACTGATCAAGAAAATTGTTACAATATTTATGATAAACTTTCAGGCAATTCCCAAGCAAAGGAAGAGAAAAGTTCTAATGATCATAGCGGTGGAAAGTAATTAATTACTGATGAGATCAATCATTTAAAAAGCTAATTGTTACTTAAAACTCCACAATTAAGCGAGACTGTAGAAACAATGTAAAAGTCAGTGAGAAATTGAGAAAAAGTTTTTGTTTGAGTTTGAGAAGCAGAAAAGAAAAACTTTTCATTGGAAATGAATTTTTCACTGATTTTCCTTCAAGGTTATCAGGTGTTGTTTATTAGCATGATTAACATGATGCTTTTGGTGATTTTCAAATGGAAACCTCATCATCATCAACAACAACATCATCAAAATGGTTTGACTCTGGATAATTTTCCCCCAGGCAATTTAAATTAGTTTTAGTCAATCAAGGACCTGATTAAGTTTAGTATCATTATTAAATGAAAAAATTATATTATCACTGAAAAATTTTACTCTCCTTTTTCGTCTTACATGTGAATTTAATTGGTCAATTTACAAATTGCTACAATCGACAGTTGATCAATTCAACCGAATTGCTAAGATTGCGAGAAAAGTTTCCACTGTCTTCATACATAAATCCCTTGCTTTGAGCTTTAGGTTTAGATTCAAAGTATTAAGAAAAAGTTCGATATCACCGGTAAGATGATAACGAAAATAATTCGAGAACAATGCTCTCAGGGAGAGCTTGGTTGAAAATATTTCGATTGTAAAAGACCTGATCTAAATTTCGATTGGTTTTCTTCAGGTAAGTTTTCGAGACCACAGCTAAATACTAGTAGATTATTTAATCGAAATGTCAAATAGATTGAGTAATGAGACACCTACAAAAGATGAGATCGAATTGTTAAATCGAAGCACAACTTAGATATCAACGATTTTTATGCCGAAGGTCAAAAGAGAAAGGTCAGATTTTCGCTATTGTATTGCAACCCTGTAATAACCCTGATCTTCGAGCTCAAATTGAATTAATGTAATTGGTAATTAGTGTAATTAATTAATCACAATTAAAAATCAATAAAAGTCATTTTGGTTTCTTCAAATGAAATCTTGGTTTCTTCATTTGATGGTTTGGTTTCTTCAAACGGGAAACACTGTATGTTGTTTAAATCTAAAGATTCGCCTTGAGTTTGTCAGCAATTAAAATTAAGTGAAACAGTGATAATTCCGTTACTTTTTAATCTTTGGCCAATTGTGATCATCAAACAGATTAAATTAATCTAATCTTTAATCCACGTTTTTGGGTCTTTTTTAATTCATGTGCCTCTTTAATTGTTGCGTTAAAATTTACAGTGAAAAGTTGGCAAAGATGATCCTCATCTCTCATTCGTCAGCATTATCTCATCATCATCATTATCATTTAGATAATTATCAAGAAAATGTCACTTGATTCCCGTTAATCCATAAAGTTTACAGTTCTCAAGCCAAAGAAACCATTTTAATTCAACTACTTCTTTGTAAATAGTCAACTAATTTTCACATATTATCACTCGAAATTGTCAGTAAACTATCAAGATAAAGTTGATTAACTTTATCACATTGGTAACATACAATTAAAGTTGTTCAAGATGATTCAAATTCATTTTATCGTTTTGAAAATAACGGTTCCCAGTCAGTTTCTTTGTTTGCTTATCGTATCTCATATTTACCGACATTTGCATGATAATATTGATAAATAATGACGCTGATCTGATGCTAGTCTCAATTATGTCTTAATTTGAATTTGAATAAGATTCCATCATTATTCAGAATATCATTAATAACTTGAGACAGAATTGATTATCATGAGTCAACGGAATCACTTTGACAATTCAATCGATAATTAAAATTCATCCCAATTGTTTAGGGCATTAGAATAGTAAAAAGAGAAATTAATTATAATTATAATCGTTGAAATTAACCAACAAACTACCTGAATCTGTGTCATGATAAACAAACTGAATTAACTAAAATTAACCAAGGAACCTGTTCCAATAGAAAGTGTTTAGACCTCTGGGCGATAATCAAAATTTTTTCTTCCATTAATCATTAAATTCGTTAATTAATGATCAACCATGATTGAAAATAACAAAACCCAATCAGGCTTATAACTTTTCAAAGAATCAAAAACATATTAATGAGTGTCAATCTTAATCCGATTGATTTAATTTGAAAAACTATTTTTGGATTGGAAAATTTATCCTTAATTATGGTTTCAAATTATAACTCGTATGCATTTATGTATGAAATTTACGTTTAATTATCTGAATAGTTAAGAACTCAGAATCAAATATTCATCAATTTAATCATATTATAATTTTGTCAGCGATCAAATTGTGACAATTTGACTTGATTATTATTCACGTAGATGATTATGATGATCATCGAATAGCATTTAACTGGTTGAACAGGAAAGTTGATCCTATCTGTTGATTGTTAATATATGCAAGAAGGAAGAAACAATTTATTCAGAGAAATCAAATCAACTGATTCGAACATTGTAATAACAAACAATTAAACTAATGAGGTAGAAAACTCTTGATGACAGAACTAATGTTTAGAAGTTTTCTTTTTCTTTCAGATAATCTCGAATAGTTTCATTTGATTGTTACGAAAAACACAGACAAAGACTTAAATTAAGATGATTATAATTGTTGATTGTTGATTGTTGATTGTTAGCAAGACTCATTATTGAAATATTCCATTGGTTATCATCGTAATCATCATTATCATTACCATCATCTTGTTGTTGTTTCTAATTTGTTTTCCTTCATTGAGTTACTACATGTACATCTATTTTATCATTAACCTTGAGAGCACTGACAAAGTACATGTTTGATTGTTAACTAATCATCATTGACAAAACAAATTGTTGTCAATTGTTTTCAGAAAAAAACTCTTGCTGACAATATAACATAAATACAATTAAGATGATTGTAATTCTACATGATTAAACTATAACTGATTTAGTAGTCAATTACCTTTTAAATCACGAATTAACAATGAAATTTTCGATTCAAATTTGTTTTCAATTTCTACTCATCTCAATTACTATTATCCTATTCTAACTTTTCTGAGTTTCTCTGATTAATCTATTGAAATGCTAATCAGAAAGAAGTTGAAAGAGTTTAGAATAAAATTGAACCACAAAATCAATTCTTCACTTATCATGATTAATATTGATTACACATGTAAGTTGATCTAAAAGATTTAAAGTTAATCCAATAGGTTTTACTTATTTATAATCACATATTCATCATGTTCAATGAATTAAGAAACAAGAACAAGTCTATGAAGAAATGAAGACAAGATTTCTACCATGAGTGATAATCATGAGAAGATTCAGAAGAAACTTGGTTACTAAGAGGGAAAAAAACACGAGAAGACATTTTGATAAAATGATTTCTCTCATCACTTGGAAACAGAATTACTCAGTTCAGCTTAATAATCTTCGCTTACACCCACTTATGTTCTGAAACTCATCTTGATCAGAAAGAATAAAGAATAGATTAATAGTTTCCTATGCGAAGATATTTATACAAATCGCTGATTGATTATTCGATAATAAAGAATCGAATCAAGGTAATCATCCTGATCCAGTTATTATAAGAGAAATTTCAACATTGATAACAGAACATTTTGATTATCCTAATTAACATGATTCTATTATGAAATCGAATAAGAATTTCAACTTTGTCAATGTTGTGATAATTTCGACATTTTCATTCATGATTACATTCTGTTAATTTACATAAACTTACAGAAGACTTTTAATGTTTATCTCTGTATCTATAACTATTTTCTCTTGTGATTTTCTTGGTTTTCTCAATTTAGAATTCATAACATAAGTTACCAGGTAAACATTCAGAATGAATCAACAAAAAGAATCCAGAACTTTAATCAGAAATGAAAAGAGATGAAAACTTCGAGTAAAAAAAATGATAGAAAAATGTTACAAGAGATTAACAATAACTAATAACATGGTGTCTCTTAATCTGCTAAATGGACGGAAAATCTCAAGTTTATCCTTACCTGTTCTCGATTCTTCCTTTGCATCATCATGAGGATCATTATTTCATGATGATTTCCATTCAACTGAATTTTTCTCATCCAGAGCTCACAACTTTAGAAGCCTTTTTTTTACTAAAATTCAACTTGTAAATCGTTGATTTCGTAGCTCATGAAGTAATAACATCTAATTTGATAACTTCATTTATTATCTGAAGATTAATGTTGAAATCGTTTCAAATATTAACCTACTATTATCACGAACTAATTAAACTTTTAGAATTTGCTTTAAAACTTTCTAAAAGAGTGATAACCATAGAGATTAAATTTTTAATCTCATTTTCTTTTTCATTTGTCTCTCTAATTCCAGGTAATGGATTAATCATCTACACTGTGAGTCACTTTAGGCGGATGAGAACCTTATCCAATGTATTTCTTGCTTCTCTTGCATCAGCTGATCTACTTCTCATCATTGTCTGTGTACCTGTCAAAGTAAGTGCTTCAAGTCATCATTACAAACAAATGACAAGTTTGATTATTCAGGTTTCCACTATAATCTAAACGTAATTGATACTTAGAGATCTTGATAATAATCTAACATATGATTAGTATTCTGGTTGCATCAACAGGAAGTTGAGAAAAAAGCAACTTCTCCTTAGTTAAGTGTTCGTCATTTTAGAAAAAAACTTCTATGACAAATAAACTATCAACGTAGAAATGTTCTAGAACCATGAACATTTCGAAATTGCTTATTTTTAATACGTTAACAGTATCATTGTTTTTCCTCGAATAAATTGAGGAAACAGAGAAATTCAATTGAACTTTTTTTCACAGGAACAAATCAAAGTCTCTTATCATCTTAAATCAGATGATTTTGGTATCGATTTTGAATGATTGATAAAATTGTCAGAACTCGTTGAACAGTTCTAATTCGATCTGTCAAACAATCTGTGATGAGAAATCTTAACGGTTTTAAATCTATGAAAATGCAGATTTGATGTCAGAAACTGTTTAATCATAATCGAAATCGAAGAACCAAAACCTCTGTAACGTAAAAATTACATGAAAATTAAAAGGGGTTGAATTTATATCTATTAGCACAATTGGTTGATTAATTAACCTTTAGCCTTCACTGGCTATTTAATATTTAGAACCAAATTGTCGTCTTCACTGACGAACAATTTACACACACGATTAGGGTTAGAGGTGATGATTTAATCATCGGTCTTCACTGACCAATAGTTAATATGTAAACCAGAACAATTTATTAATTAAACAATTAATTTATTTTAACTATAAATACAAGTAACTAAATTGAAAAGAATAATATTGTAACTGACTTTGGTTGCCCTTCACTGGACTACCAAAGTCGTTGGTTGATCTTTAATGATCAATTTCTAATTAACTAATGAATTGAATTCAGTATTTATGAAATACTATTGCTTTTTTATCTTCAGGTAAATCTCAGTTAAGTGTTTTGTTTTTCATTTCTTCTTTTATCATAATCTTCATCTTTGAGTCAATGGTTGAGAGTTAATAATCATGAATTGAATAATATTGCAACATTTCCGTCGTCTTAAATTTGAGCAGTCCCTGCCAAAGCAAAGGGTGAAGTCCATGTTTCGAGAAGTTTATGGGGGGTTATCGTTAGGTAATTTCATCGGCACTCCTTTGTACCAGCCAGTTGAAAACATTATCGTTAGGTTCATGACTATTTAAGTTGATGATTCTATCTTTTGTAAAGTGATAGGGTAGATAATATTCAAGTGATGAATAACAATTTAAGTGGGATAAAGTATAATAATAAGAAGGTAAACATTTAATTGAGTCTGATTCCATGTAAAGATTAGAACAATTAACGTTAGTCTTGTCAATCAATTTTGGTATCTCTTCAGCAATTGTTATATCAAGAGGATCAACTAATTCTGAACTAGGACAATTGTTTTCTTCTTGTTCATTCTCGTCATTGGAGTTGCATTGATTCGATTCTATTTGATCAAGTTTTTGAATAATTTCAGTTTCTCTTATCTCTTCTGAATGTTTATCACTTGGTAAACTCGTGAGATTAATGAAATTTGAATTATTAATATGAACTGTTTTAGATGCGCAATCAATTATAAGATTGGCTTTAGTCATTATATCTTGACCGATTAAAGCGCCGAATTGATATGGCAAATATTCAGTTACTTGGACGATTGTTGATATTGCAATTGCTGATTTGTCATCACAAATTTTTATTCTTACTTTAACCTGTCCAAGTATTTTAACTGGACTGTTGTTAACAGCTAAGGGAGAAGGTGCAAGATAGGGTTGAAGGTTTAATTTTAGTCGATCAGCTAGACTTTTACAGATTAGTGTTAAACCAGAACCTGTGTCGAACATTGCTTCAACTTTATCGTTGTTTATTTTGATTTCTTTATGTATAAATTTTGTACTTGGAATTGGAAAAATGGAAGAAACTGAATCGTTGACTTTCTCATTGCTTTGGTTCATTTTAAACTGTAATTGATGTGATTTCAAATTATTTTCATTTTCATTTTGTTTTACTATTGAGTTGACGGTTTTATCTACTAATTTAGCAGCATTAATAAGTTCTGTTAATGTTTGAGGACTTTGTAAAGTTATTATGAATTTAGCTTGAGGTAAAAGTCTTTCAATGATAAAGATTATCATGAGCTTTTCTGGCATCTTTTTATTCATTCTCATACATAATTCTTGAATTTGATAAACAAAGTTGGTCGTTAGCTGATTAGGCTCTTGTTTACTATAATGAAATTGATGGGAAAGATGAGCTTGATAATCGGCTGGACAAAGGTCTAAAATCATTCTTTTTCTTAATTCATCATAAGTTTTAGGTATTTCTCGGAAAGAATGAGGACTACAGGTAACGTTGTACCATTTGCGAGCTGAACCTTGCAAATAAAAGGGAATTATCTTGAACATCTCAGCAGCACCAAGACTTAAAGCACTAGAAACTAATTCAAAGTTAATTAACCAATCAATTAAATCTTCATTGTCACCTTTGTATGGCTCAATGGTAATATGATTGTTTATGTTATTGTTAGAATTAATAGTGTTAATTGATGGGTTATATTCAATTTGATTGAATCTAAAGTGATCAGGGTAATTCATAATTGATAAAGTAATGTGTTAGATGGAATTATATGGTAATTTGTTATACATGTAATTGAATGTATTGAAGAGTATAACGTCTTCACTGACAGTTAAGGATTTTTTTACTTAATACTCTAAGGAGAGAAGAAACAATCAAGAAGCAAGGGTCTTCACTGACCTCAAGTTTAATGATTTCACTGAAAAATCAATTTGTGAGAATGAACAAGATAAGAACACAATCGTACTTAAAGATTGGTCTTCACTGACCTTAATGATAGTAAAAAAGAAGAGGAAAGATACCAAAAAAGACTTACTTTCGTATAATTTAAAGATAAATGGAAAATCTGTAAATTGGATTAACAATTATTTGATTTAAATACAAATTGGTTTGATTAATTATTAATGCTAATTGATTATTTTTAATTTCTGATCATTGATTAGATAATCCTTTAATTTTTATTGTTTTAATCGTTGATTTGTTAATTGTTGATTTGTTAATTTTTGATTTTTTATTGTTGATTTTTTTAATTGTTGATTTGTTAATTGTATGATTAGTAAGTTGTTGATTTGTTGATTATTAATTTGTTGATTTTAATTTATTGATTGATAATTTGTTGAGTTTTATTTCTTCATTAGAGTGAGGTTGAGACCACGATTTTAACTTGCAATTGAAGGTCATTTATAGTTCGATTTAGGTTGAGGAATAAATTTGCATGGAGATTAGTTCACAAAATTCACCCTCACACGGCCACCAAATGTAACGTAAAAATTACATGAAAATTAAAAGGGGTTGAATTTATATCTATTAGCACAATTGGTTGATTAATTAACCTTTAGCCTTCACTGGCTATTTAATATTTAGAACCAAATTGTCGTCTTCACTGACGAACAATTTACACACACGATTAGGGTTAGAGGTGATGATTTAATCATCGGTCTTCACTGACCAATAGTTAATATGTAAACCAGAACAATTTATTAATTAAACAATTAATTTATTTTAACTATAAATACAAGTAACTAAATTGAAAAGAATAATATTGTAACTGACTTTGGTTGCCCTTCACTGGACTACCAAAGTCGTTGGTTGATCTTTAATGATCAATTTCTAATTAACTAATGAATTGAATTCAGTATTTATGAAATACTATTGCTTTTTTATCTTCAGGTAAATCTCAGTTAAGTGTTTTGTTTTTCATTTCTTCTTTTATCATAATCTTCATCTTTGAGTCAATGGTTGAGAGTTAATAATCATGAATTGAATAATATTGCAACAACCTCGATTGATATATCAAAGTTTTCGTTCGTTTCCATTGTCAATTAGAGTCCAATCGATAATACAATCAATCATTTAAGCGTTTTTATTGTTTAAATTGATAAACATGTACAATCGGTTTCATAATCAATCATATTTGCTAATTAAAAATACTTTTTTTTATTGATTATGATATCGATTTGCACATTGATAGAGCTGACCAATTGGTGGTTTTAACAATTAACAGTTATTAATACTTAATTGAGGCGATTAGTGATTATGTTGATAATCAATCATTTAATCCTGTCATTTGTGATTTAAAAGTTAATCAAACAGAATTCAAAAAATTTAAATCACTAGACTCTCGATGTTATATCAATATTGAAGATTAAATGAACTGAATCATAATCATTTTCACTCAATTTAATTAATTCTCAGGGAAACTTGTTGAAATTGTTATTCTCTACTAATTACTCCATGTTCATTCTGATATTCATGGTTGGAAACATTAGAACTTTTTGCAGATTTTCTAAAGAACTTGAAAACATGGAACTCTTCTCGCGATTCAAGTCTCTTTCATCTGTATTGCAAAATCAAAATTCAATAAGAATTTGTTGTCATTTAATTTGATTCTTTGACGATTTCAATGTGCTGTCATTTGAATTATCCAGTAGAAAGAATTTAACTCAATTGATTTACATTCTAATCACTGACTGTTAACAAACTAATCTATTGTTTCTTGTTTCATTACATTGTGTGCACTGGAATCATGATTAAATCATGAATATCATCATCATATCGACCACTTACCCAAATAAATAATGGATTAATGGTCATCGATTGTCAACAGTTTGGTCAATTATTTTCATTTTCATGGGAATTCGGACCGATTCCTTGTAAATTTGTTCATTACATGCAAAATGTTTCAGCCATTTGCTCTGTTTACACACTGACAGCAATGAGTATTGAAAGGTAAACAAATTTTTTCGTCATGATTATTAATAGATCAGCATTGAAATATTGCATGATATCTTCATCGTAACCTTAATGCATATATAATAATAGACAAATCTTCATCGTTGATTACGTTTTTTTCATTGAATTAGATACTACGCGATTTTACATCCCGTTCGAAGTCGTTACATGTGTACAATGTCACACACTCGGATGATCATCATTCTTACCTGGATTTTTTCCCTAATCTCAGCTTCACCGATTCTGCATTTACAGGTAAACAATTGAAAATGATGATTTATGTCCTTGGTTAATCGTAGTCTAAATCGTTAGTTATCATAATAGATACTCTTGATTGCCTAAACTGATTGTTTGATATCACGTAAGTTTGTTATCAATGACCCTTGAAACTTTTCCAATGATTTTTCAGATTCTTTTAGTATGGATTGAAATTGTTCTGTGATTGAATTGTTAAATAATATGCTTACCGTGATGATGGAAGATATTTCAATCAAATCATTGAACTGATTTATTATAACAATACTTGTCCAAGTATTAACCGATCATGTTGCTTTCAACTCTTATCCATCGATATTCATGATAAAATTCAATTTTCATATTGGATACAACAAAGAAATGTTTTCATCTCCAATAACATTATTACTTTGTAATATCATTCAGCAGATTGAGATAATTTGATTTGTCTTCTGTTAATATTATGATATCTAAGGAATCGGTATTCAATGTCATGAAAATGCTATTATAACACATACCTTATAGTTGAAATTTCATGATGATTCGAAAAAACAACAAAATAATCTGGACAGAAAATTCCTATGAGAATGTGAATACCTCTTCAGGTAATCTGATTACGATGTAATGATTACTAATTGATAGATAATCACATTCACAAAGTTTTCGCCAGAAATGGTTACCATGAGAGAGATTATCTCCAATTCTTAGCTCTATCATGTAAAATGTACCTCATGTATTTCTAAAGACTTTCACTATAAATAGAGGCGATTGAGTCCATTTTAGAGAGAAACACGAACTGTAACATTGTACTAATTTCCATCTAAATCTTCGTTGGACTTTTATCACCTCGAATAGGATGGTGATAAGAATGATCCTTTTTTAAGTCAACATAATGAGCAAAGTTACAGATGAGATTAAATCTCAAGTTCTTATACTGTTTTACTTTAAGTCCGAGTTTCAGATGAAAACTAAATCTTAATCTCTCTAATCTTTTTCTCTTCCTGTTAGTGATTCTTTTCTTGATTAGTCGATAATTAAACTTCTCAATTCACTCATTTCCTCGATAAGATAAACTGTCAATCAGGATAAATTCATGGAAAAGGTATAATAGATAATACAGTTCATAGAGTGAACTGGACGACTCTCTAGTCGATATCAAGCAGAGAAATGAGAATTTTTTATTAACATCAAATTGGATAATTTAATTAGTTGCGACGAAATCAGGATTGTTGACAATTAAAGGCAAGAATTAAAAAGTTTCACTTTGATTGATTTCAATAATGGAAGTGCGTTAATTTGATCTTACCGGTTGATTTGCAATAGTTAATGAAACATTGACTTAAATTAATTTATTCCAAGTAATTAATTTTATGACCTTGGGTAATTGATTAAATCTTATTAATAACCGCTATTAATTGTCTCGATAATCATTTAAGTGTCATGAGATTAAGCTGTAATTTACTTGCTTCTCCTAGAAAATCAACACAATCAAAGTTTGATTATTTAGATTGTCCAATTAATTTACTCTGAAGGACATTTGATTTAAGACAATCAATGTTGATTAAATAACTTGATTGGTCCATTAACATTTAAGTTGATTAAAACTAACTGAATGTGTTAATTTGAAACAAATAATGGTGATTAATTATCAATTTGAAGATAATTATCATTTATGAAATTAGTCAAATGAATCAGCTGATAACAAATTAACGTATTAATATATTGTCAATTGTCACATCAACCTAAAGTTGACTATGGAAAATCAAATGACAGGAAAAGAGATTTAATTGTGCAAAATCATTTTAAATTATTTTCGCCTCTGGCATTTGATTCTAATTTTTGAATTATCAAATTAAATGTTGATTGAAATGTCATGTTTCTAAATCAAAGAATATGAGAAAACATTACAATCAAAGTGAAACAATTAACCGAAAAAAAAGATGATTTTGATACTCAACTGATCGGTCGATTGAATTAATTAAAAACAATTAACTTCATATGTTCATCTTGTCAGAACTTTTCAGGATACACTCTTTAAACGTTTCATCGAAATTACTTTAACCACTCTTTTAATTGTTCCCGAACTTGTTACCCTCTGGTTGAATATTAAATAGTAAGACGATTAATCATCTGAATTGTAACAATTTTGAATAAACATTTACATGTATGTAGCTACTTGAGGAGAGATTGAAGTGCATTTGAATGTTCGAAATGCTATCGATTAAACGATTCATCATGATTTCGATCATTTTTTGGAAATGATTATTTGTTAGTTATTAATAGAAAAAATCTCAATTTATAGATTCAAATCAGAACAATAATGAAATCTCATGTAGATCATTTCCCTCCACAGTTTATTTGAAATCTGTGACGTATTAGTGCCCAATCTCATTGAGTGTTTTATTCTCGTTCTTATTGTTAGAGGCTGTTGGGGGAATTACATTTAATATTCTAATCAATTTATCAGATTAATTAAGGGAACATTGGACTTAAAGTCATTGGAATATTCGATTTATTTCGATAAAATTGACTATCAAACTGTTGACATTAAATTAGTTCATTATTAGATAGATAAAAGTATAAAAACATTTGAAGGTTTCATGTTAGATTTCAGAAGATAATGAGTTGACTTTTACCGTTTAAATTATCATGGAATATATTGAAACATTGTTATTATGATATTTACGACAATTCAGATAATCGAAAAATTATATTCTAGAACTGCTCTAAGTTCATCTAGAAAAGGTTCAAGTTTTCACATTAAAGCAAATAGAAACTCGATGTTTTCACCTCTGTTATTTCATCTTTCCATTTGTTATTTAACATATTTTTCTCGTTATTGTTATCACAATAAAGGTATCGAGTTTTCTCATCAAAACTGATAGTATGTTTGTCTCATTTTTTCATGGGATATTATCAGATTAGCATTTTCTATTATTTTCCATTGTATATAATAAGTTCAAATTACTTAAATCTCTAGATACTGGACAATGTTAGAATCCTTATGTTGAGTTCATTTCCTTGATTTATTAGCTCAATCAAAGTTCATTCTCGAGTCATCAAGATTAATTTTCTACTTTTCTGTTTCATTTGAAGACTCGGAAAAGGAAAGGGCATAAACATTCAACCCGCGACCAAAAGGTCATTTTCTCATCATGAAAAGTTGGCAAAATTTTCGGAATCAAATTTCACTAAATGTTCAACAGATAAAATTTATGAGGTTATCAGCTTTCAATTATTTTCAGAAGATTTTCTAATGTAACCGAAATCTAAATCAAATGTCAAAAATGATAATCTTGTTGATTTAATACTCATGAAGTTCTGAAAATCCAGGTTCAGATTCGAATGATCTTCTTTAGTATCACTTCCCTGTTACATTGTTATCAACTCATATGTTTCGTTCATGGTGAAAAAGCTGTTACCCTATTGATTTCATTATCTAATTTTTGAATAAAGTTTTAGGTTAGAAAATGAACTTTATTCACTTTTCTCAGTTCAATTATATAACAACGTAATAAAGTTCTTGTGACAATAAAAAAGTCTTCTAGTTATCCATTGGTTTTACTTGTGATTCTCTGTTTTGATTGTTTTAATTCAAACACTAGAAGATTAATTAAAGGAGAAATAAAGCAATTTGTGAATCAAGCAAATCCAGCAATTCATGAACTTGATTCATAAAAATAATATCTCTTGACAAAAATACAGAAAAACTCCTGGTTGATCAGTTAAAAGTCAACATGATATTCACATGAAAGTAAAAAAAGTGCAATTTTTCCTCAGGATATTAATACTTTGAACTCTTTTCATTTTCCATTTATCTTAATAACAATTTTTCACTTCTTATGATTCCTTTGCTATTCACTTACTTGTAGATGAATATCTTTTCATTCAAGTGTTTTATTTACTTTCAGAGTTTTCAAGATACTTCGATCATGATCTTCATGGTGATTACTATCATGTTGCTCTTGAAGCATCGAAAAGGTTACAGGAAAAAATGATTTACAATTGTAGTTATCTACCTGACAAGAATTCAGGTAATCACAATTGTTTGTGATAATTTTCCCTTCAAAATATCGGAAATAGAGCTACATTTGAATCTCTTTTTTGTTTGTGTTTGAAAACAATCAAATTGCATAATTTATGTGAAGAAATGATAACTGTTATGGCAATTGCCTTGATGATAAATTGCTTGCAGTTCAATTGCAACCGTAATTCTGTATTAGAAATGCAATTTAAATTGATTCAACTCAAACCACACCTTGGATACACTTATGTATATTTTCAAGTTGTGATGATAACATGATTTTCATTGTTTATTATGGAAAAATTTACTCTGATTGTATTTTCCCATGTTAATTGTTAACTTTATTCTAGTAAATTCATCATGGTAACATAATGCATTTCAATTAGCTTATCAGTTAACCATTATCATCAACGAAATTATTATTATCGTTATTATTTGATTTTTCAACAGTTTATGCAATCAACTCACGTATCCATCCAATCATTAGCACTATCAATCCAGCTTAATTGGTTAACTTGATATTTGAATTTGTACATTATTCTGATTGGGTAAGGGATGAAATCAACTCTAACCAGATAATTTCATCTACTCAACGATTAAAAACTTGATTAACATCTTAAATTTTGCAGATTATCAAGATAAATATGTAATTTAGATAACAATTTATTGTTGATTTATCACCTTCAAGGTTCATGTCGAGGTCGGTGAAAGGTACAAAGCTTTTTGGTGTTATAAGGATCCAAGTCAAACGGTTATTTGGAAACTGTATGAGTTTTACATGTTCACCTTAATCCTGGTGATACCCTGTATTGTAATGGGCTTCACTTATTCATGTATATGTAAAAATCTGTGGATTGTTGTTCAAAAAAGAGCGACCATGTTTGGCCATGATAATGGGTAAGTTCCGAATCCCTTTCAATAATGTTCATACTGACGATGAGCCTCAGATCTGTTTATAATCAACAAGTAAATCGATTGATTATCTGACTGAAGCATTAATAACAGTGAAGACACATCAATAGAAAGCAAAATCTCATTAACCTGAATCACAATTATCTCTTGAGATTATCAGATTATCATGAAAGGTAATATTGATTATTTTGCGGAAGAAACTGAAAAAATGATTAGATGGAAAACTAATCAGCAAAATCGGTGATCACTTTCATTTTAATATTAATAAGTTTAGTCTAATTTACGAGTTGATTGTTTATTTTTGTATTTTTTTATTCATTATCATCGATTATCACTAATGCTGAGATATTCTGATAAGTCAATCATGTAGAATGATAATTTATGATTAATGGCAATCATTTAAGTTGATTAACTTTTTGTTCATTTAATTTAATCGCTAAGCAAAGGGAAATATTTAATTGAAAGTTGATCCAATACTTTGTATCAATTATGTTTGGTGGTTGATGAAAATTCAATAGGGATTTGATTCTCATCTACACCATGATGATCAAATTTTATCTTAATGAAAGTTCAGCTTAATGAAATAAACTATGATGTAGATGAAGTCATTAATTTAGTTAACCAGATACTCAATTTATTTGTGACAATTTGTTAACTGAGTTTACAGTTGAAATTAATTAATTTGGAAAAGTGTTAGTATCCATTGTGTCCAACACAAGAGGATCAAAATTAAAAATTTAATTTAAAAACCGCCACCGAAACGACCACCGAATCGACCTCCAAAACCTCCTCTACCAAAACGACCACCGAAGCCTCGTCCAAAACGACGACCAAAACCTCCGCTGTGACCACCTCGATATCCAGCAAAATAGTGCATACGAACAGGGTAAAAGTAGGTGATGTGTCTGTCGACTTCGTTGTAACAGTTTTCCTTCAGGATGATGTCACCACGATTTTTGCTTTTCTTACCACCGGTGACGATGGTCTTCCCATGGCATCCGTGAATTATGATGTTTCTGTAAGGTTTGCCTGCGGACACAATCACGAGTGTGACTAAACAAGCGAAAAGGAAAAATAAGATTAATTTAGTTGACATTTTTAAAGAATTTGATTTGAAACTTTCTAATATTTATAATTAGCAAAAAAAGCAAAAAGACTCAAATTGTTATTTTTTGTTGTTAATTGTTGATTGTTGTTGAGCTGACTGATGATTTAAATGCAATCTTTTCGACTTATATACTGAAACTGAAAAAGGGGTTGACAATGGTCAGGTAAGTTGGTTGGTAGGAGGTTGTGGGTGGTGATTGATTCACACTTTTGATTGAATTGTAACTATTTAAGTTTATTGAATGAAAATTGTAAATCAGTTACAATCGTTGTACCAGGTTGGTCAATGACAGTAAACGATTTGTTTACTTAATTATTCATATTTCCCATCGATTGGAATCAAATTGTTCAACAATCGACACCAAATATACTCAAAATCAGATTAAGATCAAGAATCAGTCTTAAAATCCGAGCGAAAGTTAATTTTATTCACAATTTATCATCAGTTTCGATTCAGTCAACAGACTAACTGTTGATTTAGAAACCAAGATAACATGAGATTAACTAGAAAGATTTTATTCTTATGCCATGATTAAGATTCATCAACATCTAAAAAAAACTATTTATTAATCATCTTCGAATTAATAATTCATTACAATTAGAGATAATTAAATATCACCAATGATTTACTTCCATGCAGCTACACAAGCACATGTTTGCTGAATAAGTTTATTCGTTAATTAATTAATTACCATTTTCACTATAAGTGTCTAATTATGGCTGAAATTAGGCAGTGATTAAGTTTCGATTACGGGTGACTAAGTTTCGACTATTATATGATAATTGTATAATCTTCGAACTCTCGAAAACTTAAAGTTCTAACAAAAAAGTTTCATTTTGAATTTTGACTTTTCAACAAACACTGATGATTTAATATGAAATTATTATTAATATCATCCTTGAGTGTTTGCTTACGAATATAATAAGAATAAGAGTAAACATTTGAAGTATCTACGAAATAAAATGATATGATTACAATAACAGAACAATTAAAAAAAAACAAAATTGATCAACAATTGAATTGAATTTCAGCAACAATGAAACCAAATTATGATATGATTTTAATTGTTACAATCTAACAAAGTATCAAATGTTTGCTTGGTAAACAAACATTAGAAATCTTAAAAATTCAATCAACTAAATGACGATAATAATAAAAAGCGGTTTAGAGCTGATAAAAAAGTTAATTTACTGAATTCCCATGAATATTTCATAGAAAGACAGAATTGTTCATGTTTATGTAACTTGAGTTTATAATTAACATAATTTATAATGTAACATGATAAGTAACTGTATTTATGATAATACTTTCATTTTAATTGTGGTTTTAAGAACTGATTATTAACTAACAAAAACTCTCACTGTTTACATAACTATTTTGATTCTTAAGTTAATTGTTTGCTGTAACTGTCGTAAACTAATTCACCTTAAGCTTTATCAATTAATTTTAATAGTTAGATGAAGATTCTATTAATTCAGCTCAATTCCTCATTAATTACTATTGTTTAATAATTTATTATAATGGTTGGATGAATTTCAGAGGTTTTTAGAAATTATCATGAAATTAATTTATGATCTTGATCTATGATCGTATTCAGATCAATAAGTTTTGTCTAATTCTTTGGTCATATATGAATTAAGATTAATTCATTAGGAGAAATCACTTAATTAAGTTAATCATTTCTACCTTTTACCTCAAAGTTAATTCATTCTTTTGATTCTTTATAACAGAAACTAAAAGACTCAATGAATGATTGTTCTTGTATTAATAGTTTGGAGATCATCATGAACAATTGTAGCAGAAAATTACTGAGATAATAATGGATTTATTTCACAAGCCATGAGTGAGGTGAAGTTTTTTCTAAGATTTTTCTTTCCTATTATTAATATTTTCTGACATCTACATGTAATTCATCTGAATAATACGAAATTTCAACTGAAACTCCTTTTCTATCAGCTGAGTTCATCAGCAACTTATTCCATCATAATCAGCTGTATGTACTTGAGTTTTCCCTCTTGAGCAACAAAAACTAATTTCTATTGATATAAACTCACCATGATGGCGATCATGTTATATTCATTATGAATCTATCCCAAAATAAGAAAATATTCTGGATTGAGTTACTTGTATTGTCCTGAGATTTGACAACAATCCGATTGAGTTTCTGATCTGATTAAGAATTGATTGTGAGCCATTATCATCTTGTTGTAACTACAATTTTAATTTATTATCCTTTAATAATTTACTCAAAGTAATTTATATTCGCGTTTATTAATTTAATTGTATCCTCTTATTATGCACGAATTGAGTTTCTTAATCAATTCTCAGTTGAATTATCCCATAGAAAACATTTTGTTAATAATAATAAAACAAACAGTTTGTAACCAACTTTTTTTTCAATCCAATTAAATGATATTGATTGTTGAAATGCTACTAATTAAAGTCACTAGAACAATTTGAACCAATATTTAGTTATATTAATCATAATGAGAACTGCATATCTACTTGTATGTATATTTTTTCATTGTTATTAATAGTTTTTGTTCCTGATTAATTGTTTCGGTTGATCATAAGCACATTGATAATCAAGTAATTGAATTATTAATAGTTGGATTCTACTGAGCTCAATCAACCAAATTCAATTTGTAAGTCAACAATTTTTATGACATTTCGATGATAATATATTCATATGAAACTCTTGGTGTAAAGTTATTCCATAAACATGGATTTGAATCACAGAATAATTTTCAATTTGATTACAATTTTCGATACGGTAAAACCAGTGATTAGTTTGGGCTAATTCGATGGTTCAAGATTTCTATTCGAAAATTTTAAACTAACTCTAAACTCTTTGCGTGATCACAATTCAATTATTGGGGTGTTTCAGATTCTAAATACTATTTAGAGTTTATCATTAGGAGTCGACAACCGAAATCAAAGTGATATGTTCATATTTTTTTTCTCATTGTGAACTTCATTAGTTCCTGAAAATTCAGAGCGAAAATATTATTATAATAGTTTAATATTATAAATATGAGTAGAAATCGAACCAAAATATTAATTGTGGAAAAAAGTTTCAACTAAACTTTTTTTTTTCAATTTTTCTGGATTTGAATTCAGTGGATTGATATCCAATTGATTAGCATGATTGCTGCTCGATAACTTTGACTAAATTGTTACAATAAAATGTTAATATACCAACAACTTTACCTTGAGAATCTGATGAATATTTAATCATCGTATCGTCTTATTGATTCATTCAATTACTTTCTGCTTTTGATTATATGTTGATGTTCATCATTAACTCAAAAGATTCATTGTAATTCAAATGACATTTACTTGAATCAGTTTAATAATCAACAGGAAAGTTTATTATTAAGATTCTAATTGTAAGTAATAAGTTGTCATAATAGATACAGCTATCTAATAATAACCTTGATCAGTTATCAAAGGATTTCCATTGATTAATACCAATTAATACCATATTTAGTTTGTCATCTATTTTAATTGTTGTGATAATCAATATTATGATAATTGAAAATACATTTCTCTGATTAATTTACTTGGAATCGTGTAAATATTGTATCAAATTGGTGATTTAATGATTACACTACTTTAAGATAATTAATCCCAATGGGGATTAAACTTTATCTCCCTGACAAGTTGAATTGTTGATCAAATTACAATTCACTATCAATAATGAACAGTTTAATCTAATAAATTTATTCATCTGATGATATTGATTCTAATTATGATCAACTTAAATTTTGATAATAAAATTTTCATCAAATTTATTGACCGTTGGATTTAAATGGTATTTGAGTTAATCTCTTAAACCATTAATCAAAGGATTTGACATTCTCTTGACCATTAACATAATTTTCGCGTTGATTAAAGTTGATATTTGATCATCAACATAAATAATATATTAATGCCTGACCCAGTTAAGATAAGTTGTATTCATAATCAACTTTAATAATAAATTGTTATCGTTGATAATATGTATTAATACATAATATTTTTTTCTTGGAGGACAATTAATTGTATTATCACTTATTGATTACTTGTAGTGTAATTTGTTCATATTGTTATTCATTAACAATGTTTTCTGAATAACGATAATCATGGTGAAACCTTTTTCCATCATTCTGATTGGTCTGATTATTTTCATGTTGTTGCTATTAAATTATTTGTAGAATCCCAATCAATTGAATTTCTTTGTTATTCAAATCAATTTTAACAATATTACAATTGAATTAGAATCAAACCTTTTCAGTTTCAGTAGATTATCACAATCAACTAATTAGTTTAGTGTTTTAACTCATTCACTTGAGATGATATTTTTAATGCTAATGACAATTTAATGTTGAAACGATTGATTTAATCTAAACTTTATCAATCTATTTTGTTGATGATGATTATCCAAAATGGTGATTAACTTAATAAACAACAGTTGCATCATTAACTTGATTTTTGTTTCTTTCACTAATCAAGTTTAATGGTTTTCAAGATAACCACTTGAACTCAATGTTAAATTGCTATTAAAAAGACTATTCTTTCATTAAATAAATTATCAACTTATTCTTGGTGATTTGTTGATTCTCATGATGATGATAACGATGACCATGATGCTCAGTCCAGTTGATGACAGTTTATTAAGCTTTCCATTGAATTATTACTTTCCTTTGTTTTGTCAATATGGTTCTCACTTTTAGACCATAAAGAAATACACTCGTGGAATTGGTTAGTGAATTTCATCATGAAACTCAGTCGAAATGTAAACAATCAAGAGATAAAATCATAATCATAAGGATGAAAGTTCAGTACAATGGAAACCTTAATTTTCTCATAACAAAACAATTTGATTTTTCTATTATACAAACTTGTATTTCTCCACATGTTCAGTTCAACTATTATTTACTATGAACAATTAACTAATATTGTTAAGATATGAATATGAAGTATCATGATAACCGTTCATTAGCTGAGAAGGGAAAACCTAAAAACTAATTCTGAGGTAATATTGTTTCCATGATAACATGGAAATACATATTCCCTCCTTGAATAACATGATATTCAATGAAGAGATAACAAAGTTTACCTTTTTCTTTTCTCTCTCAGAATACTAATATAAATAAGGTGTTAATATATAAGGTAATTTGTATCTCGAGGTGTAAGGTGAACACTTTGTCAGAAAGCTAATCCACTCATGAAAACTTATGATCTCTAGTGATACATGTTATATTTATGAGCATTTCTCTCAATGTTTGACATTTTCAGAATGGGAAATTGTCATTTCTTATTTGTAGATTGTTAATTAGCTCAATCAAAAGGAAATGTGATGATTTAATTCATTCTGATTGTTGATTAACTTATGGTTACATTTCTAATTTGTTTTCTCATACTTTACTATTGATAATCATTTGTTATTTAATATACAACACAATTACTAGTTGGAATATTTAATTCTCGATAATCGATAGTTAGTTGGATGAATTGGACATTCCAAATTTAATTGTGAAGAAAATTTATATTTTAATTGTGAAAATTGAAGATTTAAGATGAACTTTTCCTTTTTTTTATCGTATTTTAATCTGTAATTAAGTTTAATTGTTTGTTAAATGAAAACCAATTACAATTGTATCAGTTAATTATATTCATATGAGGTCATGATTAAATTCATGGGACTCATTAAATAAAATTGTTTCATGAGAATATAATTTGGTAACATGATTGTAATTTGTCCAACTGAATTGCTCTTAATTTAATTTAATGAGATTAATTCTTTACTTTTAATTGTTAATTGATTTCATTGATCAGCTGCTTCATAAAAAATAACTAATAAATCAGTGGCTTCCAGTTGAGAGCAATTTAAATGTATTTTTCCACTTTAAAAACAAATCAACTGAATTATTATTAATAACAAAGAAAAAACTGAATCAACAGAAACACAGCAATTTAACAAGATTTCAGGTTGTGAAGCAATTAAACTAATCGAGATAAAGAGATGATAGTAATGATTATAGTAATTATCTTGAAACTTTTCAAAAATCTATATTATCTATATGGATTCGTAATTGTAAAATATTAATAAAATTGATCCGATTCAGAACTTGAAATTTTTAATGATCACATTCAGGGAGTGTTAATTATCAGAACGATTAGATATTGATCATAATAGAATCCATATAATTATTGATACATTAAAGCATTTACAATTAAACCCTAAAGCTAAGAGTTGTTGCCAATGACCAATCTTCGTGTAATCCTTTGTAAATCCGAAGACTGGTCAAGTTATTCACCAACAGAATTGATTGTCTTCTTAATTGTCGCGTTTGAATTAGTTCAAGATTTAATTCGACTGCTTAACTGAGAAAAAATTGTTTAAAGTTTATAAATGTTGATCAGAATTTTGATCAATAGTATTATCCCCACAGTCTAATGGGAACTGTCATCGTTTTCATGATCATCATGATTTGTGGGCCTTTTAACAGCTAACTGATTAAATTGTTTCTGTTGTTTCAATTAAGTTTTTGATATTTTCAAAGTTTTCAAGTTTAAAGTGATAGTTGAAAGGTCATTTATTTGATACTTTATATTAATAGTTGAAATGATTATCGCAGTGAGAATCATGGAAACAATTCAACTTTAGTCTTGTTTGTTAAGATAAATGGTAATGATAATTTCTGAAAATTACAAGAATAAGCCCTTGATGGTCAGTCTAATATCTTTGGACATCAAATGTGATTGTTATTATGTCCAAGTCGAGCAGTTTCAAGACAGAGAACAATAATAAAATTGATTGAGATGCTTGAATATTCTGGTTCCCTGACTCATTCGAATAATTAAATTAATCCTGTTAGTTGAATGTGTCTAATGCGGTTTGATGGACAAAATATACTTTCGATGAAATTTATTGCATAATTGATAAAAGTCCGATTAAAGTGACAATTATCAATATAGAAAATCATTAAGAAATACAAACTTGAGTCACTTTCTTATTGATTCAGCAATGGAGATCATTTGAAATGATCATCACAAATTAAAGTTTACATTAGAAACCAGTGACCAACACAAGATTAATTATTCGTAGTATGAACTTTTCAGCCTCAATCTATGACGTTATAAGTCAGCTTCTTATTATTTCAGGGAGATTCAGGTAAATGAATGGCTTTTAAGTCCAGTCACATTCAAGAGGCTCTTTTGTATTTCGATACTTTATATTTATGATTTACTAGAGACAATAAACTATCATCTTGACCTTCATGCAACTCACACTACAGACAAATAGATTTGCAGATAAATCAACATTGTTGTCATGAATTAAGATCCATGACATTTTTTGGCTCAGTTCATTATCAGGTTGATCGTCTATTGATTGTTTGTCACAATTAAATGTAATCACGTTTGTTTCTTTTTCATTCATCTCCAGAACTATCGAGCTGAAAAACTCAGAGACCATGTCACATGACCGTAAATTGTTACGAACTGAACAAAATTCATTCTCGAATAAACAACATTCCATCAAGAACAGTTCAATCCAAGAGATGTACTCCAATAAAGCCGACGATGATACTGCAGTCGTCAAACAGGTAAATAAAAATACATGGAAAAAAATCTGATAAAAAATGGATTTTTGATCAATACGATTTGCATTTAGAATAATCCAAAATACAGATTACCTTTAATTGAAATTATGTTTAAAGTTTATGAATTTTACACTTACAATTACCTATTCGCTCCCCTGAACTAAATTGTGTTTTCTTATTTTAGGTGATCAAAATGCTGGTCGCTGTTGTGATACTGTTCATATTGTGCTGGTCTCCAATACTAATTATTAATCTACTGACTGCCTTTGGAACACTTCATCAACTCAACTATGGTTACCTGAAGCCACTTCGAACAGCAGCTCATCTATTGTCCTACCTCAATTCGTGTATCAATCCATTGGTTTATGGATTCATGTCCAAAAATTTTCGAGCTTCTTTCAAGGCAGCGCTACAGAAATGTTTACCCTGCCGTTCAAAAGGAAACCAGCGAAGTAATAGCCTTTCCTGTCGAATTTCGACCACCGTTCTAACACCAGGTCGGTAAACAATTTACCAAAAAACGAATAAAAATTGAATAATTGCCTGGCAGAAAAGTACAATCAAAATCAATGATAAAGAATCAGGTAGACGAATAATCTAATAAAGAAAATAGATATTCGATATTTAGATACCCATTAGCATTTTGGTCTTGATTCTTTGAAAAACTTCGAGTATTTCAGACTATTTAACAAAAGTTTGGTCTAAATTAGTGAAGATGATAAACAAATTGCTTACTAATTCGTTCTGAACGAGTAGAGTCGAAATTCGAAGGCGGGAATAAAAAGTTTTAATTTCTGAGAAACTTTTTACTGCGAAGGTCACAGAAATTTGTATGTCATTTGTTCATATGTTTGATTCAATTACATCCATAGAATTCTAATAGATCTTTCGATTCGATCGCATCCTAGGAATATAAACCGTGAAATTCTTAAAAAGCAGCTCACATATGAACAATTTCCATTTAAAGATTCGAGACCATCTTCTACCGATTATCTTTAGAACTTCTTAACCCTGTTCCAAGAATTTATTTATTTTCATGATGAATCGTAACTTATCATTTCTTTCCTTCGTTCGCAGCTCCATCTAACTTGTTAACTGAAGTCAATTATTAATCATATTTATCGACGACTGGGTTGAGGCCATGGATCAGCCACCAAGATGCTTCATATCGTAGCAGACCAAATAGCCAATGGCTAATCTTTTATTGTTCATTTTTTGTCCAAATTCAATAATCAACTCGATTAACCATGAGCTTTATCATCGGTTCTTTTCTCTTCACTTTTTAAGTTCCTGTTCTGTTTAATTTGCCAATTTCAGAGTAACGTTCTGGTGTATTTTGAAATATTCTGGTAGATAAAGAATTCTTATCATTGATGACAAACATACCAATAAACAAAAGATTCCAATTTATACAATGAAGACCATTTATGATTCCTTCTTCGATCACTTGATTATTCACGAAGTAAATGAGACCACGGAGACGAAAAATAAGAAAATCGTTGGTTAATTGTGGACATCACAGGGTTTACAGTAATTGAGAGTAAATTTCAACGATTCAATATTATTTAATGAAAAGCGAGATAAATGAAAGGGTTTGCCTGATCGGAGAAAGAAGTGAAAATTAAGACGAGACTAATTGAATGACCATGTAAAATACTCTGTTAACTCCCATACATCTTCAATCAAGAGAAGGTTATCACAATTCTCTTGAAAGAGTCAACATTTTATATGAAAAATATCAACATTGTTCAATTATGCCCCAACTTACCGACCGATTCCTTAAATGTAAATAAAAAAATATCTCGTTTAATATGTAAGCTCAATATATTAGTATTTATCTTAATATGCAATCATTTCGTCAGCTCATCATTTCAACTTAGGGCTGAGATAATTGAGACACATCTCTGGAAGATCGCTGTAAAGAAATGAAGAGAGAAGAAAAAATAATCCATTAGTAGACGATAAAACTACTAGTAAAGTTTTGTTGAATTTCGAGGACAAACGAGAATCGCGATTTGAAGTGTGTGTCTATTTGTATTTCATTAGATACAAAACTTTGTCATTACCTCAGGAAATAAAGTAAGCAAACCAAAAACTGCTTCTTGAATATTCTCAGCACATTTCAAGAATCTGAAACGAAAAATAAGCGGCTCAATATTTGGAATTGGGGAGAACATGAAGGGTATTCGAAGTAATTCACGATAGTCGTGAACTTTTTGGCAGGTTCGCGAGTTGTTTGTTGGTCAAATTCTTTAGGAGGTTCGATACTGTCAGATAAGCACCATAGGCAAAGAGAAGATTCATTTGAGCCAATTGACCAGATTTAGCAGCGACATGTAAAGGAGTATTTTGTTTAGTTGGATGCAGATAATTAGGATCAGCACCAGCGATCAGTAAACGTAAACTTGTTTTCAGACTTGAGCTTCGAACACTCGAATGAAGCTCCTCACTAACATCACTTTCACCTTAGATTCCATCCTTGGGTCCTGGTTTTTTGACGAACGCGAGTTTCTGATATTTGGCTTTGATAAAATCATTTTTAACGGGATAAAGTCCATCCTTTGGATTGGGTTTCTTGCGAAATGAAGATCTCATTGAGTGAGTTAGTGATGAGGTTAACGAGTTACTTCCCGAATTGAGTAAAGTATATTCCCAGATAGAGTTGCTTCCACTAGTGTAAAGATCAATGACCATTTGAAGTTCACTAGGAGACCATTGACTTTTCGTGATTGATTTAATCTGTGAGACTTCACGTCCCATATTACGATGGACTAAACAACAATCGTCACAAACGATGACTCCGCGATTAACTGATCCCCATCGAGCGTCTGAAGAGCCAAATAACAAAAAGCTATTAAATGTAATACTTATAATGTATATGCATGTATAATGTATATTTACCTGAATTGGAATAATCTTCTCAGTCAAAAGCTGTTATGTTTTTGATCTAGAACTCATTGTTGAATGCTGAATGTTAACAATTTTGGATTGGCAAAAGATTTTAATGATAATCAAAATTAAGAAAATCTTCAGCGGTGATCAACACTCAAAAGAATAGACCGAAGACTAAGCATTTTTCACATATGATCATCAGAATGACACTTGAATAATCCAGCGATGAGCTAATTGACGTTAAAACCGAGTCCGGGCAGAAGTTGATCCAATGAGAGTTTGAATGTTTAAACCAAAGTAAAAATATTAACTCTATGGTTCAACAGGAAATTGAAATTGATTCAATTTGAAATTCAAATTCTCAACGAAACCAAAAAACTTGAGAACATGAGGTTGCAGCTCCACCTGAGGGTGAGATGGAAAAGCTTTTTGTCGTTTCAAAAGACCCGCTTTTTCTTCGGTTATTAGAAGACGGACCCTAAACAGGAAAAGGAAACTTAGTCCAGGTTGATAGAAAATTGTTTCAGTAAAGATATTATGCCTGTTCCAAGTTAATTTAACAATTTGTTTAATTGTTTTGTTTAATTTAATTTTGTGAAAATCTATTAAAAAACGTGAAATTTTACATTCTACATCATGGTAAGTTGTTCTTTTCAATAATTCTAAAATCAATTAGACTGATATCAAGTGGTTCATCGCTCATGTTGTTTTTCTTTGACTGATGGCGTTTTCTCTTCTATTTTGTCAACTTTTTTTGGATCAATATCTAATAATTACTTTCATTTTCTTTTTTTTCATTAATGCTAGTCATCTGAAGGAGGATATACTTTACGAACACGTAAATTCAAGACCAACCGACTTCTTTGTCGTCGTCAAATGGTAAGCTTTTCATCGCTGGCTTGTGCTTATGATTACTTTTTAGTCTAATGCTGCTTTTTGTGTCTCGTGTTAATCTGCTTTTATTTTTTCTTTTAGGTTGTCGATGTCATTCATCCTAGCAAAGCAACCATCTCCAAACAAGAGATCCGTAATAGATTGGCTAAGACTTACAAAACCCAGCCAGATTTGATCTTTGCTTTCGGATTAAAGACACATTTCGGTGGTGACAGGACAACAGGATTTGCCCTCATCTATGACACAATGGACTACGCTAAGAAATTTGAGCCCAAATATCGATTAGTACGTAATGGTTTAACTAAGGTTGAAAGACAACCCAGAAAACAACGTAAAGAGAAGAAGAACAAGATGAAGAAGGTCAGAGGAACCAAGAAGGCCAAAGTTGGTTCAGGAGCCAAAAAGGTAATTAGACTGTCTTAAGTTTTAAATTTCATCTTCTCTTCATCGAAACTAATATTATTTTATCTATCTCTGTTTCTTTTCCAGTAAACTTTCTTTAAAATAGCAATCCAATATTTAAATGGGATCATCATTTTTGAGGCTTTTGCCTCTATTCATTGTCAATCGTTCAATAATTTATCACCTTTTTAGTGTTTTTGATCTTGTTGGATGAATGGAGTCAAAAATCATTAAAGAAATTTATCCCTATTAATGGATTATTCTAATTTTATAATCATCTTAATTAATCAACACTTGAATCCAGCGCGTTTGAATCAAAGTTTTTCAAAAAATTCAACAAGTTTATTATCACTATTTCTGTGTTGAGCCTGTCAGTCGTTTCCAATCGATCGGCTTGGGGTCATTTTTGATCACTGGTATTTTTAACATTCTTCTAATCTTAGGAAATGAAAGGATGTAATGATGTAAAGTTCCACATGCTGCCGAAGTTGTCCAATATAATACACAGCCCTACGAAAGAAGATTCAATAATAAGTTAGAACTTTTTGCTTTTTCTGTGATTTTGATCTAAATTACCGATGGTGTGAACGAGCTCAATCCTAGTAGAACGACTGTCCATCCCTTCAAAAATATCATTAAGACTCTTTCCAGTTTAGTTTCAGCCATCACTCTGTTCTGATTCTTGATGATCTCTGTTATCTGGAAAAAGCAAATGAATTCATTTCTCTTTAATCTTCCTTGACACTCATACATGTATTTACCTTGATGCTTGAAAGAATTGATGCAAAAAACATCGCAGGCCAAACATAATAAGGATCAGGAATCGTTAAATTCTGAAACCAAGAAACTCCTCCGGTGAAAAATTGTTCATGTACCGATGGATCTTTCAATAGCCAGGGTCTGACACAGAGATTGTTGAGAGCGGAAGACATGGTGATCCAGAATGGAAACTGAAAGGCAATTAAGACAACTCGTTGACCAGGGTGGACATTGTTGTCGATATAAACTTGAGTCGCTTTCTTTTTGTGAGCTCGCATGAGACTAATGCGATACTTTCCCTTTTTCAACTGACCAAATGCTACCATTTTCTTCAACCGCTCGGCCACTTTTTCCGTGTGTTCTGATATTTCAGGGCCAACATTTATTAATTTGTGAGTAATTCGTCGATCGTAGCACATGAAAGGAAAAACAATCAAAGACCGAAAAATAAAAGTCGAAACCATTATACTGAACCACCAAGGTAAACCGGTAGTGTCATGAACCCAAATTAAGGCATCGGTGCATTTCGAGACTGGAAATGAAGTTCCGATTGACTCACTGATAGAAATCATTTTATCACGAAAAGATGAAGCACAACGAACAGATTGAAGGAAAGAACATTGTGATTGATTAACGCTAATCCTTTGATTAACATGATTTCGTCCTCTTGTTATCAATAACAAAGAGGTCGAAGTAAATTGAAACTGAGAACCGGACAAATGATGAGCCGATCGATCACCATGAGATTTTAATCTACAAACAACTTTTCTTTCCAATATTCTGTTCAACGATAATCTCACAAACATAATAAATACTTTCAATTAATCATTGAAATACAAATTCATTGATTCAAATTATTAATTTGAAATGATCATCACATGTAAACACACAAATTAAAAGTTTACATGTGAAACCAAAGTAACGACACAAAAAGCGCGTAAATTGAAGGAGATTTCCTGAAATGAGATTTTCCATCAACATTTTATCTGTAACAATCTCCACTGTGAATTATCAAGAACCAGAACTAGTTGTCTGCAATTTATTCACTAGAATTATCATCTTAAGTCCTTTCGAACGTGATGTCAATAAACAATTAGATGGTCAAAGGAAATGAACAATAATCAAAGTAAATTCGAGTAAATTTTCACCTAAAATCTTTTGATGACCAACAATCAACAAACAATCAAAACCATTTAACTTATTCGATCAACATTAATGGTCTCCAGAGGAACAGTAATTTACATAATCCAATTGTCTATTAATTTCAGTCGAGAAACTGATTAAAGCCTTCGAATTGATTGAAATAAAAAAAAATGGGTAAAGACCAAAATCTAGAATCAACTAAATGATTCTTACCATTAATCGTAACTATGAAATGGCAATTCAATCAATCTCATCACCAGAATCATTAATATAATTAATGATGAAGGAGAAAAATCCAAATTGATAATAAATAATCATTTGTATCAAATGTTTCCAAGGTATTTCCTCTCATCTTCCTTAATCATCTGAAGATTCAGTAATCATGAGGTTTAACTGTTCAGTTTAATGGTCACAATCAACGTAATCATGAAAACAAAAACATTCACTTAATCTATTGGTATAAAATTGATCAGCAATCAAATCAGATTGTAAACAATCTAATAAGTAACAACAATGATCAGAAAATCAATTAGATTATTTAACTTTTTCACTAATTGCATTTAAATAAATCTCTTGAAGATATTTAATTGTCTTGACTGATTCCAAGTTTGATCAATTGATTGAATAAATGAAACCATTGAAACAATTATACATTTACATGTGAATATTATAAAAATAATTAGTTTAACCAGAAATGAACGTTAAATACAAATTGATGAATCGACATAAACCAGAGCAACAATCAAGAATGGATGTCACCCTAAGGCAATTAATTGATTATTACTTATGTTTTAATCATCCCTTGTATGATTATCACTCAAAGTAAATGCTATAAATAGATATTGATAATCAAAATAGCAAAGTTGAATTTGGCTCAGCTTCCAGCTAATGAGCCGAAAGGACAATCTCAATATTGTAATAGCTTTGAATCAGTTAATTGTTAAGTTAATCACAATAGATATGCAAGGAAATTAAGGATTTGACCTTAGTTTGTGACAATCAATTTTCATCAAAAGTTCCAAAATGTAACAATTCAACAGAATGAAAATTGTAATTCTCATGATATTGTTACTTTTTAATTGTTAACAATCAATTTTTGTTTATTGTTTATCAACTTAAATTGAATAATCAAAATAACCAATTAATAAGTATAACAATTAGACCAGGAAGTATTATTAGCAATTAAACAGTTATTTGTTTTCACTTTGCTCTCAAGATGTATAATCAATTGATTTAACTTTAATTGTTTACACGTTTTGTTACAATTCATTTGACTGAACACTCAAATTACAAACTAGTTGATTAGTGTATTGGGTTAACTAATTTAAATTTAGGTATTTCTTAAAATGTTTGCAACTAAACAACAATTTGAACACAATTAAAGTTATAAATCTACACAATCAATAAAATTTAGATTTCGTCTTGTTCAGTCAACGATTCCAACGTTAATTTGTATAACTTTCACTAAAATAATTTCGTTTTATTAATAAAACTAATAGTTGAACCAATTAGCTTATTTGTCTAATTAAACAGTTATTAAATTGTTGTTTATTGATTGTACAAGTCGATTGACAATATAATTATGTTTCTTATAAGTTCATTTAAAGGAACAATAAGTTTTTCTCTAAATGAATCTACCTTCCTATTCCCACTTTATCTTCACCAATTTAATTCCCAATTTAATTAATTAACTAATCAACCAGCACTCGAACACTCGTAAAGGTTTAGTATAAAAGAGAGATTTTGATTAGCTGAAAATCATTCAATTCAATTGGTTAGAACAAACAACAACAATCAGAAAGTATTCTATTTACATCAAGTGCCTAATCAACGACTCAAAATGAACGGTAAATTGTTGATCTGTTTCGCTCTCGTCTCTTGCATGGTCGCTGTTGCTTACGCTGGTAAGGGTGGTTCGAACATCGTTATTCAAGACTGTTGGGGAGGAAAGACGATTCTCAATGACGGTGGAAAGGGAAACAAAGGAGGTGGAAACATCATCTTAAAGGACGATTGTCACAAGAAGGAACATCATGAACAAATTTGGGGTGAACCCGTTTGGGGTCACGAAGAATGGGGTCACTGGGGATGGAAATAAGTTCGTCGACTAATTAGAAGGGTAATGTATACAATCTCCTCATCAAAATCATCATCTTCCTTTTCATCTTCCCTCTGTGATCTTCTTCTTCTTCCTCTTCCTCTCTTGGTTTCGGTGCTTCTTCGGGTCTTCTACTTTCTCCTAATTCCACTTCCTCTTCCTTCGTCGATTCTCCGACTCAATGGTTACCAATGAATAGTTTTTTTCGATTTCAAAGGGTTTATCCATTTTCGATATTGAATCTCTGCCATTTTCATCTTCTCTTCCATTCTCTTCATCACCTCCACCCCTTCCCTTCCTCTTTCTCTTCCTGGGTTAACATGGTCACTCCTTCCACTCGATGTTCACTTGGTCATCTCCTCTCATCCTCAATCATCCTCCTCTCATCACAATTAACATTTGGAACTGGTTTCCTTTCAATTAATTAAATACTAATCACATGCTTGATTAATACACAATAATAATTAGTTTAATAATAAAACGATTTATTTCCAGATAAATTAAATTTGTCTCTTCTTTCAATTCAATTATTTACATTCATGAAATTACATTAAATCAATTAACTGTCACTCAGAATGACAATTCAATTTGGACACTCGGTTAACTTATCATAACAACTACCGGTTTGATTGTTATTGTTGATCAGTTAATAGATGCAAATAATCAATTTAAATTAGTGACAATTCGAGTAACTTGAATTAAAAACACTTTTCAATTATTTTCCAACAATTTAATAAGTTAAAAACTCAAAACTCTCACTGAATTGATACATTGAACTGAATTTAAATGATTAAATGTTTATTCAAGAGTGAAATGTAACTAACAGAATTCAGATATTTATGATAATTGATTAATTAATAATAATTTAAATTGTTGTCAAAAAGTGATGCATTTAATTGAATAACCTTTGTTACCATAACCAACAATTCAAAGTATGACAATTAATGAGTAATTGTTGGCAATAAATGAGTTTGATTACAATATTATCAATGAAAAAACTATTCAGTGGAAATACAATTAAATTAATGTCATTATAAGATGATTAGTGAAATTTAATTCAAATCAGTTAAGTGAATTATCAAATTAAATCATTGATTGACTTAATTAAATATCTAAAACTGAGTAACCAGTTCACATGGTAAATGAGTGTTTATAATTAAATGTAATTAATTGATGAGACGAAGACGATTAATGATCTTGATTATAATGAAAATATCAACTTTAATCACATTGATTGAAAATAAATTAGAAATCAAATCAAGGTTAATTGTTCTAGAAACAATTAAGGGACAAATGAAAGCAGCTCAACAACCATAATAAGTGATAATGATCATGAGATTAATTGTTATGTTGATTTGACCAAGACAACGAGTTAATCATTATCAAGAGTGATTATTTAGGTGATTAAGATTCATATTGACTAACCAAGATTAAGCTTAATTCTGAGATTAAATTGGTTGACTCCAATTAAAACTAAATCAATTTCTGTATTTTTCAAGATCAAAATTGATCTCAACTTTCATTTACCTCGAGTGCTGAATTAAGGGACTTAAGCTAATTGACGATTCGAACAATTTTCGAACTGAAAACTTTGATTCATGTCGAATGTTGGACTCGATGGAAAAATCAACAAGGAAAAGATGGAGATGATAAATTGATGTTGATTCTAATTCCATGCGCATCTTTATCATCATAATAATTGTAGGCACAGTTACAAGTTACCGAGGGGGATTATTCAGAGAGACACGTTTTGATTGAGGTTTAGATTTATAAAGACTGAGGTTGATTTATTGGAGAATAAATTTTAATTTGAGTAAGTTTAATTAGGAACTTGATTAGTCAATGAAGTGAGAGGGAAATCAAATTATAAAAAGGGGTGATTAGTTAAATGAATACATGAAGTACAAATAAAGGTTAATTGACAAATTTACCAAAGATGATTAACTGATCGATTGTAAATTGAATGACAAAAGTTAACTGATTGACTGATTGTTAACTGATGAGTAAGGTCCTTACTTATTGGCTTTTATACTCAATCTTTCTGTTGGTCAAATGATTCAAATTTAAATATCATGTGATTGATAAGACAGTTTAAAATAGCTTAAAGAGATTAGATTAACCTCTTACGTAATACCCTTACAGAGCCCCCTGGTTCACGTTGCTTACGGGTGAATGAATAGAATTCATGGAATTTTGTCACAACTGATGTGCCGGAATTTCATGAATTCAACAACCACCGTAATCAACGTCGAAAGGTCCTTTCGATTCTCCTTCTTCTGAATCTTCCAAACAATTGTAAATCGATGTCTTTATAAGGTGATCTTAGAAATTCAGTTCCATCACACATTTTCATTTCGTCGTAAGATGCAGAAGGTTTTCCTTGAATTTGCTTTCTTATTTGGAAAGGCCAATCGTCTATTATTTCCATTATTCCTCTGATTAGTTGACTCATCTGACGATTGTAACCATAGTTAACATGAGGGTACGGTTTTGTGTACATTGGATGGTTGATGGCTTCTTCATGAGATTTTTCGAATTCTTCATAATCCACTGCATAGGCTAGAAGAGTATATCCTGCGTCGATGAATGGTGAATGTTCGCCTTCCTGGATGATGACACCAAATAATGAGAAGATGATGTATC